TAGCTTTATAGTTGGACGGAAATTTACCGTTTTTGCTTTGTTTTACTTAGTATTTGAGGACAATTTCCAAGCACAAGCCTCCGGGGGTTTTATATTTGGAGGGGCGATTTTAACGAAGGGTTTTTTGCGTTACGAGTTTGGGGGAGCTTATATTTTGAGGGCTTATTTTCGGAATTTTACGGTATCCCTTATGACTCATGCAAACTGTATAGGGCTTGGGACAAAAACCTTTGAAAGCTTTGGGGTCCAACTGGACGCTACGGATCGAGAGTTAAATTTTCACGCTGGCAAAACAGTCGTGAACAGCCTCAAAGAAAAACTAAGATATGATCAAGCTACAGCGATTTCATATCAGTATGGTGTTATCTTTGAAGTGGATTTTTGTTCATGATTAGTTAATTAATCCTTGTTGAAAATGATATCCCTATGCGGTATTTCAAGGTTAAAAGCTTGACCCGACCTCCGCCGTTGAACAAGAAGGAACGAGAATTTTGCACGCAGTAGACTTTTTCCTCAATTCGATGTATTTCGATTACCCTTACTTCATAGTTATATCCAATGAATAAATATATAAAATTAAAATGACAAATCTTCTCGGATCCAAGCCTAGGGGACACCTGGGGACACTCCCTTTCTTTCTCTTTATTTATTTATTTCTTTATTTATGTATTTTTATTTATTCACTTATTTATTTATTTATTTATTCATTAGAATGCAATGATTAAAGAGGATATCAAAATGGACGATTTTAGTTTTAACCTTTTAAGTTCCCAAAAGTGACCAACATCAGTTTTCTCTGTGAAAGGTTCGAACCCAAGAGTCATTTCATAAGTAGGCTGAGTATGACCGACCGGGTGAACGTACTCCTACATAGGACTGTTGTCGTTGACAGTGACTTACGCCCAGGGGCCCCACTCACATATTTTAATGACGGTGGGGAGGGGGTTCGAAGGATTTTTTTGGGTCTGACATTTTGGCCAAAAAGGATTTTTTTGGGTCTATGAAAGACGCCGGGATTTTTTTGGGTGGCGAAAACAACAGAGGGTTTGTTTTGGTATTGTATTTTTCATCAGCTCAAATCAAAAATAACATAAGCACAAGTTATAGTGTTGTTTTTGACCAAAACCAAAGTTGAAGTTGGCATGTTTTAGCTTTCCAGAAGATAAATAATAAAATTTGCTGATCCAAAAACACTGAGGGATTTTTTTGGGTATGCTAACAAAAGTAGGGATTTTTTTGGGTAGACAAATTCTCAAGTTGGGATTTTTTTGGGTATAAAATATGAACCTCTGTCGGACTCCCCCGTCATTAAAATATGTGAGTGGGGCCCCTGGGGACTTACGTTTCTACAACCTGTGCGGTAGTCATCTTCAGAGTCAAGGTGAAGTGTGATACTGAATAGATATGGCGGCTTCTTTACCCTTGATAAATCTCCTCCTACCAACCATTCGAAAAATAATGGGAATTTTCAGTTTGTGCGATCCGGCACCCTACATTTCTTACTGATAAAATTCTACAGTCGTACCCCTCTTTACAGACAGTCCCTTAAAAGTGAGCCCTCACATTTTGTCTAAGTTCAATCCACTTAAGTACGGACCACCCGTGAATAGTTGTTATACGGACACTTTCTATGACCCCCTCAGTACAGTGTCCGTATGACGGCGTTTGACTGTAATTATAGTCTTTAGTATATACTAGCTTAGCTGAAATATATAGATGTGATTTTTATAACTGAAACGTGTATGCCCGAAAACATCCTTGGAATTGCGAATTTCCAACACTCTGATCGATCTGAGCTGCCAAGGAGGCCCTTCAATAAGATGAACTAGAGTTTCAATGCATGAGTTAACGGTCATCACGGGCCCACGAGGGTAAACAACAGCGGACAAGGATATACGTGGTTCTTACAAAAGGTTTTTTGTGATATTTATCCTATAGCTAGTTGTTTCTTGAACATTAAGTGGGATCATTCTATCGGCGAGTGACGTATAGATTTTTCCATAGACGAGAATCACTTGAGGGAAAAGTCCTAATCCTGGAGTTTGTTTAACAAAGTGGTGTCAGAAGGTTAGTTATACAGCTATTTCGAGACAGGTTGTCGGAAAAGTGCGCTCGACAGTACAACCCCGAAAGGTAATGTGGGTGATTTTGAGAGTGAGTTCCATTCAAAGAAATTTCATGAGAATTGTACGACAGGCCATGGTCGTGTGTTTGCGAGTGCTAAAGGAAAGCAAAAAAAAAGCAGTTTCGACAGCTATAGTGTAAGGAAAAGTGCCATTGATCATATCCCATATCACCTTTCGGCATTGTCACGTGCACGGTTTCTTGCGACACATTTTCTCGAAATAGCAATACAGTGTTATATGGAACACAATTAATTGTAACGAACTTTTAGTTTTATTTTCATTTTTCTTTTAGCCACTAAAGAAGGTTTACCGAAACATGATTGCACAATTTGTTTATTTACCGTGTTTCTTTTTTCGCACAAAAAGGGGGCGACTATTCGAGGGAAGGCGATTATTCGAGGGAGACGATTATTTCAAATATTGCTCGGGAAGTGGTGCGGCTTAATATTTTGTTTTATTTTCCCATGAAATAAAAAAAAAAAATAAGCATGTCAAAGAAACTGAACAGATTTAGTTCCTCGATTAATTTTCAGAGCCTGAATCGTCACTGATCAGATTTGCTGAATCTCATTGCACTTCATCTTGACAGGGAAGAGATAAAGGAAAGAGAAGATGGCGCGAGGGGCGTGGGAGGGGCGATTATTGGAGGGAGACGATTAATCGAGGGACGGCTATTATTCGAGGAAAAAAGGAATACATTTTTTGTTTTATTCTTTTGTTTACTTCTTCATCGCCTTGCCGTAAGGATCAGTTTGCCGTTTCATATTTTTCTACATGTTTAATTGTACTGATCCAGGTCTACAACTAGGAGATCCCGCACCATTCATTGGTTTGGTGCTGTAGACTTGTTGATATTTTATATAGACCAAAATGGGCAAAGTGTATATGCGTTTTCAGACTAAAACGGCTCAAAAACCCTACCCGATGGGGACGCACATGCTATCAGGCTTATATAAGGGAGTACCCGCCCCCACCCCCCCCCCCCCAAGGGCAGAGAAGGCACAACCGGCATCTCCATTTTTTTTAGTCTTTACCAGACTCTCAGATAGTAGAAACGTTGCGAGAACGAGGTCAAGGGAAAATAGAACGCTTGTGCAGGTGGAACAGGCTACCATTCTCTTGACGGGACTGTTATGCCCAGGGCAGGTTACTTTCAACTACCTACAGAACTAGAACTAATCCGCCCAGCTACGCAGACAGCGAGACTGGCATTCTTCCCGTAGAGTAGAGGGTGCTGGCCGTGTACATTAAAATTGATAGGTGTCATGTCTGGTGTTTATTACAAAAGAAAACAAAACAATTACCAACTACAAACAAAACAGAAGAACAACAGCCGGACATGTATGTGCAAGGTATCCCAGGGAGAACCATCCTCCTTTCGACCCGGGCGTAAAATAAAAATCTTTGTCAGTGAACACCAATAATTGCGAACTTAGGTCTTTAAAAATTTGGTCTAAAATCGAATCTTAAAGAACGTGTCCAACAACACGAGTTGCTAACACAGGTCAGCACCGTTATTGAATGACCCACTTTTGTAAACGAATTAGTGGTGACCTATCGCCATGATCCTACATACTTGGTTCAGTATTCCCGTGCACGTGCTATACTGAGATTCCGGGGGGGGGGAGGTGGTGGCAGTTTTCGATGGCTCAAAAGGGGCCGGAAACTCTAATCTTGCGAAGCGCGAGCTCACCACATCAAGGCGCCAAATGATAGGGAAACGTTTGAGAATAACCAAGCTGATTGAAACCTATAGCAAATAAGTATGAGCGACAGCTCACTGATAAAAACTGAACACCGATTAATTTAACAAGGCCATGATTCTGGGGGACCTCGAATCGTTCTTCATATAGTATAGTAGGTGAAGTCGCTCTTGATCTAAGCAAGCTAGGGATTAGCATATACTGTATATTTGTCTGTTTTCATCCCGTAGGTCTGAAAGATCCCCTGCTTCAAATCCTGTTTGCCAGAATTGCGGAACCTTTAAAATTACGTAACCCGACGAGAACCGGAAATTATCACGCTTAAGAGGTATTGAAATCCCAATTGTTGATAGAGGGGACGGGAACTCGCTCATTGTACTTTGAAGGCAGGGTGGTCTGCTTAATGTTGCTTGTCATAATAACCAAACATTTATAAAGAAAATAAGGACTTTTATTGTATAGAAAAGACTCATTTACAATATTGACAACTTGCCTAGGCACATAACATCCGGAATGAAAAAAATATATATGCTCACTTTTAACAGTATAACTCAACGAAAAATTATTTCTTGATTATATTTATGTATTTTCTTGCCGTGTGCGAGAAACACACGCTTCTTGAAAATACCGGAAAAATGCCTGGAAACTATAATAAACTGTTGAACAACAGGGAAATAACACTTTATACTCTCGAATGCTGTTCTCGAAAATAACATTATAAAGCACATATTTACATTAAACCTAAGAAAATTAGCATGAATGACTGTAATAACACCGGCTATGTTTTGCTTGCGAGCCGCGAAAAGGTGAAAAAGTATTTCCGTTGTCCGAAAAGGTTTTACATCCAAATTCAACCCGTGCATGTGTCGTCTCAACTAGCCTAAACCCTTTCATACCATGCCAGAGATGTATATTATGAAAATCTGGTTATTTTTGTGTAGCAGAATATAAACTTAAGTGGGGCGCTTGGAGGTTAAATAGTATGTCTTACAGGACACTAGCGGCTCGTAATTCCGGTGATATAAAAATCTAATTATGCACAGGGGGGCATATTGTGCAGACTGCTTAGAAAGTCGATTGTTTTTGTTTTTGTGCAAAATGAAACTTGAGATTGTTTTTAGTTTGTTTCGCGAAGGGATGACTAAAAAGGCTTAAACTAGCTAACTAACGGTTACATTTTCATAACGCAGGTAGAGTTTTTCCTCGTGCGATAATGCGTTTTCCTGTGCTTAGCTAAATGATCGGACCGAGAAAATCTCTTATCGCAGAGGTCACAAATAAATGGCTTTATCCCACTGTGAGAGCGCTTGTGGCGAGCTAACTCATCGGATCTTGAGAACCTCCAGTTGCATCCTTTCCAAGTACAGGCAAAAGGTTTTTCGCCTGTATGTCGTCTTATGTGCGCCTTCAAATGTGAGCTCTTCGTATATACCTTGGTGCAGCCCGGGAAGTTGCACTTGTATTCCCGCGTAGAAACGCGACGCCTGACACGTTCCCCCCTGTTTCCTGCCTGCCCCTTGCAGATTGCACCTGGCTGGCCGTCGAGCGGGAATTCCACAACTGCAGCTTGACCTCCGGCCCCGTAATATTGATAACGAGCTGCTAGCCCTTCCAAATTATCGGACACATCGCTACTAGCGTCGCTCAAAGACGCAGTATCGCTCGATTGGTCACTGTCAGGTAACAACAAGCTCGCTGATAGCACCAGGTTATCTTTACCACTGGTGCCCTTCTCAATTTCAAATGTTTGCTTGTAATAGGAGTTGAACACTGAGGAAATGAGGTGCTCTTTTAGTTCGCCTACTTCATCGCATTCTGACGCAAGGATAATGTGATCATCCATCGAGTCCACGATGCCCTTGGAAAACAGATAATCAAGGTACACGTCGACTGGACAAGACAAACCAATGGAATCGATATGTTGGTCAGGAAAACCATCTGGATTCTCGGAGTATCCATAAAGCGGATATTTTCCCTCCAATTCAGTGAAATCTAAAGCACTTGGATCCATGAACTCCTCAAACAGCAAATCGCAATCCATGTCTCTCTCAGTTCTCGGCTCTGCAAAGCAAAGTTTGGGCACGCTTCTGGAATTGTTATAAAAGACTTTGTTTTTTTCCGCGTTCAAACTCTCTCTCAAACCGAGCAAGCACTTTAAGGCATGTAGCTAGAGCACCGAGCGTTTGACGGTTTAAATACCCACAAGGTCTTGTGAGCGATGCTATTGGTTAAGAAAAACACCACCATGTATCATCGCTGATAGCGATCTAACAGAAACATTCACTTCCGATTCTCTGATTGGACGCAGGCGTCAATAATGCTGCAACAAAAAATCGAACTGTTGCAAAATTTTAAAGATCCCTAGTTTTGTTACCCAAGATTAATCCCTTGACCTTTTGACTTCTGAATCTGTTTTTTCATGTTCTTGTCAGAGCTTGTTCCTTGCACTGAGCAGAGGCTAATTTTTTCTTCATTTCCTCATCGAGCTTTACATAAGGCAGATACCAGCTTTGGCTGTTATTGTCTTGGAACATAAATTAACAGTTCAATGGTTTTCAATAGGTGCCAAAAGCGATTCATTCATGTCAGAAATTTGTTTTTTATCGCACATCAAAATCCTTTGTTTTCCATCCGATTAGACACATTAAACCTACGACAAAAAAAGTTGACCCACGGAAGAAAAGTATATACTCAGAAAAATGGCTTTACTTTCCGCAAGAAATAAAACCTGCTCGACATTCCGCTTTTCTTGGTCCAATTAAACTCCACGGGATGCCAATCTCTCGGTTTAATAGGTGCCAAAAATAATTGATTTTGCATGATTTTTAACACAAATTCTTCTTACTTAAAATAATTTAAACTCGGTAAGCAAACAAATCCGCCTATTATTTTCTTTTCTTCGTTCAAGTACGTGCATAGCTAAGCAAACATGGAAGAAATCTGATTTATGTAAGCGAGGCTTAACGTTTCGAGGAAACATGCAGCACGCATTAGCAGGACTCGGACAATGTGGCATATAATACATCTCAATATCTTTTTAATTTTGGTCTCACTTCATCTAGATTTACGTGGCACCGCCACGGGCGCTTAATATAAGACCTTCAGCAGCCTTAAACAGGAACCAAAGTTGTCAGCGCTTAAGGTTCCCCTGGCACGTGCTTCGCGTGAGTGACGTCAAAGGCATTTAAAGATAACAATATAAGAAATTGTTCCGACCTATAGTCAGCTATTTATTTGGCCCTTGACTTGTATTTGCACTCGAGTAGAGACCAAAAAGGGACGTGACTTTATTTCTCTGAAAACTACAGCGGAAATTTCTGGTCTTTCTAATCTTAAACTCTGCGGAGCACAACATTTATTAGGTGATACTGGAATTTTATTGGATTACTACCTTATATTGATTCCAGATACCTCCTGTGCCAAATCATTTTCTCGTGTGGTTATCTACCGGGGGGGGGGGGAGGGCATTGTTAAATGGTACATATTTTAGCAGCACAAGTACCACTTTATACGGAATTTTTAGCCTGTGTAGCAACCGTTTCCGCCCGAGGTCGTCGAGAAAATTGGAAGGGTGGCAAAAGGGCCAAAAGGGAATTTTCCTTTTATCCTCTCCCCCTCACTATTATTATTATTATTATTATTATTATTATTATTATTATTATTATTTTCCTTCCTAAGGTCTGTTTACTCCCCCCTCCGTCCCTAAGATAAGTGATACATTAGATAATAGCAACACTTTTCGGATATCAAGAGCGCAGGGTTATAGGCTCCCGCTGATACGTAAATTTTATTAGATTATTTCTCAGCGGCGAGGAGCAATGACAGCCGGCTGTATTCCAGACAAAATATTGATAAAAGATGATACCTACTGTGCTATATTCGTATCAGCCAGTCCGAAGGTAGACTGCTACACAGCCGTTTTTAGTGTCGTCACGCAATGCTGAGGAGCGTTGCGTGACGACACTAAAAACGCAGCAGACTAGTCCGAAGGTAGACTGCGAGCAGTCTCTCCTTTTCTTCAGATGTAGTAAGGGGAGCTGCACGCGCGCGCGAGCGGCGAAGCCGCCAGACATGCCATCAGTCACGCGCGTGGCCATTTGCGTGTCTCGCGTTTTGCTCAACGGACTACAGAAAAAAGAGAGACTGCTCGTAGTCTAGTCCGAAGGGCTTTTGCCTAAACTTTGTACCCATTCCGCTTGTCCATTCCAGGCCTTAATACGTAGGACTTTATTTTCGCTGTCATCAGGAGGGCTCCTGCTGTCATTTAAGTTTTTTTCTTTGGGGGACAAGAATGGCGGGGTGGAGGGGGGGGGGGGAGCTGGAGGGGGCTTTAAGTATAATCAGCGTAAAGTAGAAATCTGATAGAACGAAAACACCTTTTTACCGGGCAGCGTTACTCCAAGGGTTTTCCCTTGTACCCAGGCTTTAAATAGAATTTTCGTCGGAGCTTACAACGAGTCTTTGTGCTCTTACAAAATGGTTGAGCTTAAAGTTTTGAGGTTGGTGGTGAGGGGAATTGTCAGGGGGGTGGGATTAGTAACTGCAGCAATCTTAACCTCCTGTCTTAACCTTCATTCAAGAGCCTGTGTACATCTGCCATCCCCCTCCCCCCACGAAATAATGATCAAGAAAACCAACAAACAAACAGACAAAGAAAAAAATATATTAAAACTTAAGTCCACAGGTTATCATTGAAATGATGTCTTAAGACAGGATTCCAAAACAAGCCCAGATCATTTTGAAAACACAGAAAACCAAAAAATATAACACAAGTAAATTTATTTTGGCATAAATTGTCAAAACTGAAATGTTTTTCAGGTCTAAAACCGGGTTCTCTTCAGCTTATGATGAAGGTAAGGGAGTGTACATGCACTCGGTATTTTTTTCTTTTTTCAAGAAATTTTTAACTTTCAAATTTCCACAGCAAGCATTCCTTTTGAGTTATTTTCAGAAATAAAGCAGATTCTAGCTCTTTTGCATGATTACTGCAATTATGGGGGAAAAGACCCGCAAGAGAGTGACTTTATTTCTGAATGCCCTAGGCTACGAGCAGGTTCTCCTTTAAGGGGAGTCATGCAAAGTCACGCAAGAGCCACTGGCCACTTGAAATGGAGAACTTTCTTGTAGGCTTTGAATGTCCCAAAACAGAATAAAATATATGAACTAGGCCTGAATCTGACATTTCCACTCCCAGTCTTAAAACCCTAAAGTTAAATGTATATTGACTTTAGTACTGATGAAAAGTTCCTTTAGTATAGTTCTAAACATCTTTATTTGTTGATTGAAGAACTTAATTAATGCGGTGTGAAGCACTAGTTTTGAACAGGATTTTGTGCATTATTCCTACACCATCTTTTTCATTGTCCCCCTCACATTGGTGTTGTTTAGAGTCATCCAGTAAATTTATTTATTGTCTCGTTGAAGAACCAGTTGGAAGGACAGCTTCAGACTCTGGTCTATAAGTTTTTCATGGTGTTGCCTCCCAAGTTTTGTGTATTACTCAACCATGCCATCTTCATTGTCCTCCTCAAATTCTTGATATTTAGAGTCATTCAGTAAATCTATTTCCCTTTGCCTTATTGGAGAACTGGTTGGAAATAGCTCTAGACTCCACTCTGTGAGCTTTTCGTGATGTCGCCTTCCACACAGATGCTTCTTCTGAAAATCAAAAGAAACAGAAAATGCATTAACATACTGCGGCAAATCTAGGGTTGGTTCACTGGGATGGGTCAAACCTACTAAAAGGTTGAAACTACAAATGTTTCCCTGCATACACGACCAAAAAGATATCAACAACAGTACAAGGTTGATACTAAGTGCATTACAATAAATATTAGAACACCCTTACCCATTCTGTTTGTGAGTTTAATGTGAGATCACATGCCTGACAAACCCACACTCCTGAGGTATCTTTTCTTAATTCCTTTTTTCTGTGATTTTTAGAAGCCATGTGGTCATCGTACATCTTCAGAGATGTAAACCTTTTGTTGACACATAAATTGCATCTTAACTTTGAAGCGGCTTCAACCTTCAAAACAAATAATAATAAGCTTGAGGATTGCTACAGTTGGAAGTGGACAAAACACTGACCCCCTGGTCCATGGACTACCTTGTGAATAATTTTACTGGTTGTTACCTGTATCTAACACAATAGTGTATTCAAAAGTTCAGGGGTCAAAATAACTTTTGGATGGTGGCTGGACATGATGATGGGCCAAAGCAATTTTTGCACTGGGTAAAGTCTCCTTTTCTGACCTGTCAAAACATTAGAAAAAGTGAACTAATCCTTGTGTAATGTTCTATTAGTGAACATGATTGTATTTTTCAAAGAGACAAAATCTAAGATTTACCGGTGAGGATAATTTTTTGGCTGTTTGTTCAAGAATAAGAGTCTGTTTGACCGGTCAACATGACTGGTGAGTGGAGCTTTTGTACGGTCAAGATGACATTCCGACCGGACATTGTCCATTGACCGGCCATTATTTTGAGTGCTGAAGGTAGTCCATATGGCTGTAATATGGGTAGTCCATCAGGGTAGTCCATGGACTGGGGCCAGTGTTTTGTCCTCTACCGCCACAGTTTTACTCACAATATTGAACCTGTGGCTTATCATTTGTAATTATCTTTTAATATATCAAGCACATCAACGTTGATTTTTCGTTCCATGAGTAAATGCTAATCAATCCCAAGCATCATGTAGATGAGAACTCTGCCGTAACATGGCCGCTAAGCCGAGAAAACTTTTTGAAACTGTAGCTGTTTTGAATTGTGTGACAAGAGGGGAATGCACTATGTATAAAAGCGGACTACACAGATTCTCTGCAGGTGAGAAAATAAACACATGCCCTTTACCAATAAAATAAACCAAGAGCTCCTACTTACTTGAAGTCGTTTAAGTTTTCGTTTCGATACTTTTGTCCCCGACCCTGTAGCAATTTCTCTTCCGTTTTCGTCCGCCATCAATCGAACCAGTCTCTCTCGGCCTCTCTTGGTTAGAATGAAAAACCGCTGAGCTCGAGGGCTCTGATAAATCCAACATGGTCGACAGATCGGCCGACAGCACAGTGGAATACGAAGCTACAGAGAAACTACCCTCTTCCAAGCTTGGAACGAAAGAATAGTAAGCAGCATTGCCTACGTATTGTAACATATGTTTTCTCTGCATTTTTTTATAGCCACACTTTTTCCATTTTTTACTTTTCAATTTGAGGGCTCCAAACCTTGATACTTCTAATATTTAAGCTTAAAGTTTTCTTTAAGTTATTTTTCGTGACTTTCGTAGCGTGTTTTTTTTAGAATCATGGTCATGAAATGAGGTACACCCTGACTTAAACAGGGTAGTGAAATGGAGGATCCCCCCCGCCCACGGGAATACCCCGACCTCGTTCCCAGGTTCTCTCTCCTACTCGTTGAGATGGTTAGGAGATGGACTACCCTGATGGACAACCAATGGACTACCCAGGATACCAATCTGAGACATATTGAAGGGAGGTGAATGCTCTCAGGCCCGTAGGAACCAATTTGAAAGTGAGAGGGTGCGAAAAAAAATTAGCTGTAACAAAGTATTTTTTGAAACCAAAAGGGGAATTCAGTATTTTCGACGGTGAAGTGGTAGTCTTCTTTTTTAAAATTTTTGCCTAAAAAGTGGGAGAGGGGGGAGGGTTCACGGGCCTACTCGGCCTCCCCTACTCCTACGGGCCTGCTCTCATTGACTGCACTACCCTCTGGACTTTGGGACCAGGGACTACATGACATCATCATCATCATCATCATCATCATCATCTTTATTTAAAAACACGGTAAATACATCAGGCATTAACAATTTAATATAAAGCTACAACTTAAATACGAAAGTTCAGTTCAGTTTTTGAAAAATCCTAAAAACTGATACTTACTGTGAGCCATGCATGGTGACAGTCCAGTAGAGTTCCAGTAATGAAGCATCGAAGTGGCTGGGTATCCTGCAGGTCTAGATAGAAAACAAGTTAAGCTTGGTTTCTAGATGGTCACTTTAATATAGCCACGAAAAGTCTGTTATACCGTAGTCTTTATTTGGATTTGCAAAGTGGCAATCCAATGTACTTCTCTTCTTTTATTAATCTTTTTCATGTTATTTTCAGTTGGGATGAGGCCTACTCAGCAGAGCTTGCTAACTTCAATGACAATGGTGATGTTGGTGAAGTCTGGTAAATATGTGTCGTATAATTTCATTTATGCAAATATTACCTTCTGTTTTTAATAGTTTGTTATGTCAGGATTATTGTTGATTCATCCTTCCCCCCTCAAACAAAGTTGATTGTTATTGGCCTCTGCTAATAAGACAGTTACTTTAATGAGCCCCCTTAAAAAGTCATTGACTAACCCCAGGCTTTCGGACTTGACTTTCTTTGGATGCTGCTGAGAAAAATCTTGCCAGTGAATACTGGAACCTCTCATTTATGATCACCGCACCTCATGCAAGTTACTTTAACACAAATTTTCGGCTGCTTGTTTGAAACTTTTCTTCATTGTTGTGAAACAACCACTTGACAGATTTTCCAATCTGCTGTGGGCGCAACCTAGTGTCGTATTTATTTATGAAAATATTACCTTCTGTTTGTAATAGTTTATTATGTCAGAAATATTATTGATCTATCCTTCCCCCTTCAAACAAAGTTGACTGTTTTTGGCCTCTGCTAATAAGACAGTTACGCTAACTAGACCCCTTGATAAATTATTGACTGGCAGGATTTACAACCTTACAGTTCTTCTGTAATTTAAATTCCCCCAAAAAACTTAACCTCCTGTTGGGCAAGTAAGAACAGAATTAACCAGTACAATAGGAAAATCCACTAACCCCAGGTTTTTGGACACAACTTTCTTTGGACGTTGCTAAAAGAGAAAAATCTTGCCAGTGAATATTGGAAGCTCTCATGATCACCGCCACCTCATGCAAGTTACTGTAACACAACTTTTCGGCTACTTGTTTGAAACTTTTCTTTATTATTGTGAAACAGCCACTTGACAGATTTTCTAATCTGCTCTGGTTGCAACCTGGGTATTTCAGATCCATGCAACCCTGGCAAGACAATCAATTTGTTTTCCCATATTTATTAATAAATTAATATTTTTTTTTTATTTATTACAGTGCAATATTCTATATACCTATATATTTTTACATTTAGGTACTGTTCCTTTTTTTAACAGGTTTGGGGAAAGCAGCATGACGAGAATAGTCAAATGGATAAAAAGTAATGAAAAGATAACAAAGTCTTCAACATTTTTAGACATTGGCTGTGGGAATGGCATGCTTCTTGTGAAGTTGGTAGGTTTACTCACTAACAAAGTTTGATTCACTTTGCTTGCTTTTCTTTTCTCAGGAAAAAAGTTAGTTGGTAATAATAGTTTATAAATATATAGAGGATATTACATGGTGGCGCGAAGATATGAATATTGTTTTAGCCACAAGAAAATAAAATTCATATCTTCAAGCCACGGTGTAATGTTCTTTTTATTATATAGACAAAAAGACATTGATAAAATAATGGAGGGAAATGACCGAAATTATGTCATCGATAAACTCACGTGTGAGATTATGGAAAATAAACCAATCAGGTCCCGGATGTAGTTTTTATGAATTTTACGAGTGGTATATTTTCCAGTAAAACACTCGTGTCTATATAATAAAATATAGTGTTAACTCTGCAGGTGTAGTCCTGTATATAGATTTGAAATACCAGATTCCCCTTCCAATAACATTGTACATGCTTGTTAATCAAATTAAGGAAGAATTTCATATTTGGTAAATTGCATCTGAAGTCACTTAGCATCTTATTCCATGCACCAAGGTTGTTGTGTTTATTTTGGTTAGTTTCGTGTTTATTTCAGGCTCACCATGGATACACAAACTTAACAGGTGTGGATTATTCACAGAGTGCTGTAGATTTGGCATCATCCGTAGCAGCAGAGGAACAAGTCAACATTAAATATCTGGTGAGTGTTTTTTTTTTTTCACTGTGAAGATTGATTTACAGTCACATCTGGCAAAGTCTACCATGTCCATAGATTTCATTAATGAACTGATTATTTGAAAAATGAATCTGTTAGTCATTGCTGCAGCCAGCTTGAATTCAAATCTTAGTTCCGGAATGCATAATGAGCAGTGAATTTTTTGGCTACAACTTTACAGTATTCAATCGGATGGGAAAATCTTTGAATGGAGAAATAAATTGCTTTGAAGACGCTAACTTATATCAAAGTCAAGAGAACTGAGCTGTCAGAATTTTCATAAGTACCTCAAGTGTGAATTCACTGTTCAGGACAAGTGAATCTGAAATCTACAACTACTAGTGGATTAAACTTTAAAAAATAAATTCGTAAATGAAATCTGCGGAGGAGGGGAGGTTTGCGCTTGACCTGGCTTGACTGTAAGTTATCCTAGTCAAATATCAAGACCTGGATTCCATATTGAATCTCATTAAAGAAAGATAAAAAAGCATGCAAACAACTGTTTGACAGTTAATGTTATCATAGGAATTTGTGTATTACAGCATGCAGTATAATAGCTTTCACTAATGCAAATAGTTACATTTGAATTGAATAGAGTAGTACTTTTGAGGCTGTGGACCAAATTCTTGAGTCAAAGTGTAACCATTTTACTGAAATGAAAGGTACTGAGCACTGAGTACTGAGCACTAACTATAATATTTATTGGTACTTAGAGTCTATTATGCTGTACTACGAGGTGATTCTACAGTCATATAAGTTTCAGGGTGTGGTTGAACTCCTAGAGTGTGGCCATTCAAATGAAAGCTTCTGACTAGTACTTTCTTGCAGTACCAATAATTATGCTGTACTAGGTGGTGATTCTTACAGTAGATGATCAAATTTATTTGCTGACAAAACAGGTGTGCGACATCCTAAATACAGAGAGTGGTGGCCTGTGCAGTGATCAGAAGTTTGATGTGTGTCTAGACAAGGGAACTTATGATGCCATTAGCCTAAATCCAGATGATGCCACAGGCTGTCAAACAAAGTATATTAACAACGTTTCCTGCTTACTGGCTTCTGATGGAGTGTTCATCATTTGTTCCTGTAACTGGACAAAGCCAGAACTTCTTGCTCAGTTTAGTAACAGTAAGTGGGATGACTAATGTCTGTTAGTTAGATGTACATGTTCGGATATAATCGTCACTTTGTGAGTGATCTAGACTAAAATTTTTTTTCCAAATTTGTTTACTCTTGTTTCCAGAGGAATTTCTAAAGAAATAACTGTTAAAATGTAAATAATGGCATTATTTGCCATCTGCAGTACCTACAGTATAAAAATGCTAGTGTGGTCTAACTGTAAGTACTGCATCATTTACCCTCTGCGAAACAACCTTAATTAAACCATCTAAACAAATGTTCAAGTAAAAGTAACAAGATAACGGGGAGCTTATGACGCTCTTACAAGGTTAGAAATGCCAACTGGTACAAGGCATTAAATAGTTGGCTTTTTCTAAGTGTAGCTAGACAACACTCCACCTAGTGTGTGGGGCGGGTCTTGAACACGGGGCTTCCAAATTGCCGGCCCCGTGCACGGATCACTCGGCCACAGTGTCCCCCTCCCCTCCCACCACGTTTATGTCAACAGGAAAAGGCAGACAACTATCAAACTGGGAGAGTTTGCTTTACAGGAAAGATCATTTCGACTTTTCTGTAAACTGAATTTACAGGAAATATCATTTTGCCTTTTCTGTAGTTTCAAAACTGAATAGTTTTAACCGTTTTTGCTTTGTTATACTTTGTATTTGTGGGGCTTCCCTTCGATTTGGAGGGGCGATTTAACGGAGGGTTTATTTTGCGTTACGAGTTTCACTTATATTTGTATTCCGAATTTTACGGTAAATTGAATTTTGAGTTCACCATTTGTATTCCGTTACAGAATTTGAGTTTCTGGAATCGCTTCCTGCTCCTTCTTTCTCGTTTGGTGGTCAGTCTGGAAATACTGTCACAACATTGGTGTTCAGAGCAAAAAAGTCGTAACAGATGAACACAAAATAATGAGAGATAACCACTCCGGCGGTGCGCAAAATTTGCATCTACCTCGCCGTCTTAACAGCTTAAGAGAAAGAGGGGAAGAAATTAATGAACGCTAAATTGTACTAGACCAGCCGGGAATCCTTGCGCGAAACGGTATTGGACGAAATGGTTTGAGGGCGAAATGACCATAACCCTGCTTCACCATTCAGAAGAATCCAGCGAATTGTCTGGGGTCGAATTAAACGAGTTTAAGGGCGAAGTGACCAAAACCTTAGCGGGTCATTCCGTGAGCCTTGAACGACATGGCAAGGGACGGAAAAGAGAAGAAAGAAGTTCTGTTAGCCTGCCAGACCAGCCAGCAAGTCTTAAGAGAAGACTAATGGCTGGGTTGAAGTGGTTTCCCACAACCCTACTGGAACTAGAAGCGATAGCTGTGTTTCATTTATAACCGAACTCTCATTGAGCGGTAGGACTTCGTGTTCACGTATGCCACGGTCATATCCCAGCTGGAAAGGTTATTCAGTTCTGTTTGTGAGATTTACTCTGTTTGGATGAGCGCTTCATGAGCGTTTCAGTTAAGATGTCGTATTTGACACCCTCTGCTTAAACTGTTGAAATTCTCTTAAGGAAACCTCTATAACAGGGACACTTCTCTATTTTGACACTTCACTTGGTCCCAAAGATATCGAACTTATACATATAGTTCCAACCTGTATAAAATCCGTCAGCGGTGTCTTCATCCTTTTTTTATACAAAGGGTACCATTTTAAAAACATTAAACCAACAGCATTCGTAATACATTCAGCCTGCATAACCGCAGCCGTTATTTTATTTTTGTTTTTTGCGTTTTCCAGGCGAGCGAAGGCAAGCGCGAAGCGAGCGAGGGGCTCGAGAAGAAGAAGGTTGTTTTGTTTTGTTTTTTTTTTTTCCTTAATCTCTGTCTGCAGAGAAAGGGCGCATTACCGGTATGCGAGTGTTTGAAGTGAACGTTTCAATATTTATTTAGGCTTTTACCTTTAACGAGCGCGCAGACATACCTACAATTGCGAATATTCAGAGTTGCTTACGTCAAATCCAATGCGCGCGCGCGAAGACAAACGTGCAACTGCAAGGTGCGTTCGAAATTTCTCTCCTTTGTGATTGGCTGATGTTAAGACAACAATTAACAAAGCTGCAACTGCAGGGTGCGTTCTATAGTTCCCTCTTCTGTGATTGGCTAATCTCTTTGCTTAACGATCAAAAGCGCGTGCGTCTGTCCTTGGTGAAACCAACGTCATAAAAAACGAGGAAATTGAAAATATGGATTTTTTTGATCGAAGTTTTTGAACTGCTTTGACGTATTTCGAGAAATGTTTTAACATGCTGACAACACTACCCCGCCTGAGAGACACCAAGGGTATGACAGCTGACAGATTGCCTCGTCTAGCATCGGACAGAAGAAAAAAGGTAATTAAGCTCTTATAATAACTCTGTTCACTTTTGGGATTGAACTGGTTAAATAGGTATGACAGAACAGTATATTTTTTTACACCTTATACCGGTGAGGTGAAATATGCGGCACCGGAGACACATAAATAAGTCATCTGATCCTGAAAGCGTTCCAAAGCATTGGGCTGAAAAGCTCTCGGTCGACGTTTATATTTTAACCCAACAAAAATGATAGCGAAAACAAACGGCGGAATTGGTAAAGTACATCAGGGCCTTGTAAAATTTTTGGCGATATCGTAATTTATCTCAAAGGGTGGGTAACGGATAAAACCGTCTTTAAGAAATCTGGGTGTGGAAACCACTTTGTTATTGAAATTTTTATTTGCTTTATTGAACTCAAAGATTGGGGTTATGTTTGTACATTAGTACATGTACTATGGAACGCACTTCGAGCAATTGCTTGCCTATCCTTGCTATTGAATTTATCTTCATTCAAAACTGCTTAATGAATTTGTAAATTTGTGAATTTGAATGTATTTTCACGGTAATGAAACTGATGACTGCGTCAATGGACCTATATTTTCTGGTGATAGCTAGCAAAAGGTGTCTTAGTTATGAAAATTTTCAGACACTCAGTTGACATTTCACTTTCATATCATTCCAGATTTCGCAGGTGGGAAAAGTATTTCCCAAAACTGTCGTGCAAGAGAAAGTCGACGAGAAGCTAGATTTTCATTGTGTCGGTCTGGATAAAGACAAAAATGTTTCTTTTCCAACTGTGGAAGGAGAATGGTCGCCGAGTGGCCCTGGCGACGAGTTGGGCTCGCTCTCGCCCATTCGGGAATTTGACGACGGGACCGAAGTCACTGTAAGTACGATTTCTTTTTTGTAATGGCTACCTTTTGTCAGCCAAGGTTATAGGGCTTTACTGGTTGCCATTAATATAGACTTTCAAAATTTAATGTTACGCCAAAGCTTCCTTGTCTAGGAACACGCAGCTTGCTTCCCAGGCGTAATCTAACCCCTGTTATTAGCGTATGCGAAGCAGCGCCGAGATTCTTTTTCCAGGATCTGCGCATGTGGTGATCAATTTAGCGTGGATCACGCAATGGTGTGTCAGCGCGGCGGGTTCATTATCCAGCGCCATAACGAACTGCGCGACCTGAAAGCAGGGATGCTAAGGATGGTCTGTAATGATGTGGAAGTTGAGCGGGTCCTTCAGGAGGTCACTGCATGGGGAGACATTAAATCATGGCGCTAACAAAGCTCCTGATGCCCGTTTGGATATTCATTCTCGAGGTTTTGGGAGAGACAGAGATCTGCATTTTTCGATGTTCGGGTGTGTCATCGTAACGCAGACTCTTACAGAGACTTGACTCCTAAGCAGAGCTTTAAGAAACATGAAAACGAGAAGAAGAGGGCTATATAGGTATGCGGAAAAGCAGTTTACTCTAGGATGGAAATCGGCGTTTGGGGAACCTTCATTTTTTCAGGAAACAGAATTTTCACGATTTTGCACAGGCGGAATGGCGGATGAGCCTGTAAAGGGTACAAAACAGCAGCACTTGGTTATAGGGGTTCCAGGGGAGCTGATCGCAAATAAGAAGGGATCGAAACGCTAATTTTACGACCACAGGCGGAATGGCGGATGAGTTTCCTGGATAAGAGACTTAAAGTGTCTTTTGCCATCGTACTAAAGTGTCTTTTGCCATCGTACGCTCTGCGATACTCTACTTGAGAGGCTCAAGATCCAGAAGACGACAGCTAGACATTGTTGATTTAGAATTACATATCGAAAACATTAGAGCCTGCCCGAATTAATATTTTTTAGGAACATTTTAAAGAAACTTTTGTTAAAATTCTAGTTACCATTACTTTTAATCGAAATGAATTGTTTTTTAACTGAAATGAAATGTTTTTTTAATTGAAATGAGTTTTTCTAATTGAAGTGATTTTTTTTAATCGAAATGAACAGGAGCCCATGAAATGAAATGACTTGTAAATAGTGCTTTGACCGAATAGTTTTGTTTTCTTCAGCGAAATTAATTTTAAATAGGTTTTAATAGTTAGCTTTGTTGTCAATAAAAGGTTATTATTATAATTATTTTATAATTGTTATTAGTAGAATTAGTATTAGTATTCGAATAACGGTTTTTGATTGAAATGAATTTTTTTAATCGGAACTATGTGGGTTTTTTTAATCGAAATGAATTGTAAATAGTACTTGTACTGGATAGTTTTTTTCTTTAAGCAAAATTTAATTGTAAATAGGCCGGATTTTGTAGTTAGTTTTCTTATCATTCATCATTAATTTTATTTTTCATCATACAATTTTTTTTTGGGTGGAGAGGAGGGGGAAGGTTGCAATCTTTCTTGTTACGTTTAATCTGTTTTCACCAGATCTTCTTCTTCTTTTCCTATCTAACGGATGCACCACTACTGTACGTAAGTCTAGGTTTATACAATCATGTATTTATAAAGCTTTGAAATGACAGGAACCTAAGGCAACAAATTTGGCTGGATTTCTTAGCAACAATTCCCAGGCTTCGATGGTCGATGTTTCGCTGGTCAGGCGTTTGCGAATACCTGGCCATCGAATTCAGGCTGTTATTTCTACAATGTATGGAAAAAAGATTTAAAACTACTCAGCACTGAGCAAAGTATCTGTTCAGCTGGGCTTTATGTCGGTCTTCCTCTCCTGAGGACATTTTTCACAGCTCGTTTTATCTCCCTGATTCTCCAGCAATACACAAGAGGATTTAGAAAAGAGTTGATGAAAACGGCCGTTGCAGCGTAGTCATAGGCAATCCTAATTGTTCTTGTGGGTCCAGTGACAAATACGTCTACAATTTGCACCACAACATAGGGGAGATAGAAAACCAACACTATACCGTAAATGTAAAGTACTGTAATAGCCGATTTTTTGCACTTGAATGCGTTCACTGTGTTGCTTTGAAGACGTCTGATAGGCACAGTTTGGTCGTTGATCTGGCGATGGTGTCTTCGAACAATCTGAAATATCTTCAAGGTGCTGACTGTTATGACTAGAAATGTGGGACAAAAGACAATTGTAAGGATAAAATACGATGGGAAAGTCGCCCAAAATCTTATAACATTTATTGTGATGAAGAAGGCATAGATGGCAGCAATGGTTTGCAATACGCGAGCGTTGGTTACAATCGTGTTATATCGTAAATGAAGGGTCAAAGCGAGAAGTCGATCAACGGACACTGCAGCCAAAAGAGAAAAAGAGACACCTGCTGTTGTCCAAGTTGATAAGGCATTAAGCCTCTTCAGTGTACAGAACAAGGCAAAACTCTCCTTGAGTTCGGCTATTTTTTCTGCCACGAAAAGCGGTTGACATATCAGTCCGACGAGAAGATCTGAAGTTGCTAGACAACCCAATAGGATAAAAGATGGCCTGTGGAGATCTTGCGTTTTTCCTATCGTCAATGCGATAAGAAAGTTTCCCGTGCATGTTACCAGAGAAAATAAACAATTGAGGATACACGTTAGAATGTTTGCGACGAAAATTTTTTCCCTTTCGTCAAAGTTACTGTTCTTGTCTGGAAAGTACAAACAGGTCCTGTTTGTTTTGTTCATGTTGAAGAAAACGCCAGAAACGGAATGAAGTTGACTCAAACTTTCTTCTGATCGCGATTAAGGTTTTAAGTGCTGGTTTTATCTTAGTGTGCGAGACAGCTGTTAAAATAAGCACGCTCCTACCGAGCTAAAATTATGATGGAACACATTAATTTTATCTGCCAGATATGAATTTGCATCCGTAATCTTGGTAATAACTTAAATAAATTGTATTTTTCAAACGATGATGATAGACTTGACTGTATTTTTGGCTTCTTTGGCGTCATGTTATTGAAAAATTATTAACCTTGGTCTCTGTGACAGTTTTGATTGGCTGCATGCCTCGAAATTTTAAAAGATGCTGGCTGCCCACTTACCTAATTAACGCTAAAATGGCGGCTTAATCATTTTGCTGTTGAACCTCACCGAGTGGGTTTAAACTGACGCGTAATTTCGCAGAAAACATCTGCAATGCACGCTAAGGAATTATGGGGACAAGAAAGATGTTAATTGTTGAAAAGTAAATGGAACGCGGCTTTTCGTGTCTTTTCAGTGGAAAATTCCGGGATCAACGAAACATCTAGTAAGGAAATCCTGTCTTTGATACCAGTTTCAGGCTTCTGCGGCCGTTTTTCGGTAAAAGGAACTAATTTGTGCAAATGGTAAAACACGGTTCCGAAATAAAATTTGCCAGTTCTAAATTTTTCCTTACGCAATACCATTTTCCCAAAACGTGAACTGACTGGCTTCCCCATGTAAATTGTAAACAACCGTTGACTTTTAGACGTAGAATAACTCTGAATCTGAAATTGAATGTTATTTGTATTTAAATTGAATAGCACGGGAATAGTATTAAACTAACGATATTCTTAAAATTCTGCATCGATGCAGACAATCGTTTGTCAGTTTATAACTAATCAGTTGTATTTTTTGTTCAATTTTTACTTAGTTGCCTGAATTACCCGGCATTCTTGGTTGCCGTCGAAATAATACCACACCCAGTCCTGATGTAAGTGAACCGCTGGATTTACTGATCAAGGGCGAGGCTAGCAAGAAATCTCAGACCCAGGTTTCCCTCGACGCTATGGAGGAACCTCCAGTCGTCCCCCCAGAAGAGGTAATAAGGAGCGACGTTTTTGAGCGGCGCACGCTGACCGGAAGTGAGCCTTTTTCTCTTTCAAAATCCCTTGAGGCTACCAAACTTGCATTGCTAAGAGTCTCAACTCTTGTAGAGACGATTTGCCCAAAAATTTGTGCAAAATCACGGTTCAAGAGTTCAAAAAGTCCACTTCCGGTTAACGTGCATCTCTCAAGGACCTCGCTGCTTAAACTCCTTAAAAAGTTTTCCAGTTGTCCGACTACATTATTTTTGGTTTCATTGTTACATGCAGTAGCTGCTGTAAGAACTGTATTAAACTGGTATTGCAAGCAAACAAACAAAAACAACGAACTGGACGCGTTAAAAAGTCATGCCTTTCACGGCGGCATACCCATCTGTCTACCCCATCAGTATTGTAGTATAGAGCGTGTTGACATGACGTTACAGCGGCCATATTTGTGTTCCAAAACATGAAACGGCGGCCATATTGGTGTTCTAAACCAATCCTGTGGATTATTAACTAAATTTGAATAGATGCTGGCCTCGTGAGTGAAACATTCCATAAGTTACGCCAAGCATAACAACTTATTTATTTATTTACATTTAATCAGGTGATGAGGACCAATCTTGAGCCCATAATAGACACTCTCTTTGAAGAAGATGAGTTGTTTGCACAAGACTTTGATCAGGACGGTCTCAATCGCATTCTTTTCATTCGCAAAATGGGTATCTATGTCGAGGTTAGGTTTTTACAAGTTAGCTACAGCCTCCCTTCATCAAACCCGTGGTCTGTTCTCTGTAGAGGTCGCTTAGGTTATTCAGAACGGCGAAAAAACGTGAAAAATGGAGATTTAACGATCATGTTTTAATAGAGCACTAAAGTGTGACGTCACAAAAAACTAAATTTGTGAAATTATGGGATTTGCCAAGATATTCTCAAAGAACAACGTCCACGACGCCTACTTGCCAAAAATTAACGTTGTGGGGCAAACTGTCTCTGAGATATTACCCCAGTTATGCTTTGATGATTCCATACAAATCGTTCTAAATTTGGCTTGGGTCTAAACAAGTAGGCGTCTTGGACGTTGTTCTTTCAGAATATGTTGACAAATCCCATAATTTCACAAATTTAATTTTGATGACGTCACCACTTTAGAACTCTATACACGCTTCGTTTTGCGTCTTACCCTCTTTATATGCGATCAAACCTCTATAAAGCGAGCACCCTCGGCGAAGGATCAAGTGGTTGCTTAACCCTTTAAGTCCCAAGAGTGACCAACATCAATATTCTCCCAACAATATCAACATACAGTCAAGAGAATAGGTTATGAGAATGAGTAAAATGATCACCTAAGGGAAAATGCCTTGATCTTTTATCAAATTCTCTCAACTTATTCTTTATGAAAATGTATAAGGACCAGTTTGGAGAATTTGTATGTGGATACTGGGGCTTAAAGGGTTAATAGAGACTTCGTTTACAGTTATTTACTCTATTATTTTGGTGGTAAACTTCAACCCGAGTTTTAGCAATGGGCAGTTTCCGAGCACCAAATTGGTTATCATATTACATAATTCAAAAGAGATAATCAGGGTGCAAACCTGGTTCAACCAATCAGGGTTTTCTGTCTTGAACCATATGTGAATAAAACCTGGTTAACCAGGGTATTCCTGGTAAGCCTGATAATCTTGGTTATTCTAAGAGCCCGGAAAACCAGGCTTTAACCAGGCTCTTGAAGTAACGAATGAACTAGGCTTACAGGCTTACTAGACTTGAAGCATACGTGCAAAAATGGGTGGTAGCCAAGTTATTCCTGGTAAGCATGGCAAGCCTGGTTGTTCTAAGAATCTGGAAACCCAGGCTTTAACCAGGCTCCTGAAGTACTGAATCAGCCAGGCTTTATATTTTACACTACCTAAAGCTAGCTGGTGCAGGGACAGGTGATACAAATTCCTGACAGCGCTGCATGTTTTTCTCGGTTACAGATCAAAACGAAAGATTATCTCCAAGGAGTAGTATGCACGCCCTTGTTTCACTGTCCGAGATGTAAAGACCACTGGATGGAGTTTGGGACGGTGCCTGAAAACTGCCAGTTTGCACGGCAACCTACTCGTGGGCCGGCCATACAACTGGCCAGCAGTAGAAAGCCTGCTAGAAAACGGAAGGCGAAAAGAAAGCTTGGGTTTGTAGATGTTATTTTATTTTAGGATAATCATTGAACCGCGGTATGGATCAAGAAGTAAACAGCGACTTCTATATTCCGCTTGCGGATATTTGCTCGGACAAAATGTTTTTGAGTCAAAAATCGAAGTTCACTTGAGATAGGTTCTGCTCTACTCTAGTGTGAACGTAGCATACACGTGTGGTGGTTTCAAAAGAATGGAGAAGCAAAATTTTCATTTGCTTTACATTCTATTTGCAGAGACATAAAGGAAGGTTTCATAGTTTCCGGAAGTGGAACGGTACTCAACCAAATTGACGAAAACGATTCAGAGCAAACTTCGCCCCAGTCCCACTCTAACCGTGGTAATACCCAGTCCACCTTGGGAGACGTAGCCTTACCTGACTATTTGAAATCTGATGACGTAAAGCTTGAGGATATAAAACTTCAGGAGATCGACTCGTTTACGATGATGGAGGCATTCAAGGAAGTAGCGGACATACAAAAACTGGATAAGGAAACTTATGTTAGAACCGTAGCAGAAGTACTTGGATTTAGCGAGGATCAGTACGATGAATTTGCAAGAGTCACTATCAAAAATGCGGAGGACAATATCGAGCCCAATGACAATTCCTGTAACTTTAAAGCACCTACTCTGACTCGTTTTCAGTCCTCTCTGTTTGGATCGCACGCGGAGGATGGACTAGGGATGAGTCAGGCACCTACTGCAAATAAGGAAACTTATGTTAGAACGGTAGCAGAATCACTTGGATTTAGCGAGGATCAGTACGATGAATTTGCAAGAGTCACTATCAAAAATGCGGAGGACAAGATCGGGCCTAATGACAATTCCTGTGACTTTAAAACAACAACTCTGACTCGCCCTCAGTCCTCTCTATTTGGATCGTACGCGGAGGATGGACTAGGGACAAGTCAGGCACCTGCTGCAAATAAGGAAACTTATGTTAGAACGGTAGCCGAAGCACTTGGATTTAGCGAGGATCAGTACGATGAATTTGCAAGAGTCACTATCAAAAATGCGGAGGACAAGATCGGGCCTAATGACAATTCCTGTGACTTTAAAACAACAACTCTGACTCGCCCTCAGTCCTCTCTGTTTGGATCGCACGCGGAGGATGGACTAGGGACAAGTCAGGCACCTGCTGCAAATAAGGAAACTTATGTTCGAACGGTAGCCGAAGCACTTGGATTTAGCGAGGATCAGTTCGATGAATTTGCAAGAGTCACTGTTAAAAATGCGGAGGACAAGATCGGGCCCAATGACAATTCCTGTGACTTTAAAACAACAACTCTGACTCGTCCTCAGTCCTCTCTGTTTGGATCGCACGCGGAGGATGGACTAGGGACAAGTCAGGCACCTACTGCAAATGGGACAACGCCCAGTCAAATAACTATTAATCAAACTGTAGATGACATTGGGGATAGCTTCGGCGAATTTACAGCACCCTCTACTAATAAAACAGCGAGAGCGACTGGCACAGACGTAATGGAGAAATTTAGTGACAAAGCCTCTCTGAGGTCTATTTTGAACACGTCGATGTTGAACTCCATGACGGTCAAGGATCTGCCCGACCGGATAAGGGGCAAGCTTTTGTCGATACTTCGGTTCCAGAGGAGAAATAGACAAAAACAAGCCGCGCCTCAAAAGGCTTCCACCAACAAGAACTGGGTATCTTTTATCGTGAATATCGATAATGAAGAGTCTAATCTTCTGGATCTGTCATTCGAGGATTTAGCGAATGACATGAGAGAAATCTCAGTTGTAGTAAACAAAAATAAAAAAAATTCACGAGCAAAGCAAGGTTCAAAGCAAGGAAGATCGCAAGGGCAAAGTAGTGATGGCATGAGTGACTATCTTGATTCTCGTAAGTCAATATATGAATATTTTAATTTCTGTTCTTAAGTTACCTTTACGCCATACTAGGTTCAGGGTAGTAGCCAGACTTTAGGCATAAAAGATGCAAGATCTGAAAATCCTGGAGGGAAGCTAAGCGAACCCATTGGAAAGTCTGCGAGTATAGCCTCAGAAAGTTTTGAAATTTGGAAGCTCTGAAACATTGAAGAGGAACTAAAAATTACTCGGGAGCAAATACTACTCGTCTTTTTTCGTCTAAAAACTTAAAGGTACCGTAACAATTCTAAGGGCGTTCACCTTAGATTTTACTACCCTAGGCGGTTTCAATCCACCAGTTTTGCCCTCCCCTCCCCCCTGAAATCTTCAGAGAGCACTCTCATCTTTTTCATAGGGTATTAGCGAAACAAGGGTGGCGTAGTGAGGTCAGGATCTGCAATTTACACCCCTAAGCAGGTAGACGGCGGCGCCCTTCTCCTTCACAAGCGAGTCCCTCCTTTGGGTTGTGATACTGTGACGAAAATGAATAGCAGTTTGCATTGCATAGACAACCTGCCCTTGCTGATGGGGTCTACATTTTCTAACATGATTATTATCATTTTTTGACCCCAAAGCTGAGACAAGGAGAGGTTTTGCGGAAGGAGGTTCGAGAACAGCGTCTGCCAGCGGTCAGAGATATTCTGTTTTATCGTCTTTTGATTCAGATGAAGAAGGACCCTCGACTTTAAGGTCCCCCAGTGATGTCCTAGCTTATAAGGAGGTGATTGGTACTCAACTAAGTGAAAACAGAGGATATTACATGCCCGCGCGTGGATACGAATTTTATCTTCGAGTGTTCAACTCGATATCTCACTCGTTCGCTGCGCGAACACTTTAAGATAAAACTCGTATCCACAAGCGGGAATGTAATATTCTTTTTATCATATAGACACCGATGACGAGATGCTGTGATGCTCTTTTCTGATTGGCTGAGACTGAAGTAGCCATGACAACCATGATATCTTCACATGTGAAGGATAAAATACCTGGAAAAAACCTGGTATTTCATCGGTGTCTATATAATAAATAGAGTGAGGGGGTAGCACATATTCTTCAATTACATTTTCATATGGACCTGGGGTCAATTTAATAAAACTTTTTCAAGTGTCATTTACAAGTGTAGCGATTGTTTTCAGACTCTAAACCAATAGCTACGCCTGTAAATTACACTTGTAAAATTATTAGTAAATTGAACGTTGATTGTGGGTCCGCCATCCCCTCTGAATAGCCCACGTTCGATACATTAAAGTTGTAACATGACTCCCAGGCTTTCTGGCCATTTTTTGTTTTTTTTTTGTGCTCAAGTCTCTTTTGGAAAGTGTGAGACAACGGAGTCATGAAAAATATGCAATTTTGTCCCAAATGCCTCGGATTCATGTTACAATTTTAATATGGCGAACGTGGGCAATTCTGGCAGCTAACCAGTCGTCAGTAATCTATTCTTTAACAAGAGTATTTTAGCGCGTATCTGCTGATACTTCTCACGTACGAATAAACTTGTTATAATAATCTGACCTTTTTCACGTTTTAGTTACAAAGTCAAAAACGTTCCAGAAAGAAGAATCCATCAATGAGGAACCGAACAGGGCAGCCAGATACTCCCTTCCAGAGACTGGGTCGACATTCCGTCTCTGTGCCCAATAACAGCGCGTCATTTTACTCACATGACGATGGCGACTCTGATGAGGAGAACTGGGGACGAAGGCGAGCTCCAAGAGTTGGTTCCAGCCGCGCCCATATGTCAGATTCGCGCGCATCGATTATGTCTGATATGTCACGTGCCCCACACGTGAGTGATTCACGGACATCGATGCTCCAAAAGTATAGTAGGGTTATGGGAAGTGCGCGTGCGCGAAAAGATGTTTCATTTTCCAGTAAGTTGTGTGTTTTATAATGATAGTACATGAGTGTTTCTGAGACTGTAGAGTAAACGAGCATAGCGTTGGTTACCATTTACAAAACGTTTCTAGAAATTCCGGTTGAAATTCTCGGGAGAAAAGAAATATTATTGGTCGATGGAATTCAAGGTAACCGTTAACCAATCATAGGCAACACTTGTCCACCCAAACGATCCGAGAAATCATTGCGCCGAAAGCTTTAACCCATTCTCTATACAGTTTTTGGAGTGGGGAATTCAAGGATTCAGGAAGTAAGGCTATGCGTACCTCCCTAAAATGTCTTTTTCAAGAGGAAGACCAGGCCTCAGGTACAAGCTGATACAACACCAAAAAATAACAATGCTTTTACTATCTTTTGCAGACTTAGATGACCGTATGTCTTACGGTTCCCTTAGAAACGGTGATAGTGTTTATGCCATTTATGACGATGAGGCAACTGGGGGCAAATCCAATAGAGCTCGCCGCTCGATAAGGAAGAAGGAGAAGGGAGACAGTGTCAAGAGACCTGGGATGTACCATAGCAAAGTCATTCAAGACATGGCAGTGGTTCAGGGAAGCCCTTCAATAAGTCACGTGACAGAATCATTTGGCGATGCCAACATAGCGTATGGCTCGAACGCTAGGTTGAGTCAAGCGCGTATTTCTCTAACGGAAGCAAGCAGTAGTGCTTTGATAAGTAATTCCACCTTGATGAATAAGCCCTCTATGCGACCTACAAGTAGCGTCATTATAAAGAAACCGCAGAAGCGAACAGAAACACCAGAAATGGAATGTGCGCTCTTGCTAACTGAAGAAAGTAAAGCTGTAAATAGCATAGATGAATTACCGCCACTCGAACCTGCAGTACTAGAAGCCAGCGTCACTACAACTCGAACACATGAGCAGGAGTTGAATAGGGAGCAGAAAGAGATGAGGGAAAAGCTTTTTAAAACAGTAGAAAAGAGGAAACCGCTTATATCACTGGCAGATTTAAACTTCATTCACAGACTTCCTGTTTCGAGTGCTTTCACATATTCATTTTTTGAGTTACCCAGTCACCACCGAGAGCACAACGAATCTATCAAGAAAGCTGCTGGCCGGATTGGCCGCCGTAGAAAAAAAGAGTCCGGTCACTTTCGAAGTAAAAGCGCGCCCTAACCGCGATTTCAACTTTGGAGAAGAATTTAGAAATTTTTTATCTTTCTTTAGGTGTAAAGGGTCTTTGTTGATTATTTGTTACTGTTTGTTGGGTAATGGACTAATTCAAAAAAACTTTCCCTTTCATCAAAGGATTTGTTACCATAATAGAGAATTACATTATGAAATGTTTCCTTGGGCAATGGGTTCTAGTTTATCTGCGACAGAAAAATTGTTTGGTTGAGTACTATGACATTGCAGTAACCGAGAGAACGTCACCTTTGTGAAAGCTTTTTATTGCAATAACACGCGTCACTGCATGAAGTTAAATGCGTGTTTCAAGTCATGTGAAGTTTCACAGCGTTACATGTACGCTGACAATCGTTGTGGTTCGACATGGAGTCGTCGTTAACAAAGCATGCGTATAATATAAAAAACTGTATATGTTCATGTTGATCAAAAGTTTATTTTGTTTTCAAATTTAATTTCCAAAGAAAGCATCATTGCGTTCCAATTTTTTATCCAGCTGTGCCCGTTCTCAGGACGACTGATTTTGCATTTTTGAGTGTTCAAGATATTCATTAATTTGTTTAAAATTTAATTATATGTTGTTTTTAATGATATATAAAATTTTCAAGGGTACTTTTGATCTTGTTAATTTTAACCACGGTTCTCTATTTACACTGCCTATTCTACATTGTCTTGAACCAGCTGCAACCGAAGGAAATACGTTTTTAGCCGATCGGTCGTAAAACAAAGGCGACAACACCCGAGCTAGTTAAAAACAGGCCTTTTCCGAGTTCCTCCGGGCCTCTGTGTCAAAACGAGAATAAGTTATACGATTTTTTATTCTGATGTAAATACAACTGTTTCTCACAAGAAAGGTTGTCCACTTGGCCTCATTTTGAAAGTGAGGGTTTTTGGAACTCGGAAATGACCTATTGCTTTCGGACGTTTCCCCGCCCCTCCCCTCCCCCCTCCCGGTGGCGTGTCTTTAGCGGGGAGGGTAAAGACAAGAGACCTCTCGCAGACTTGGTCAGAAGCGAAGTATTCTTCCCCAATGATTTAAGGCTAAACTTTTTCAACGCTTGTTACCATTGGCTGAATGTCTCGCTCGTTGCTTGCATGATATTTGTTCCCCGGGAACATCAGCGGCATAGTCCAGCTATATTCTGTACCAGCCCTAAGACTGCGTGTTTCGTAGATGTCTAGGGCACTTCCAGACCAATAATACCACGAGAATAGAAACCGTAAGTGATATGTTTAAGCCAACGACATAACCAAACAACTCTGCTATCACTCCCGCAAGGAACAAAGACAATTGCTTACCCAGAATCTCTAGCGCGCCTAGAAACGAGTAACAAGTGGTACGCACAGACGGTGGTGCATTCTGGGAACATCGTAGCATAAGAGTGTAAACTGGAGTAGCCTGGGATCCGTGAACCACGTTGAGTAAAATGTACACTGTAAGGAGTAAAGAGAAGTCTTTTCAACAATTAAACTAAGTGTGTTTTTAAATACAATTGTCATCGTCCTCGACGAATGCAAAAACCCCTAGATTCGTTAGTGTAGTAGCTGTGTGGACACTTACCTAAGGCGATGTATTTGGTGTTGTTGAAACAAACCACATAGAGCTGTACACAGACGGAACATACAGTCAGTAAAGACGACAATACAACCATCTGCGCCGGAGTCATCCTAAACAGTGATCAAGGAATTATTCTTCAGAAAATTGCTTGCTATTCTAACTATAACTACCTCGTATTTTGATTGTATACAGTGATATTGTAGCTTAAGAGCGACAAACAATGTTTCGCCCTAATTAATATTAGGTTTAAAATTCAACAAAGCGTTTTGAAGTCGTTGTTGAACATGAAGCGCGGAATTTTCGGCCAGTAGACGGACACTTTCGTGTTTCAGCCGTCCTCTTTTCTATCTCTTCGACTCACCCTCACTCAGACTCCCGCCGTACCAGGGTATGTTCACTACACTCACCCCTAGCACTTCCAGTCTCAGCTATACTACGAGCAGTCTCTTTTTTTTCTTGGTCTGTCTAACAAAACGCCCGAGACACGCAAATGATCCCGCACCGGACGGGGGAGGCACGACTGCCGCCCCCGATTCTCGCGTCTCGCGGCCTCGCCGCTCAACGCTCGCGCGCGTGTGCACTCCCCTTACTTAATCTGAAGGAAAAGAGAGACTGCTACCAGTCTAGTCTCAGCAGGATGGTGGTCAAACATCGACAGGGATAGCAGAATCTAATGGGGCAGATGCCTTGGACAAAGAAGTGGTACACTTATAACACATACAATAATCAAATGGAGGTCGCATTGATAATTTGTTATGGTCTTACCATTTAGCAGCTAAGATCATCCCGGTCACCGAGGCAACAGCAATGGATATGAATTGACCAGCCACTCCAGACAAAAAACCAAGGCGGCTTATGGTCTCTCCATCGTCCACCAAGAACATGGTTAATAACGACTGTGACGAATGTGAGGCGAATTTGTAAACGCATGCGCAGATTATCATCCATTGAAATTCAGAAGAGCGCGCAAACCCAGTCATCCGCGGACCGCCTGGTAACAAGTTCGTTTCCACTTCCGGTTTGTGAACAACTTCCGGTTTAGCAGATCTTTTCGTGACCCAAAACGCGAGTGACAGGATTAAATATATTGCGGAGAGTGGGACGAGAATTTCCTTACCTATGAAATAGATATCTGCCAGCAGCAAGGTTAAACCTCCACCGAACAGAAATCCTGTTTTGTAGCCGACGATTTGAACAGAGCTGGCTTTTGAGAGTTCGTTGCCATGATGGTCAGTTATAAGTATTTTTCCGAGAGTGAGATCAATTGTCGCGGAACAAAAATTAAGCATGACCAGAGACAAGGCAAATATCCATCCAGCGTCGGTGTTAGCCAGTGACAGGGAAACTACTATACCGGCGTAATTCAAAGACAGCCATGTATTTTTATCGCCGTAAGCATCAATGATAGGTGCCCAAAGAGATTTGACTAGCCAAGGAAATGTCAACAAATTCAGTGAGCCCACAAGGAAAAGAGATGACCCGGTCTTGCGTAGGATGATAGGAAGATATCTGACTTGAAGTCCATATAATGTCCCCTGTAAAACATACTGCAAGGCTAATAGCAGATAGCTCGACATCCACGATCGCTGAGTTTAAGACCTCGGAGTTTAGCGTAGACACAAACTCTCTCCCACTCGTAAGATTGGAAATCATATATGCCTTATCGGAAACCTCGTGATCACCACTCTTCCGGCTCCTCTTTGACCGTGGTTATTTTCAAAGTTTATTTCCGCTCTACAACACAGTCTGTTTGCATAATCACAGATACATAATTTCTCTGCATTTCACACTCCTCGCTATTCCTCTATTTTATGCAGGGAAGAGGTTCAATTTTGCCATTTTTCATATATTCAACATTGATTTTCCCAATATAAAGGTTTCTCTATTTTCGATTACGCAATATGCCCGGGGGGGGGGGTGTCCGGATTTTAAGTCCGGATTTTAAGTGACAGGGATGATCGAATCGGGGCAGACATCAAAACCACAGAAAAATCCTTAAGGCTCCAAACAAAACCCAAAAAAATCCCTGCACCAAAAGTTAACTCCCGAAAATTCCCATTCCGAATTTCGTAGCCACAAAAATGTCCAGAAAGCATTAAATGGCATAACACAAAAAAAATATGGGGGGGGGGGGCAATATGCTTTGTAGGCGACTCTGATTTGCGGCTTCCGGTCAGGTGATCGTAAGGAGAAACCACTTTATCCCTCTCGGAAGTGGCTTGTGGACAGGCTTCACGCTATCTGATGGGGAAAATTATTTCAATAATAAATATAAAAAAATCGCCCCTTTTGATACTGAAATAGTTAAAAGAGGGTATCAAGAAATAATAGACAACAGCAACAGTATAAGAAGAGAAAACAAAGTCAGACAAAAAACATTTCTCACAAATTTATCACCAAAGAAGTTTTTATTTAGATGCAGGATTTGGATGATCTTGGATTGCTCTTAACGATGCAGACGTTTTCTTAGAGCTCGCCAGTACTCTATTCAACCCGGTTCCTAAAATTTGGCCAGTGTGTTGAAATCCGAACAAATTAGCCTGACTACACTTCCTAGCTGGGATGAAACACTGGCTACTTTTGTGACCGAGTAGGACTAAATTTCTTTTAGGGGAGGGGAGAGAGAGGGCACAAAACTTATATGAGGACGGAAGCAATTCAGATTCTTAAGATTCTTGTCAAACCACATGTTATTTCGCCCCATCTCAAGTAAGGAAAGCAAGGACAGTCTTAGATTCTGGATTCCACGCCCTGGATACTGGATTCGTGGTACTGGAGTTCAGTGGAGCTTGGGTTCTGGATTGTAATCAGTGGTGGAATTCTGGATTCCTTGAGCTGTATTCCGAATTCCAAAGCCCAGGATTCTGGATTCCACAAGCAAAATTTTCTCGGATTCCGGAATCCAGATGCAGAATCCAGATTCTGTTTGTGTTTGGTCACGGAAGTTACATGAGGATGAGTTACTCTAGGTACTGGTCGAATGCATAATCCCTCAAAAATGGATAACTCTGGATCGCCTGTGTTACTCTCATCTTCTGTTCTTCAGTCCAAACTACTTTGTTTCTGGTCACTGATGGTGCACCATACATGATGCTACTGCATTTATCAAGGTAATCATCAGAGCACGTGACCCCCAAATGGTCACATATCTTCTGTATGGTCTCTCTTGGTCTGAGCACTGTTTCGTGTCCTGGAATGTCAATCACTGCGTCTCCGTAACGTTCCCGGACGCGCTGATTAGCGTCTGCTAATTTGAAGTAAAAGTCTATGGATTTGTCTAGACTTTTTGTGTTATTAACCTAAGAAAAAAGGTAAAAGCACGAATTTATCTTTCGCACTCTTAATAACCAGAGTTATTATTTAGTATAGGATAATGCGTGAGCTCCGAGGCCTTCTTGAAAATAATGACCGAGTGCGTATCGCGAGGTTATTATTAATTTTAAGAAGAGTTAAAAGTCAGGGCATTATCCGATTTAATGCACCTTTACATTTATATAGAACCAGCTGGTCTATGACAGCCCTGTTCCACTTCAGTGACTTGCTCTTCCATTTGTTGAAAATAATAACCTGTTCAAAACACTGGAAAGGTGTATTTATCGTTTGTGATTGGCTTAAATTTCCCGGCTAATTCAAAGGGAAATTGCTACTAATGTAACGTCAGTCGAGACTGGACAGGTATAAGTGAACTTACGCAACAGGACGGGAGAGGAAAGAAGACGGCAAACCTTGTGTGACAAGCGTGACAATAATTTTATTTGAAACAACTTTTGGCCAAACTTCACTTTCCTTTAAACAGATCTTTTTGTGAAAACCTTGGTGATGCGACAAAACCGACGGCTCAGGTCCTCTTCTTTGGGGTAAAGTGACAGCAGAACTGGAGAACTGGAGAAAATGGCAGAAGATTTCGCCCGTTTGAAAAAGACGAGATAGACGATTTACTGCTTCAAAAAGAAAAAGAATTCACAGAAATGCCACCTTTGGCAGATAACGGCCTTCTCAAACATTTGCTTAATATCTGACTGGTATTCAAAATAATTTTCCTTACTTGTAACCTTATCTCACCTTTGTATTGCCTTCTCTCACTGCATCACGACGTCCTAAAGCACGAAGAGTCATTGTTGCTATGTTATCAAATGGGTTCCTTGTGACGTGGATGAATTTCATTGGTACTTGAACAACTTCGGCTATTTCCTCAAGAGTTTTCATTCTGTCTGGATTGGCTAAAATCATTGAACTTTGACCACCTTTCTTGTCTCCAATAACCTTGCCAAAATAAATGTTAGAAAGGATCAGAATTTACTAGAGCCCTTATCGTCGTGTTCATCTGTCAACACCAGCCTACTCTCTAGGCATGTGACGTCACCGAGAGCGATTCTCACCCACCCTTTCCCAAACTTCGCGCGGACAACGGGGAAAGAGAAAATGCCAAGTCAACACCAAGGAGGTAGGCGGTTTTAAGCTAAACTATGTCTTCCAATTCACATGTCCTGTACAACTACTGTATGGATAAACATATTGAATCGTTTTCTTCTGATTTTGCCAGCTCAGGTTTAAGAATGGGTAAGATGATATCATGATGTGAAACGTAAGTTTTTCGCATAACTAAGTCATCAGCAGCCTCGCATTCACTCCAAGGCCAGGGTGCAAAGCATAAATATTTCAAATTATCCGTTAGGTTTAAATCACGTTTTCTCTTAAATCTTTGCGTGGAAGAAAACTGACTGATAGCTTAAAAGGGGCGTGATATGGGTGATAGGGGTGGCTTTGTCAAGGCAGTCTCGCCCATTCTGTTGAGTATTGCTAGTTGTAAACAGACAAATCTGTCTCCCAAGCGTTATGGTTGAAGTTACACATAACAAAGGTAAACTTTGAAACCTAACTCTTCAGCTGAAAAATGTTGTAAGCGTTAATTAAAAATCCGTTTTAATTATGTCCATCCGTATTTGTTTTGTATTTGCTGTGATATTTAATCCATCTTTCAACGTTTCTTCTGTTTTTTTTTTTTTTCTTTCTATGCTTCGTCCCAGTTTAGTGAACCCTCTAAAGGGAAAATTTAGCTAAATTTCGTGATACGGGTCCTCTACCATTCAGTAGCTTTGCATCTCTTTAAAGCAGCTGCTTTTGTTTTCGGGCTAGGTGGCAATGTTAACTTTGCTTGTTAATTGTTTTACCAATCAAACTCGTGTGGTCCTCAGAGAGACGCAAGGTCACCCTTGCCATTAACTTGTCCAAAGAGTCAGGATAGTGTAAATTGGTTTAGTTTTTTGTTGTTGTTGTTTAAAGTGTGAAAAATTGTTAAAATTTATCAAATAAAAAAAAATGCTTTGATACCTTTATTCTATGCTGATACCCGCCTTGCCAAAGTCCAGGGACATTATATGTGTACGTGTAATCACCAGTCAGCATAGTATTGTTTTTATTCGCGCGGATTCCAAACACTGCTTGCCTCATGGAAAGCTGCTGAAGCTTTAAAAACAGAGAATATTTTTGCATATGTTTCTTTGAAGCCGTTTGCGACTGTAAAGATTCCCATTGACCCAGAAGGTTGAACTCGTGAGGTATGATGATTTCAGGATGAGCATCTAATATGGCGCCAACTAAACTGTGACGACTACGAGGATAACCAATGAACAGAACAAACGTCTCCACTCCATCATAGAGTTTATATAATTTTTCCACAGGAGACAGCAATGAAAATGTCCCTGAAAGACACAAAGAGAGAACAAGGTTTGCGCGTGATTAGCACAGCCGGAAAAGGATAATAGTTTCTATTGGGATATACTGCCCGACAAGAAGGGTTGTACAACAATTAGTCGAGGTAATACGGATTCCCGAATTCGCGAAAAGTTTTGACTGTGGAATCGTGAATCTGTAGGAGAAATTTTTGCTTGTGGAATTAGGATTCCTGGGACTTGGAAGACGTAATCCAGCTTAAGGAATCCGGAATCTCGCTAACGATTGGCGTGAACTCGGAATCCAAGTTCCACTGACAAGGAGTCCCGAGTCCACAGAGTGAAATCCAGAATCCGACACTGTCTTGGATTACGTTACATGGAGGGAAATTGGGGCAAGCAAATTATTCTGGGAAACTTCCCACCTGCCCCTCCCCTAAACCAACATTTTGCCCTAAAGGAAAAGTAGGTGTTGATGTTGTCTTAGGCGAGGGGTAGGTGGGCAGTTTCCCAGAAACTTATAATGATCCAAAATTGTTAAGGATAGCTGGGCTTCGGATTACGTAAGGAATGTTGTGGAATTCCGCTTACGATTGGAGCCAGGAATCCATTAAGTTCCATTGACACGGAATCGCGGAGTCCATAGCGTGGATTCCAGGATCCAACTCTGCCTTGGGTTATCTTAAATGGGGCGTCAAATTAGGGCAAAAATTGTTGAGGATGAAGTCTTCGCCCCGGGGTGGAAGGGTCACCTCTTGTAAGGAATTTGCCCAAGTCAAACAGTAAGCATTTCCGGGGATAGGACAGGATAGATAGAACTGTCTCCGGGAGCCCATTACCCGGAGCGAGCAACTTTCATGCCCTTGTGTCACGGCGTTTTTACGGACCAGTCTATTTTTAAATTCCACAAACCAGTAGGCAAAACCTACAGACCTAACAATGATATGTTTTTCCTTTTAATAACGTTTAGTTTTCCTTTTTGATATCTTATACTTCGAGTGCGCTCATAGACATGGTGAAGATTATAATTTCGGGGGAAAAATTGCCCTAAAATGTCTCTAAAAATATACTGGTCCGTAAAAAACGCCGTGACATAGGCCTAGTATGGGAGTTGCTTGCTCCGGGTTATAAGCTCCTGCTGTCTCCCACTCGCTAAAGGCGCAGTTGTTTTGCTTTGTTACGACTTCCTCGCCAGGAACGCGGCGTAGAAGGCAAATTCAAAAGTCATGAACTTAATTACTGCTGACGCCTACAAATTACTCACCGACTCTCTTAACTGCTATGTTTTCGAAAATGGTCATGAGTTTTGTTCTTGACGTTACAATTTCCTCTGTTCTGATTATAAAGTATCGAAGAGCTAAAACAGAGGTAGCTATAACTCCAACCAGAAAGAAGGAGATAAGTTTGCGTCCAAGGAGCATTATGTATGATATTAAAATCTGAAAGAAAGAGAAGGAAAATCATATAAGACACTGTGAAATGTTGTGTCAGTAGGTCTTTAGCTACTTTTTCAATGATATAGATCTTGTTTTTTCACATGACGTCACGTCCGTCATGTTTTGGTGTCCCTAAACAAAACGGCGCTCATTTTGGTGTCCCTAAGGCAATCGTGTGAGAGTTGAACCTTTGGAGAACCTGGTGAAAACTTTCTTTCCTTCCAATGGATCGGCGTAGCTGCTGGCCACGTAAGTGAAGGCTCATCGATCGTCTTGTACAGTACAACGTTCCTTTGAATGTATGGGGGAGTCAATAATCGATCATAACATTCGGACTCATTTCAGAATTCACCCACAGATAAAAAATCGTTACTGTATAGTTTACCAAACAATAGAAAAGAGAAAACCTTCCTACAAAACTTAATAAAATGTTGCCAAACCTCAAATGGTTTATTGTAGATTCCGCGACTTAGACGAAAGATGAAGATCTGTCAGTTCGCACTTTGCCTGATAAATATCTTCATATAGATTTTTATATAAAGTTATTTTTTCTTCGCTACTAATCTACTTCTGCCGAGGTTTTAACTTTATGGTTTTTTGGGTGCCTACGTCTCAAAAAAAAAAACATCATTCAAATGCTCCAGCAAGGCAACATACATTACCGGCCATGGTTATACTTCAATTCTAGGCAAAAACATCGCACTCAATTCGGCCTTATCTCTTACGACAGTAGATTTTAAAATTCAAGGTCTCCAAGAACCTTGTTGACCAAAAAATATATATTTTTAGCATCGATGAAAAAGTAATAAAAATGAAATAAAATGGTAAATTTGGGGATGAATGTCTCACCTGTTGTTAGTGACTTTCCAGGAGTCTCTTCAAACGTTTAATCAAATTAATATATACTTCTTTAAAACTATCACCGTCATTAAAAAAAGAGAAAAAAAACTTACTTATGTAGACGCTGAAAGAAAAGAACGTAATTGGACAGTGTCAATATTCACATGTCAAGTTTGTTAACATTAGAAAAGAATGTCTCATGTCTCAATTGGAATAAATTGTAGAAATTGAGTTGAAATGGCAAGATGTGACCATTTACATTCTCGCCAATGAGACATTCGCTCACACGATTTTAGTGCTATTGTTTCCTTGATTGTTGTTAAGAATTGCAAGAAAAAAATAAACTTAATAGTCGCCTTCATCAAAGGCTCACGTATTTACATAAGATGAAACACCAAATTACATTAGCAGTTTCTGGCCATAAAGTATCGGCGATAAAAATGCCAAATATCATTGTCGGAAATGTTTATTTGGAAGATTTGGCCACATTAAAGTTTATCCTCAAAACAATTAATAAGAACAAAAATAGCACCCCCCCCCCCCCAAAAAAAAAAAAAAAAACGACATCGGGAGAAATGGCTATTGCTCTCGAGACATTTACTTACTGTCAGTTAAAATTTCGAGGTCTGTCATATCGCGCACTGTTATTCTAAAATGCTAAGGAAGAGGCAATTTAACCATAATTCAAGCCTCCCATTTTCATCTTGAGAGTGTTGAGACTTTTCAGTGTGCCTTTTTTTGTCCCGTACTAATTGGATCTGTTGTTTACACCTTTTAAGTATTTTCCATTTTCGTCCGAGTGGTCCTAATTAAGAAAACTAAGACCTTACATGCGAATGTGGACAATCGAAATAAGTTTTTAAGTCGTAAGACCCTGGAAATTACTTTTTTAAGAAACTGTATGATTCGATGTGAAAAGTATATAATGATAAGAAAATAATGATTATGAACCGTAAGAGTCATCAACAACATTAATTTCGTGTACAATTAGTAAGATTGTATTTCCCTTGGGTAATTAATGGTAGTGTAAACTGTTGCTCAGGAATTTTGTATTTTAAAGTAAGAATGTCTCACACATGGAGTTGCAAAAAGGAGACACAATACTACGTTTATTAACACGGTGTGTGGTCTAGTATAATGTTTATTTTAGTTATAGGTTTTGTTATTATTTATAGTTTTTTGGTTTTGTGTTGCGTTGTTTTGTCTTGTTTTTCTTATTTTTCACAAGTTTCAAACAGAAGAACTTGAAACTTGTAACAATCAAGAAACAATGGAACAACTCAGTACGTTTGCAGGTTATGATAAATTAAATTCCTTTTGGAGAAGGAAGTTCATATGATAGATACAGGGACTCTAATACGACTGAAACATGACGGGGTGTAAGACAGATGTTTAAACAGCGAGGCCGTGAAAATAAATAAATAAATTCTTAAAGTATGATCAACAAAAACAGTTTTGATATCACTGCGGTTATCTTCCTCAGCCGTCGGCTCTGGCTAATAAACACCCTTCTTCATTCTTCATAGAGCAATTTTCGTATGACCTTGAAATGAAAACGCGCGAACAAAACACAAACAACAAACGTACGGAAAGACAGTGATTTGATTGGTTTGTCGAACTGATACAAAGGCGCGTGGCTTAAGATTGGTTAAGCGAACGCTCGGGTGAAAAAACTTCATGCCCGATAACTTTCTAGAAATCAGTCGCTACTTGGCTTGACGTCATACTGCCGAACAAGATTGGCCAATCGAACAGTGCCTTCTCCCTATTAAGGTTTTCGAAACGAAGAGTCCAAGTTTTGATCTTTTCAACCATTGGCTGATAAAACAAATAAGGAACACTTTCAAAAAACATTTTTCAAGGTCACACGAAAATCACTCTATCATAAGTAGCGTTAACAAGGAAAATTTCTACTAAACGTAGTGGAAACGTATTCAATTTTAATTTGCTAAAGGTATAAAATCCCAAAGAAATGGCTAAAGGTATAAAAAGGTATAAAATTGGCTAAACGTATAAAATCCAAATTAAAATCCACCCTTTCCCCCATAAAAGATCAGACCCTTGAATGCAAATGAAGGTATCTTATTGACACTTGTCTTATGCACCAAGATCAGGTGTTATTTATAATCTACTTATATAATTTCACCGGATAGATGCCTCTTAACATGTCTATAATGTACTTATGTTTTCGCCACATCTATTTTTAAAGCGTGCCATGATTAGTTGGTTCATATTTTGTCTTGATTGTGTGTTTGATTGAAATCGTTTTTAGGGACGTTTTACTTCAAGCAAAAAAGTGCACACCAAGTTCGACCGTCACTTTTCAGTCCAAAAGAAAAAGAAAAAGATGTGAAATAAAAAAAGAAAATTAACACAATGGAAGTCCTTCAGGGATTTTTAAAGAAATTTGATTAGCACTATTATGATTATAAATATTTTATTCTAGAAGCTTGAACAACAACACTGAATAACAACAACAACAATACCTTTATTCGCCTTGTACTTAATTACATACATGAAAGAGAAAAAATATATACATGTATTTATTTGTACTTAATAAGACCTGGAGCTGAAATAATCCTAAGATTTTCTAGCCAGTTCTCCAGAATAAGACGGCAGAATAAGACCGCATGGAAACTGGAAAGTAATTATATACATCTGGTAAAACAAGAGATTGACCTTCGAGAAACGTACCTATACGAATAATAAATAATTCAGAGAGAAATTCAAAGTCAAAATTTTTAATATGTAGTAGTGTTGATTACAGCGAGCTAATGTATTCGTAGTCTGTACTGAAAGGTCTTTACAAGAAAAGGATCTTATGCACTTAGGGGTTTTATCTAAATGGAGCAGAGAAACTTAACGGTGTCCTCATAGAATATAGTCATCCCGTTTAAGCATTGGCCCCTATTTTTGTATCTCCTCCAAATTATCTGAGTTTAATAATACATCATAACCTACTTAAATTAATTTTTGCAACTTTAACTACTGGAACAGACAGCAAGATTTCTAAAGGCTAAATTTCGCAATTTGACCAAGAGAAAAAGGGAAAATTGATAATGAATTTAAAATTTGGCATTTCCATGCAATTATATATAAAAAAAATGGATGTTAAAAAAGCAAAGTCTAATTTCCAAATATCGAATAATCGCTAGCATTTGTTAGTTTGCATAACGCCTAATTCTTTCTTGTAAGAAAGGCGCTTTCCAAGGGCGGCGCCCATTTATTCGTCGGGCTCTTTTAACGAACCAATTAGGTTGGTGATTATAACGATGTTCACTCTGGATATACATCGAACGAATAATCTCTAAGAAACGGAAACTCCTTCATCTTTTGCGTCACTCGTCTCTTCTGTTCTTCAGTCCAAATAACTTTGTCTCTGGTCACTGAGGGTGCACCATACATAATATTACTGCATTTATCAAGATAGTCATCCGAGCACGTGACCCCCAAATGGTCACACAACTTCTGTATGGTCTCTCTTGGTCTGAGCACTGTTTCTTGTCCTGGAATATCGATCACTGCTTTTCCGTAACGTTCCCGGACGCGCTGATTAGCAGTCGCTAATTTAAAGTAAGAGTTTATAGACAGATCGAGTCTTCTTGTGTCATTTAACTGCGAAGGAAGAATGAAAAAAAAATATATACATATATTAGTAGTCTTATGTAGCATTTGAAATCCATATGAGGGTAGTGCTATTTGCTAATTTGTGAATGGAAAGGTTGTCATAATGGGACGCGTTCAACTACCCATGTTAACACATAGTGCTTTTTTGGAAGTTTTTTGGCGCGATGTATATTGGTAGAGCTTTTTTTCATATTATTGTCAAGATCAACTAAATTCATTAATTTTGCCTTAATTTTTCCTGGCTCTCGGGAAGATCAGAACGATTCTGAATGTTGTATATTTACACAGAAATTTGACCATATTTTGATCAACCCGAATAGCACAGGAGGTCCAAAATGATCGTTTTGTTCTCCTATACACATTCCAACAAACACCTCTCAATGAAGTGGACATCCAACTTGTCGAGTGCGGGTGGTCTGATGCGCTTCCCCCTCCCCTCCCCCCACAATGTTGCAAGTCATTCCTTGGAGAAAACACGGAAAGATGACCGTGTTAGGTCTTACTGTTGCAATGTGGCAAACAATATCGTAAACGCTCCACCTAATTACAGTCTCCTAACTACCCGCTGCAGCTCTGTCCCAATCTTATCAGAAAACTTTGCTTGTGGAATCCGGAATCCTGGGCTTTGGAATCTGGAAAACAGCTCAAGGGATCCTGAATCCCACTAGCGATTGGAATCCAAAAATCCAAGTTCCACTGACAAAGACTGGAATCCAGTACCTGGAATCCGGATATCCACGACGTGGAATCCAGAATAGAAGACTGTCCTGTATTCCCCTACATGGGACGAATATTACCTTAATTCCCTCTTCTCTCACATTATTACGCTGGCTCGCCAAGCGGAGTGTCATCGTCGCTATGTTATCGAATGGGTTCCTTGTTACGTGGATGAATTTCATTGGTAATTTAACAACTTCAGCGATTTCCTCGAGAGTCTTCATCGAGTCGTTATTGGCAAAGATCTTTGAAGTTTTTCCTCCTTTCTTGTCACCTATAACCTTAAAAAAAACCAGTTTTTGATAACGGAAACAGTTTTTAAGTCTGGCAACAAGAAAATTAAACATTGTAGAATTTCCACACACATTTTCCTCCAAAGGCATTAAAACTGGAAGAAGTTGCCTCAAGTTTTTTCGTCCTTGTTATCCTTTGCAACAGGCGACATGAAACAACTTCAGCGCCTAAATCTAGTGTTTTATGGATGATCTAATAGAAGGTGTACTTAGGGGCAAAGGGCAGTGGTATGAGAGACTCCGACCTAGCCAGAGCTTTCATACCTTGATTCTTTGCTGATATCGTCCTTGCCATAACCCGGGCACGTGGTATGTGTACGTATGTTCACCAGTCAGTCGAGTATCGTTCTTACTTGCACGAATACCAAACTGTGCTTGACTCAGAGAAAGGCTGTGTAGCTCGTGAAAGAGTGAATATTTATTCGGCGCTGCAACCTTTGACAATGATTTCCATTTACCCACAAGGTTATACTCATGAGGGATGATGATTTCAGGATGGGCATCTAATATGGCGCCAACTAAACTGTGACTACTACGAGGATAACCAATGAACAGAACAAACGTCTCCACTCCATCATAGAGTTTACACATATTTTCTGTAGGTGACATTGTTGGCATTTTCTCTGAAAGAAACAAAAAGGAGGAATCGCTTGGACGCTGTTATAACATCTGTCGCATGGGAGTTCTTGAGGGGCGCGAAGGAAGAAAAAGAGTAGGGCATTTGGGTGATGGGTAGGGGGGACCCTCCCACGTACCAATTCCGCCTCCTCCCATCCTGGTAAAAGGGGAATAGATTCATCACTCCCACAACCCTTCCCTCCCCCGCCTTCCCCGGCATTTCCACTGGGTTATTATTTTTTGGAAAGGATGACGTCTGGTGAGTTCCACAAGATGATATAAATGTTATGGTATACAACACCACTCGAAATCCATTCAGAATGGCTGCCTTCCAAGCCGCCATTTTGGATTTTACCGAAATCACTATAAATTGATTCAAAATGATCAGAGTCACTGCAAATTTCTTACTTGAGGTCTTGACTTATTTTGCTAATCGTTCAGCTACCATCTGCCCCCCAAAATGGCCAAAAATATGACTTCTGGAATAATTAAACAGGTTCTGGGCGGAGAATCTTCTTCCCTCAAAGTCGTCACTACAAATGTTGACCAATGCAATGTTGGGGGGCGGGAGGGGGTTGGGGTTGGGGGGTTCCAGTATTGTCCGTTTTAAACCCTCTTCTTCTTTGTAGGTACAATGGTAACAAGAATACAAAAACTTGGTGTTTTTCACTCGTACGTTACTAAAGAAAGTTCTTTATGAGTGAGACTTAACTCTGCCGAAAAAAAATATATATATATATATTTATCGTAAACCTGGTAAATAGACCGGACTATGAATAGATAAAACCTTTCAAAGCGTTGACAGTTGCCTGTCTCCTGCAGCGACCGGTCCTTACCTTTTTGGTGTGCCTTTAAGGTGTCGGAAATGTCCACGACGTACGCTTTCAGCATGAAATCTTTCTCAGTGTTGATTGCGAAGTGTTGAAGAGCCAAAACAGAGATTGTAACCAAACCAACTAGCAGAGCCGAAATATGTTTTAATCTCGGAAGCATTATATGGGATGTTGAGACCTAAAAACCAACCAAACAAACAAAACCGAGATTGCAACCAAACCAATTAGCAGAGCCTAAAAAATCTTTAATCTCATAGGCATTATATGTATTGTTCAAACCTAAAAACCAAGCAAACTAACAGAACTGTAATACTTGCGTTTAAGGTCGGAAGCTTATGGGGCAAGTTCAAGTCTGCTAGGTGCCGTTCATTTGCCCGCAGACGGCAGGCTCTTAACAACGTTTGATGAAGTTTTATGCGAAAATTTACACAAACTAGAAGACAGTCAACGTTGAGAAAAGAAAAAACTGAACAAAAGTCAAATAACCAAAAAAAAACAAACAATTTTTTTGACAAAAACAAAACGAAAAATAAGGAATTTGTAAGTCTACTAATTTAATTCGGTTAATACAATATAGCGATTTATTGTGATGTATGCAACTTAAACTTAAAGAAAAAAAAAACAAACAAAAGAAAATAACAACACATAAAAATAAGGATTGTACGGGATTTGATTTTGTTAACTAAAGTACCTGTACAAACTTTACCGTTTGTATTCTTCAGCTCTTCTTATTCATACAGTTTGCGGATAATTTTATGTACTGTATTTCGTTGCATAGGGACTTCTATTCTTCGGCAACAATTTGCCATACAATTTCGACACTCTAATTAACTGGACAGTGCACCTGTAGATTGACCAGAATTTCATTTAAGCCATGTACATTTCCTTCACTGGTGTATATGATAGTGGGTATAACCCACAGGGTAAATAACTTGTTAGGGAAATATACTGATCATCCAAGAACTTATTAGTCCCTGATAAGTTATTAAATAAAATAATTTCACTTCAGGGCTAAATACCACTTGCTCTGTGATACAAGCGAGATATTTTGCGGTGAATAAATGCCGTTTTGTTGTAAAATACAAATTAAAGTCGCAGAATATACGACGACAACATAAATATCAGTCAAGGATATGAGTTAGAATGGTATGCTAAAGCCAACAAAATATTACTTATAGGACAAATCAATTTGGTCTACAGAAAATCGATGACAGTTTATTGATAAATTGATAATTCATCATAGGCCTCACAGAAGCTAATATTTTTTCTTACTGGGGTACTTACTTGCCAATAATAACGAGGTCCTTCTCTCAGAAACTTTCAGGACGTAACTTCCTTTAGTCTACATGTTAACGGAATACCTCGAAAATGCATTTATTCTTGACAACAACGTCTTCGTTTGAATATTGTGTCATTGCTTAGAGACGATGATTATAAAGAAAATACGTTTACCGCTTATTTTGAATAAACATTCAAACAACTTTTAAGCGATGTGAATGAACAATTCTGACTAACTGATCATGCGTGAGTGACTTTACGTTGAGGTGCTGCACTTTGTGATGATTTATGAACGCGGGAAGGGGGGAAGCAATGGTGCAAGTACTAGGCTTCGTGGCATGGCGTAGTGAAACAAACGAAATCAGACCCAGTTCTGCGGCACACATCCATTTAGGCCAATAAAGGAAGTGCCCCCTCCAACCTGAAATCATACGATGTAATCAGTTTTCTCTGTGAAATATTTATTTGTCTTTTCAATGGTGTACACATTAATCAGGCATTAAAAAAAACACACGCACACAACGTATTTTAAAGCTATCGTTTATTTATAATCAGTGAACTGGGATGTTTAAGACTTTGATAAATCGCTAATAGTATCAGAGAACGTCGAAACATCCTCACTCGTCGATTCGTCCAATTGAACGCGTTAAAATATGTTCAACCTCAAACCGTGAGCTCTGTATGGAATTGTGTAAGCTCAGAATGCGGAGATAAATCCCCGAATATTATGTTCTATAGAATAACGTATGGTTATCCTGCCTACCGATTTCTTGGAAACGAAACGACTGCTGCACTGCTTAATCAACGTCAATTCAAATTTGCTCTCGGTAGTCTAGAGTTCAAATCCTGGAGGAAGCTTGTAAAATAGCCAACTGGTTCGCCTCCTATCAACTGGAATTGTTAACTTTGTTATTTCCAATTTGAGGTATTTGTTTCATTTCACTGAAAAGCCCCATAGGGGGATAGGATAATCGTGTATTACTGTCCGTATATAGGCACGCAAGGCGTGCAGACAACTACAGTGAAACCCCTATTAAGCGGACCCCCAATTAAGCGGACACCCTCGATTAAGAGGACACTAAGCCGGGTCCCGAAATTAATGTCTTATATATTTCTCTTTATAACGAACCCCTATTCACCGGACACCTCCATTAAGAGGACGCGGACACTGAAATAAATTGTATTTGGTTAAATTTCATTGTTAAAAACCTCTATTAAGCGGACTCAGGACTGAATTGACAAAAGTAGTATTGGATAACGTCCTTGAAATACGTACTGTACTCGATAAATAAAGATAAATCAATACATTTAGCTGTCAATAAACTGTAGATTAGACCGAAAGTCTCGCACAAAGAACAGTAAAGCTTCCTTAGCTTTCCTAATAGCATGGATCTTTATCATTTTACAGAGTAACCGTTGAAAGTTAATCGTCAACAAACATTGCGCCATTTTGCAAACCTCTATTAAGCGTTCACCCTCTGTTAAGCGGACACTGGGGTAGGTCCCAAAAGTGTCCGCTTAATAGAAGATTCGCTGTATAGCATTTCTAACAATCGCCCATCTGCACGTGGAGGCTAAAATTAACTGTCTTTCAGGTGAAATGCGATGATGTACTTTTCTCGTTCTTCTTTCGTGAACCGTTGGGCTTCAGATTTGTTTTGTCGATAATTCTCCTCCATGGCATTCAGCAATGTTATCATCGTAGTCATCATCGTCGGTGGACGGTGGTTCAAGAACGTTGTAATCCGGAGGTGGATTCTGTTCATTTGAAAGTACATTGCTGTACGCCCCTGAAAAATCATAGATAAATGATAGCGTCTTTAAGCGTCGTTTCTTTTCAAGTCATTTTACAACGACAAGATGGGATTTCATTTAAAGCTTATTTAACAGGTTATTGTTGTCCAGTACTTTTGTATTGTCATATATTAGGTTTTACTCAATGCATGCAGCACTTCCTCTCTGTTGATTCTGTAAATCATATGATCACAGGCGTTAAGTGTTACAATTATATTTTGCTTGTTTTATTTTGGAGAATATCAACAGAGGAATGAAACCTCAACTTCAATTCCCTTTACCATAATTATTATATTTTGCTTGTTTTATTTCTGGGAAGTAATTGAACATGTGGATTGCATTCTCGATTCGCTTTAAGAGTATCAAACGTGTCAGGTACTTGCTTATACTCTAAAATACTCACTGTCTGTCTCCTGTGAGTCCTTTGCCAGCGGATGGTAAGCTATGGTCCTTACTAAAACTGGTTCTTCATAGATTCCTTCCTGGAAACGGCAAAAAGGAGTCTGTAAGCGTAGGAAACCTTTTTTCATTCTTGTAATTTTTAAGAGACGAAGGGGACAGGCAAGGTCAAGTGTTAAATCGATGAAACGACCGGCACTCATCCCTAGTTGGACAACCTAGCCACTTTGACTAATTTGTTGAGAGAAGGGAACTCAGTAAAGATCTTGAAACTGACTCGTTAACTACGGCCTTCCAATTGCAATGTGACTATGCTAGTCACACCCGCCTCCTCCCAGGTGTGCACCACTAGGGAATGGCGTAACTGACTGGTGACGCAAACAAATTTGGATACAGAATACCAGTTTTATTACAAAGGGGGAAGTAGGGGGGGGTGCGCACCCCCTGCACCCTCCCAGATTCGCCCCTGAATCTCGTCACTCGCAATCGTTTGTTGCATTAAAGGTGCGTTGGTTGTAATTGTCAACCTTCGCCTTGTTCTGATCGGAACTACAATCGAACATACCATAGCGACTACGGGCTTGCTAATAATGGTAACTTACCGCAGTAGGCAGAGGTGGTAGTGGACCCATTTTTACTGTCTTAGCCGCCAGGGTGTCAGTAGCATTTATGCTTTCTTTACTGATTGACAGGACGCAATCCGAACTGTAAAACTCGTTGTCTGTGCGACGAAAGAAGGAAAAGAAATCATTACAGTGGTCTCGAATGGTTTTCAATTTTACAGCCAGCAATAAAATGTAAATTATGATGTTTTTTTTTTAAAGTGAGCACGGAAAATGCATGGTTTTCAACTACCGGAATTTACGTCAGCAAGTCTGCGTTTTCATCCTAAATGCATACGCGGTATCTAGAAACGCCATTTCTCTAAATTAAGTGTTTGACACTTACGAAAAGATTCTGTGTTTACTCCTAATCGAGGAGGAGGACGAGAAGGCTCCTGTGAAAATACATGAAACAATAAATATATCAATACAAATGTAAAATATACGAAGATATATTAAAAAAATGACTAGATAAGTAAAAGAAGCAGAAACTATTATTAAGACATTTTTGACGTACTCAGTGGCTTGAATAATAAAGTGATTATATAAATGCACATCAATAATTTCTTACCTCATAGGTCGCATCTGTAAAAAACGAAAAAAGTGGAGACTTGTAAGATTTGGGTAAGCAGATTTTGTTATTTGTATCAAGTATTGAAGTTCGAGAGAATCGTATTAAATCAACAAATTTTCAGTAGTTCTTACTTGGTGCATTTCTTCTTTGATCTTTTTCCCTAAAAATTAACCGAAAAGGTAAATAAACGAAATAGAATAGAATTAAACGGTCTGTTCCTTTAAGCCCCGTGAAAACGGACCGTCAACATTGTTGGTAAACAACTCCCAGTTTTGTTGTATGTTACATGTTACCCCCGTTTGCACACCCTGTTGTATGATGTTGCTTTTTGGGGGGAGTTGTTGCGGAAAGTTTGAAACTGGTGAAAGTTTTGAGCCAACATTTCTTTTGTTCCGTGATAGCCGAAGCGTAGCGCTACAATGTTGGATCCGTTTGCACAGCTCTTCCAAAACTGATTGGACCACGCATGCGCATTGCATATGGTTTACAAAGACTAATGGGTTGTATCCTTCCCACGATGCTCTGCAGGTCCCAACACTGTTGGGAGTTATTGCAACCGTTTGCACACCACTGCCAACACAGAAGAAAAATGTTGGGAGTTGTTGCGTCTGTTTGCGCGTAGCTTTATTACAGATCTTAAAACTATTCTTCCTGTGGCCAGATTGAGGAATAAGGAATCCTTGGCTTTGGAATCAGAAATTCAGCTCACGGAATCTGGAATCCAGCTTACGATTGGAGTCCGGAATCCAAGTTTCTACTGACGAGGAATCTGCAATCAAGAACGCAAGGCGTGGAATCGAATCTGTAGAATCCAAGACTGTCTTGGATTACCTTTTTTTTTTGTTAGAAGGGGCGAATTATTGAGCGGTTTTTCTTTAACTGTGATACCCACACAACAAAATAAGGGTAATGCAATTCTCTCAGATTTGATTGGCGTAAAAAATGTTATATTATAATGACTATGACTTACGTTTCCTCGTTACGTCTTTTCTTCACCATAAGCAGTAAAGTAACAAACACCAGTACAATTCCGAAAGCTAGTGACACTGTCACTCCAGCGACGACGACTCCAGTTTGCCTTGCCTCCACCTTTTGTTTGGTGTTTGCTGCTGGATCCAGATCACCGTTGTTTCCCTTAAACAAAACATGTCTTAATCCTAAGACCTTTCATTTCAGACAGGGATTCTCATTGTGAGAAAAATATGTCTAAATACCATGGGAAATCAGAAAATTAAACGACGCAGAGTTTTGGTTTGTCTTGGCTTTTTTTTTTTTTCATTGTCAGGTGACAATTCACATCAAGATTTATCCTGTGTGTAGCTTTGAATGGGTCTTCTTCAATGATCATGGCTTTAATTGCTAAAAAAAGTAGAATATTTGCTTAGAATCAAATGTATTTGCCTAAAGTTTTATCGATTGATTCAGGTTTGGCAGTTGTCTATTGGAACAGCGTACATAGGAAAGCCATTTTTGTAAGGGAGTAAGGTTTAATTTCTGGATAAAGTTCTTACATCACACTTTCCTCAGTTACTATTTTAATTCTAACCTTTCCACCCGAGTTGCCACTCGGTAGTGTGGGACTTGTTTCTCCTCCTGTAACACCAATTCCCCCATCATTGGATCCCAGTGGAACCAAAGAGCTTGACAACACTGATGGAAAGATCATGTGAAGATTAGGGCAAGTTACTTTGTTCATTGTACTGATAATTTTAAGCATTGATAATCAAGATATTTGATTACCCTGATAGGATTGTCGAAATTTATATGGTGGGTAAAGTGTCTAGAAGGGCCTGAAACCTATCCTTATTTCATCATCATCATCATCCGTCATCAAATTAAACTTCGACTGCCGTTGAGATGGACGGGAGAATGTCCAAACGCTGGATATTTTCTCCATTGTTCTTCTAAAAGTGTATCAAAGGTACGTGTGCCTGTTATTTCCCGAGATTGTGTTGGGGTGGGCAGAGGAGTCTTCTTGCTCTTATTTCGTCATAGTCTCTTGGGAACGAAGGATGTTCTTTGGCATTGAAACAGTGGCCTGTATTAAACTCCAGTTTGTCCCAATGTCGAGGCGATAGATGGATATACAGACTGAACTTCTTCATAAGTCTATGCTCCGCCTGGTAAGATAGTTCTTTTTAGCTGGCTAGGTTTTGAAGAACTTTCCAGCCCTCAAATCGTAGCTAGTCCATGTTTCTGTTAGAGAGAGTTGATTGTTCCTCTAAAACAGCCATGAAAGAAGCGAGGGATATGTGAAGGCCGTAATGACCTTTTTCTTGCCAGAAAATCCTTTACGTTGTTCACAACAGATGTCCCAGAATACCTGAAATCGTCTACCACTTCAATGTGAAAGCCGATTCTCAAGAGGATAGGTTGTTGCTTCACTTCATCCTTCAGAATTATGTTTTTGTCGTCCATTAGAAAGCTGACCATCATAATTTGTTGACTTCTTTAGTGACGAGCCTGACAGCTCTATCCTGCATATCTTACCGCCAGTGTTCTGCCAGCGGTGAGATTCTTGGTGGTGATGCTGTCAACCGATGTCTCGGAATACATTATCCACGTGTTTGTGAACAGGTGTCATACTAGGGGGAAGAATTTTTCAGCAACTGGTAGAGTGTACAGACATAGCCAGCCTTAGGTAGTGGATTAAGAGCCGCTAAAGAACTGTTGGCTTATTGCCATTGAATATTTCACTCCAGAATTCTGACGTTACGTAATAGAAAGTTTACTTCTGGCAACATGTGGCAAGGGGATCAGAGACTAGCACCATCAGAGTTGATGCAACTTGATACGTTGACACAAGTTAAAATACAGAATGAAGCAAACCATTAAGATTGGTGGAACTCGTTATCTAAATGTTATTCATATAATACCTTCGTTAGCTGTCGTATAGTTTCCTTTTGACTTCATCAATACGCAGCCAGTAGTGCGTGTATTTTGACACGTGAAGACGAACTTTAAAACCAGTCCAGTATACTTTGCGTCGAGACCTTTATCCCACTACGGATGATAAAGAAGAGAAAAATATAACAGGGAAAAATGAGAGCATCTTCTCTATAGCTTTATAAGATTCTTTTTGCTCCTGTTACTCAAAAAGTGAGTAGATTTATATGCCGAAAAAGTCGTCTTAGGTCATCAAGTCCTTTAAAGCCATGATCTAATAGTGTCTATTACCCGTCTATTACCCTTTGCCGGAATTTCAACTAAAACGTTTACAACGTGTCCAGCTAGTAGCTGCTAGTTTTGTCCTGAATAGGTATGTTAATGACGTTGACGATATTGTTAAGATAGGGTGGTTACTAATAAGACGACGAAGAGATTTCCTCGTTCTCAAACTCGTTCACTAGGCTTTGTACTCCCCCAGCTGGCCGTCTTACGCACCACTACATACAGTTAAACATCTGCCATCTTTGCGGTCAGGAGCAGCAACAAGATTAATTATACCAATGGAGAGGGGCACCTTTTAAGACTCTGCTGCCAAGTTATTTAATGTCCTTCCGGCAAGTATTAGAAACTGTAGCGATTTCAAAGTATACTGTAGGGAAGTTAATGCGTATCTACCAAATAACATTTGTAAATAGTTTGTAAATTGCATATGGGGTTGTATTACTATTACTAATCTCTATTACATTTTTTTTTTGTACAATATCCTTTTATAGTCCGATATTATTGCTCTTTATATTGTAGATTTCAATTTTTTTTGTAGTATATTATAGTTTTTCATTTTTTATATTGTAGTTTGTAACAGGTGAAGAGCCACTAGGTGTATACACTGTTAATAAACCATTATTAAATGTTATTATTATTATTTTAATTGAAAGGTAATGGTGGTGAAAGGGGGTATGGAATAAGGCTTAAGTGCGCCCTAATCAAATGTCAAATTCTCTTTTTGCTTATCAAGTGTAAACAAAAAAAGGAAGGATAATCTCGCAATTTATCCAAGTCACTTATTGTCCATGTCAGGCACCCCTTTCGTAGGCCTTTTGAAGCTATTCCTAGAAACGTGGTTCAAAACCACCACCTTGGACAGCAAAAGGCGCACTGGGACAAGACAAACAAAGGTAGCTAGTCACCATTTTTAGTGATGTGAGATCTTTGCTTTTCTTTGTTTTGTTCACTGTCACATGACACCTCCATCAACTGTGCCTACTTTTAGGCGGATTGTAATTCTTGACAATGAGTGTTAAAAATAAAATATACAGAAAACGAATTTAAGTTAACACACTTTGAAAAGTACTTTATCACGTATTTTCATGTACAATTCCAAGGTTAAACGTTGACATTACACACCTGCAAATTCAAGCTGCTTCCGTCATTGGGAACGGCTCTTATGCTGAATATATTCCGTGGTCCCGCGATCCACTCAGTAGAAGACAATCGATAGTACCATCCGCTGTTTTGCACTATTCCATTGCACCCCGGATTAATAAACTGAAGATTTCCTGGTTTTGTTACTTCCTTGATGGGCAAGGGGAAATCCTCGCTAAGTGTATTTTCTATCTGACATCCTATTCAAATAAATAGAAGGGTAAATAAATAAATAAATAAATAATAAACGCAGAGAATCATAGTCAAAGCATATTCATTGGCCCAGTTGTACAAAGGCCGATTTACATTGAAATTTGGCTTCATGAAATGAGTTGATAGAATCACCTTGTCACCACTAAAAAGAAACATTTATTCCACCCTGATCTGGTAATGTTTAGAATTCGGATATATGTAGACAATGAGCCTAAATCAAAGCTTTCGAAGGGTGCAGTCCTTTGAAACATATCTTAGTTGCATTGGGTTCCATTTTGATACACAAACATTTATTGACTCTCTTGATGTGTTGCTTAACGGCTAAAAAAATTCATCTCATAACCCAAAGTGGTGCTTTTTATTACGCGATACTAATTATTTTACGAGGGTAGTATGATATTCTTGATTTCAAAAATAAACAGATCCATACATCTCGATAACAGTCGAAACTTCAAGTAACTCTTTAAATGTGACCTGAGGTCTACCATCTTTTGTTATTCTTTCCTTCCTGGGTATTCAAGACGCATGTCATAGATTAATACAAACAGTGTTGTTAACTATATCGCCGACAGTATTTCTCCAAAGGATCAGTGATCTTTAACTGAGGACAGATGGGTTGGAGAATTATGTTTCTGTGAGAACACTTTGTTCTTTCAGTTGTGGTGAAACTGTTTTCTTTAAATGGTCACAACGATTTATGATTTTTGAGACTCACAGATTCAAACGTTATTGAAAAACATGCAACTTGCTCTGAGTCAGTACCTCACAAGAAGGCAGCAATAGTATTTCAGTAGAATTTATTTGGATGGTCACGCTAATTAAGCTACAATTAAAGCTACAATCATCTGGTACTTAAAGGGTTTTATAATATTAAACTCGCCATATTCAGCCTTAAAAATACTTAAAACATTCAGCTTACCTGTATCTACCTCGTCGTTAGTCCTACATACTCCCTCAGACATGACATAGTTCGGTGTGGCGTCATTACACTGGCAAAAGCAACAGTCCGTTGTCCAACAAGTAGCAGAACGAAGGCTTCCACATAAAGCAGGGACACAATCCGTGTTAGAAAACTTGTCAACGCCTCCCCGTCCTAATGGATCGGTAGAGCGGATTACGGTAAGACTGTTCACACCACTGATAAGTACCGAAACTACGATGATCCAGTTGTAGGCTGGCATTTCTATGAATTTGCTTCACGGATCCCCACTTAACTGTTAACGTTGTCCAAGAAGAGTTTTCGAATAAGTCGTTTGTTGAAAGTCGATGTTTCAGAGAATATTGTGTTTACATAGAACTTAGCTTTACCGTGTGGTTCTAGATGCGGTTTGCAAGAGCATAGTAATTTTCTTCACGTCGACTGACTCGAGCTCCCGAAGAAGATCATTGAAGTTCGGTTCAGATATTCAAAAAGCACTAGAGTGCGCCATCTGCTTTAAGATAAAAACAACTCAAAAAAGCTTCATTCATGATGGGAATTCATCCTTTTCTTGTTCTACTGTCAATATCGGTTTCCATGCATCTACTTGCTCAAAGGTTGTTTTTTAAAGTTGCATGGATACTACAGCAAAATTTCATAGCAATATTATGGCAATATTGATGAACAATCTTTTTAAGGAAAGCGATTTTGGCGCCTAGCCATTCTAAGCACGTTATCAATATGTGTCGTTGTGATCAAGGGAGACGAAAAAAAAAAAAAAACTTTTGTGAACTGAAATGAATACAGTTTTAAATGCTTTTTAGCTTCTCTACCATTCGACTCAAAAAGATGGTTCGAAAATGTGCATATTTTTTATCGCCATATTGAGCCTGTCGTCATTTCAGAGAACAGCTGATAAAATCTTGTCAAACGCTGATCACGAAATTTAGTTTGGGAGAACATAAAAATAATAATCATATATTATACTTTATGAATACCGTTGATAATTAAGCTTTTACAATGAAATGTTTTACATCGATTTTCTCTACCAAGTCGTTATGATTTGTTCAGTTTTCCTCTTGTGAATTTTTGCCATTCTTACCCTAAGAGGTAAACACTTTAGTCAAAACCTGGAGCTGCGATCTCGATAAATATTAGTTCATAAAAATGGCCCCGAGTCAACACAACGTTATCAACATAAAAGGAGATTTAAGGTTTAGATAGAGTTTGTTAACTTTCTTTATTGTAAAGCCAACTTTCTAATTTTAAAACACTCCAATAATCGTTAAGTTAGTCAGATGGGGCGCATGATCTTCATTATTCCACATTTAAGTCAATTGGTCATTTGCCACTGATCTGACTCATTAGTTTCTCTTATCAAAGCGGAAGAAATCTGATAACATGACCAAAAAAAAAAATACTGAGCATATATATAGAGAGAGCCTTAACTGAAACGGTGTCATTTCTGCAGACCCTAATATCGAGAACGTGAAACTATTTCATGTTTTCTTGGGAAAAAACATTCAAAGTGACAAAACCATTTATGAGTAACAGACTCAAATATTTCTCAATATCCAACATAACAATTTAAAACTTGAATTCGCACGCTCTAATAACGTCACATGCTTTTTCATTCCATCCCCAGTGCCGGATTCAGACCATGAGATAAGGAGGGGGCTGTCATCTAGATCCTTAGATAAGGAAACGGGAAGGTGGGGGGGGGGGGGTGTTAGGCGGTCTCCAAAAAATTTTTTTGGGCTCTTCATGCCTCAGTTTGGTCCAAAAAAAAGGGGGGCGCGTTCCCCGGGCCCATCTCCTAGATCCGCCACTGGTCCCTACGTAAATATATGACTGCACCACTCCTGCAGGCCCCAGTTGTTCAAAAGCTGGATAGCGCTATCCACCGGATAAATCACTATCCGGTGGATAGAGATTTATCCCGTCGATAGCGCTATCCACCTTTTGAACAACTGGGGCCTGGTGGTTTAAAGCGGGGGTAAAAAACTACTCCTGGCCACAGTATTTCCAAAGTTGGATAGCGCTATTCACCGGATAAATCGCTATCCAGTGGACAAGTATTTGTAGGGAAATCAATTGCGTTACCCACTGGATAGAGATTTTGTCTGGTGGATAGCGCTATCCACGTTTTGAACAACTGGGACCTGGTGTGCATGTGGGGAATTCACTTTATAATAGAAAACAAGAGAGAGGTCCCAAGTTGTCTTTCAAGCTCTGGTTTCTGTAAGGGCTCGTTCAGCTTCTCGGTTTTTAGCAAACGTGCATTCAGTTTAAGAGTGGAGGGGCTGGTGGGGGAGGAAGAGATGTGCCCGGGCAGGGTGGGGTGAATTAGCGAAATACAGAATGATGAACGAAAGGACCCGCATCAAAAAAACAAACTAAGAACTTTTAGGAAATTTAAATTGATAGCCGTAAGAAACATCAATCATATAGCAATCACAAAGCTAAGATTGAGGAACCACAAACTAGCAACTGAAACTGGACGATACGTTAAATATCAACCACCAGACCAAAGAATCTGTCCATTATGTAAACCTGAATTTAATTTTTTTTTGATGTTGTAGGGATCCTAACGTTTATTCTTGACTCAAATGACTCAACTGCCTTTGCAACTGTATGAAGCAAGGAGGGAAAAAATTAAATTATATGAAGATCTTTGTTTAATAGTTGTAAAACACATTGTGTCTTTGTAGGCATGTGTCTGTTGCTCTTGATAATAAAGCACTTATCCTATCCTATCCTATCCTATCCTATTGCAAAAGATAATCAGTTATTTCCGCAAAGTCCAGTTGAAAATTGACCACATAAGAGTGAATCCCGCAAGTTTTGATATAGCCACAATGCTGCCGTGGGAAAAACACTTACTAACCGGCGCACCACCGCAAATTATAAGTACAAGCTGTAATTTTGAGCCACATCAAAGGCGCTGTGTCTCGGTTGGTTACTTCATTTTGTTTATGTTTACGCGTCGTTATACGCTATATGGAACATGGGAAATTTCTTGTGAATGAGAAAATCACAGCTTCGTGTCAAACGAATATGTCTCCCAAGCACTATATCAAACGTTACAAGCAAAAAAATGAACTTTGAAAAACTGCTAGTTTTAAAAAATTGCAAACCTTTTCAGTCTTCTTCTAGTTAGTCCGATTCGTGCATCCTTTTGTGTTTTCTGTCTGATTTTAACCTTGTTTTTAGCGCTTTAAGAGTTTTCTTTTTTTTTATGTTTCACTCAATTTGTAGCAGTTCCCACTATCTGAATTTTGATAAATTTTGTCACCCAGCTCCTTTAATCCCTCAACATAAGCACGGGTACATATTTCATTGCTTTTTTGAGAAACCACTGACGACCACCCTTTCCGCCCCCATGTCCCCCTATTTGTGATGTTTTCTCTTATGACTACACGTACCACAAAAATTATTAAACGCTATTTCGGCTGTGATGAATGTGTAATGACTGTAATAACATTATTGTGACGGTAAAAAATATATATTATATGTAGGTATAAATGCTTGGATATACAAAATTTATATAATAATGCCCTTTTGGAAGTAAATTATGTATATAATTGCTTTAACAATCAATATAGCTTTAAAAGCCTAGATAACGTTGAAATCGAAATGTATTATATACATATTTCATTTGAAGCTTACAGACTTTATACGCAACAGTGAAAAGTTGTTATCTTGTGATTGAAATTTCTTGAAGTGTTTTTTTTTTGGTTTTGTTTACTTTAAGGTCAAAAAATTCTCCTCTTAAAACGTTGTTGAGCAAGTATCTATAATTGCCTTTGGAAATTTGCCGCCCATGTATTCACCTATACTAAAATACAATATAAGTCACAAGAAAAATAATGTTTGATGTTTTATTTTGGTGGACGCTTGACGACTTCCACAAATGAAAATAAGCAGCATAATTTACAAATATTGGCTATATTTTTTTAGCTATATTTTTAACACAATAATTTTGTTCAAACCGTCATTAGGACAAATAGAATTTCACATGGTCAACGAGTGCAACAATTCGAGAGTATTCGCTTCGCTCACATGCATATTTATATATCGAATGGATTTCTAATATAATCTTTTGAAAAATTTTTGCTATCCTGAAACACTATCCTTTTATAAAAAAAAAAGGCAATTTGATTGTCCACGACTTTGAATAATGCCACATAACTTTAAACCAACAATATTTGTTTGTTCAGCAAATTTACGTGCATGTTTTCTCGGTGATGGAAAATGTGGAATAAGAGAAATCAATGCGAACTCAGGGCTAAAAGATATGGATCAGCATACGCTTTCTAATGTGGATGCCAGTTCTGGAGGGTGTTAGGCACCGAATCCACTAAAGCTTTATAACACGTTTCACTCCCCTTACAATGTCATCTTGACAAGACTAAAATTGGACCGTTATATTTGCCCTATCGCTTTATCCTTTTTAAAAAAGATATTTTGAAAACTAGAGAACTCGAGTTTTCACTCCTCCAAAATTTTATGGCCTTGCAGGGAAATAGTAACACGGACCGGTTATCCAATTCACTATATTGAATTGCACTGCCATCCAGACATCAGACTTTCATCTCATTACTCATAATGATCACCATGATCATCATTTTCATCGTCGTCCTCCTCATCACCATCATCAAATTTCTTATCTGCAAGAGAAGTGTGATTTTAATGGAATTATTAAATATTTATTTACAAGGGGTCATGATAAAAGTCTCTTTGTAAATCGCCCTAGATTGAAAGTAGAAACTTCATGGTTGGCATTTCAAATTCGTTTTTCTATCTATAGTACTAGTAGACAAAGTACTTCATGTGAAATTTTTTTCGAGTTTATGTCTTGAAAATTCCATTCGTTATATATTCCTATATAGGTTTCCTCACAAGAGAAATAAGTGCTGAAGTAATGAATGAATGGATAATAATAATAATAATAATAATAATAATAATAATAATAATAATAATTATTGTTATTAATTATTATTATTATTATTATATTATAATAATTATAATATATAAATGTATTGCAACCAAGGGTCAATTGAATACAACTATTACAAGTATAATTAATTTAAAAGTACAGCTCACTTTCAGACTCTAAGACATTGGACACACTTGTAAGTTACTCTTCAAATTGGCACAATTGAGGAAGTCTTGTCAATAATTCCAGAGTCTTCCTCCACTTTTCGAACACATTCAAAGAGATTACAAATATAGAAGATCTGCGGGAACAGGCTTGCAGTCTCTTCTTTCTCTGGCATCCAAGATAGAAACAAATCAGTTCAAAAGACTTACTTTCACTCGTTTCCAGCTCCTCCAAAACATGGTATTCAGGGCCTTCCTCATCAATGTTTGGAAAACCACTGCAACCAGATTGATCTGCATAATCTGAAACCAGTACACTTCTTCTTTTCCCCATCTCAACATATTCCTCGGGATCGGTTCTTCTCCCCGTCAAATGTCCCTCGTTCTCTGCTGATAAGTTTTCATAAGATCCAGCAGACGGAGATTTATGCTCTGAACCGCTGTGTGCAACATTCTTCCCTTCAGTGGGTAAACCGTTCTTTACATTCAGGTTTTCTATGTCTTCGTAATTTTCATCAGTATTAGTTAAAGATGTTATGACTTGGTCATATGGTTGTCGTTGTTGTTGTTGCAACTGATGTTCACTTAAGGCAACATCACTGAGGTCGTCAATAGAGACCTGAACGATAACCTGCTCGGTGTCACCGTGAGAGAATCGGAATAGTGTGTTGGGTTGCAAAGGTTCCGTGTAATCATACTCATAAATTCTTTCAGGAGGAGAAGCTCCTCCCATCAGCATATATCCTGTGTCACTTTCCTTAGGACAAGACTGTGGAGAAAGAAAAAAAATGTTCTCATTAGTGAATTTGTTAATTCTTTTTCATACAAATCCTTCAATACGGTCATTTTTCTAATGCGATCGCTTCCTACTTGATCTCGAGAACTTAACGTAACAATCCTACAAGAAACGTCGTCAACTAAATATCCTTCATCCCCGACTAACTTGCCCTCGGGAGATTTAACTTGGGAGAGGGCAGATGAACTGAAATGGACTCCCTGGGCGAACGGTCAGGAGTTTCTGTATGCACACCGACCTGTGAAAAGAATAGTTTTCTAAACCTTCCAATTAGTAGAACATGAAAACTGGTTTTGTCTTTCTTAATTGTGGCCCCTTCACTCGCCACTCTTTTGAAACTGAGAGATCAACTTGTCACTGCCAGCAAAGGTTCATCAATTACCAATAAAAAGATACCGTAAACAAATTTTCAACAAGGAATATTTAAGCCTAGCCGCGTTGAGATGAATTCTTGTAGCGTGCAGTTGACGGTAATCAAGTAAGAAGTTAGGTTTCCATGCAGCTTTCATTCGATAGCACACGCTCATCCTCAAGCGCCAACTCACCCCGTATGAAGTAATACAAGATAGTCTTGGATTATGGATTCCATCTCACTGAAACCTGGATTCCTGATTACTTGAGCGGAATTGAGGATTGAACGGTCTTTCACCGGATTCCGGAAGCTTACTTACCTTAGATGGGTCGATAAGCAAAAAAAAAAAAATATAGAAAGAAAAAATAATAATAATAAAAAAGAATAACAGTTGAGGGGTTTAAAAAATTCTTACCGTTGGATTTCTTTTCAAGGATAAAGACTGGTATGGTTTTTGAGATGTTTCATCATACAATGAGACATCTGCCTCAGGCTTCTCTCCATTGTCACTCCCCTGCTGTCCGCTACTTTCAGTAGAGGGCACCGTCTTTATAAGCTTCTGATATGGAAACTCCTCCCCTAGTCCCACAGTTGGTGAGGTGACTGGTGCGCTTACATTACCTTCAGGTGGCGGTGTGGATGTCACCCTTGTAAGGAGTCGCTGATAAGGCAGGCGAGGTGGATTTGCTTGTGTCGATTGGTTGGTTTGAGTGGGGTTTCCACTGCTGTTCTTTGACCATATAACAAGCTTATTGTCTTCGCTTCTTTCGCACCTGCGCTTATCTAAAGGGATAGTTAAAAATTCTATTGTAAAATAACTTGCAAACGAATGCTTCATTTGTAAATACGGCGCAAGAGGCGAGCAAAGACATGATCAAAATAAGTCCTACTCCTATAACACCTGCTTGCACGCCCCAAAAAACAACAACAACAACAACAAGCAGGAAACAAATAAACAAAAACAAAGAAACAAATGAACATCTCCGTTGTGTAACACTCTAGAACGTTTTTATCTACTTGTCTTCCTAGCATGTATGCAACCACAGGAACGAAAGGCCTGCCTGTTTTGGTCCTACCTACTTGCCGTATACAAGCTCATATTAAAGACAATTTTTATGATATGTTTTTTACCATTATTTCTAAGCTGTTAATATTCTCGCCAAGTTGAATAACATGTGTTTTAATAGCTGTCAGTGTAGTTCATGATAATAATTATTTGACTTACCCTTAGAGAGAGTGCTGCCTCTGTCAACAAGACAGGGATAGTGAACATACTCGTAATCATGCATGGCTGCATTCTCCTCTGACGCGTGCTGCGCATGTTCAGAAGAAACTCGAAGAGGGCGGCGAGGTACTAAAATGAATCAAAGAAACCTTAGAGCTTTAAGGGGAAAATTAATGTAGGTGTTACACCACTACCTATTCTAAAAACATTAGCATGCTTATGAAATTTGACAATGCCCTGGTGATGAACAATCGAACTTGTTTATTTAATAAGAAAAAGGTATAAATATATTGCTTCCGCTATAACGAGGGGCAAAAGTGTTGGACACTTCGATAAAATGGCCCCTTTTTGCCTAGTGGACAAATCTATCCCCTCGTCCTTTGAACCTCAACCCACTCACCCCCAGCCCCTCCCCCCCCCCCCAAACCAATGTTGTATAATTAAAAACGTCAGGTCTTCCTCCAACCACAAACAACATTGATTCGGGGGTGGGGGATTTACGGCATCTAAACAGAATTATACAATCGTGTACGATAAAATGGATGAAATTGTCAGCGATAAAAGCGCGCGTTTTAGACAAGTGTAGCAACTACTTTAATTTGTCACTGATTGTAGCTTGTTAAGGGAAAAATCTTACTTAAGGGTTAACACCTAAGATCTAAAGTTTACCTGATCTATCAGGTTTGCGACAATTGCGTCGACATTTCACGACTATGAATCCAGTAATGACGCTACCAATAATAAGGAGGAGAGCTGACAGACCAAGACATGTTATAACCCATATTTCCCTGCTACTTCCTTTAGAGTAATCTTCTGTTGGAAGTGAGGTGTAACGTACTGGTATTGTCCCAGAGCCTGGTGTTGTCTGTGATCAAAGAGAAAGTAAATATCAAGCTTTCTCCAACGTATGCTTGATATAATGGTATCCAACTGTAAAGACTGTACCCCCGGGGAAGGAGGGGGTACTCAGTGAAATTTATACGGGGAGGCTCCATCCCAAGTTCAATCCTTAACCTTTCATATTCTTGGTTTTCGCATGAAGACACTAAAATTCAAACTACAAACTATCAACTAATATTTATACAAATTTTCGCTTTGAAAGGGTTCATGGTTTTGTGATAGAATGCGCTTGAATTTCTAGGCTATTGCGTGACGCAACATTTACATGACGGCCGAAAGAGCTGTCATGTAGGTTAAGAAAGTGACGTATTAATTTTGCTATCCGAGCAGTTCATGTATTAATAGAATATTACTTTGATGTTTTATGAGTTTTTCGAGAGATAAATTCAACGTTTTGTAGCAAAACATGCGCGGTGACAGACGTTTTTTTGGTTTCCGGCCGCCAAATTGTGCCCATCCGGTTGGGCACCAACATGGCGTCTCCATACAAATCTCTGTAAATTTGGGTAAAACATTTCTCCTGATATCTCGTATATGAAACACCTCTCTGTCCTGAATCTTGGCGAGGTTCTTTTCATATTTACCTCCTTTCATTTCTTTGCAGACTCTGGACTTCTTCCATTGAACGGTTTTGATTTTAACTTCGATCAATTTTGAAAGACGTGACACTGAAAATCAGCAATACCATTTTTGTCAGAAAAGGTAACACATTCGTATACCTTTCATTGACAAGTGGTACCCCTTTCGCAAAATAGTTGAGAACGCTGCATTCTTTTCAAATGCTATAAAATATAATGCCTCGTCTTCTAAATATGAATAAACTACTAAACCACGAAGTTTTCTCGTATTTTTCACAGCCATAAAATGCGCCTGTTAGCCCTTTCAGGAACTTTCACAGATTGGAATGACAGATTTCCCTCCCCTTTTACATATTTCAGGTAGTAAAATCCCTACCCTTTCATTAGTACCAAAAGCCCGAAAAAGGTGCCCCCTTTCGGCTGAGCTTCCCTGTAAAGGCTATTAAAGGGGTAAACTGCCCCCTCGGCTGTCCCCGATTATACTGCTGGGAGATCTCTTCCCAAAGTGTGCGCTCTAGTTGGCTATTTCGATATCACGTGACATCCCACATGGAAACTTTTAACGGCCACAAAAGTCTGAGCTGGAAACATTGCAAAATCTATCTAGTACGTTTACAAACCGAAGCAATAGAGCATTTTTACACGTGAATCTTGACCAGCAAGGGTTATATGCACTTTTAGAAATTCGTACAAATAATAAAATGTAACAGATTCAACAACCTTATTCAACTGCTCTTCGTCAAGCCTGGGCACTAAAGAGCCTGTGACTGGCTGTGAGGATGGCGTGAATGGTGTCGTATATGTTGGAACTTCATGATCTATGACTGAAAAAAAAGTACGTTGATTTGAAAAACGCACGTGGTTTTCGTTTTACAGGTTTCATAAGCAGTATGACTAATCCGAAGGCAATAATTAAAGTAAGGTTATCAAGTTAAGGTCGACTGCGCGACTTATGTGTACCAGTTCTTTTCAGAATGATCTCCAGTAATACAAACATTCATTTGCGTCTAGTGTGTTTTTATCATCTAACCCCACCATTCCATCATAGCTTTGTAACCAACTACATCAAACGTGAGTGAGTCAATTGGCTCAGTTGATTTTATTCCACGAGAAAGTGGCTGATTTTTGCTGAACGATTTTAAATACATCACCGCGTTGCCTTGTGAAAGTTTATAAAGATAGCACGTGAGGACAAGAATTCTTACCTAGTTTCTCTAAGACCTACACGGGGTGCCAGAGACTTTTCATGCGCGGTTTCTGGTTACGGTCAAGTCTTTATGATGACCCACGCTTCGCTGCTCGTTATTTCGACCTGTGTCCGAAGAGCTGTCGGCCTGCGTCCGACACCGAAGCATAGTATAGGGTACCCAGGGTTTCCAAGACCAGAAATTCCTCTACTTGTTTTAAAACAAAATATCAGCTACATGAAAAGGGGAGACTTTATCACTCTTTAAAGAGCTGTAAGAAAAGCATAATACTTACAAACATGAGTTCCTGCAGCTTTAAGCATGACACATCCATTGTCTGTTTTCCCGCCATAAGTGCAGCGAACTATTACTTTGATCAGCAAGCCTCTGTAAAATGGTGCTAGATGTCCATTCCACTACACAGAAAAAGACAGTTATATTATTTTCCTCTACAGCAGAAACCTTTTCAAATCCAGTACAACTGCCCAAGGTCAATTAGTAGACACTAGATTAAGAGAAACTTTGGAGCTGAATCTTTAGGTGAAATCCCAAAGCAACAATTCATGTAAAACAAAAGCCACCAAACCATATTCTGTTCTATTCTATTTGCTTTACAAATCTTTAGGTCTGCTAACTAAAATGTTCGCGAGTAGTATAGTATTTAAAAGCTCCTAGCATCGTATTTGAGGCTTTTTTTCCATACAGGGTGTGGTTGGAGTGCATCATCTAATCTCATGAGAGGGGATTTAACCATAACCTTTATACCGACAGGATTCACGTGACCTGTCTTCTATCACCTTTTCTTATCTCTATCTAACCTGTCCACAGACCCCGTCTTTCTCTTTAGAGGTCCAGTCGAGCGCGCGTATGGAAGTAAAAACCGCGGGAAAATAAAATTGAACGCAAGCGCAAAGGGAATGGGGGGGTGGCTGGGTAAGGAGAAAATAGTCGAAAGAAGAAAAAACCAACGTCTGTGTACAGGGTAATCTTTAACAGATACCTGATGTTGACTTGATTTTAACTCAACCCTTAATCGCGCATCGCCATGTCTTATCATTTACTTCAGTTATCGCACCCAGCGTTGACTAGCTTATCACTCTTAGGCTGCACTTCCTACCTTTAGAAATGTTCGTAACATACTCTTTCCAGCCCCATTGTGTCCTATAGTGTTTGACGAGAAGGTGTCATATGAAGAGGAAATCCATGAACCATTATAATAATATTTCCATTCAGATACTTGGAGATTCTCACAGGAGCCATTCGATTTTATTCTCGCTTTTCCGTCAGTGTGAAGATTTAAAACTTGTAATTTCTCAGCGTTGTCTGTGTAAAAGTTGCATTTATCTGTAGAAAATTGAATTTTAAAGTTACTTTTATTGGATGAAATCAACTTCCAGTTCTAGTTTTTTTTTTTTTTTTTTTTTTTTTTTGCATTTTGGGTGGGGGCCCTATGGACTAAAGGAAGTGCTAACTTAATTAATTACCAGTTTCCTAGTCCAAGTTCCTTTTCTTATAAAAAACCGTGAAATTTTCCTGTTATTAAGAAAATTCCTTCAAAGATAAGTCCCACTGTAAGAGAGCATCACTCAAAATCCCTAGGATCAGGGGAACAGGATTAACAAAAAAAAAATACATTGAGCAATAGTCTGAGACAGGAAAAGCACTCTGGGTTGTGTTAATGGGAAATATTGTCATGAATGTTATTTTAATAGTGATCAAAAAGGTGAAGACCGCCATTTTAAATAAATGATATTACTCAACCTCTTTCGGGACAATAACGTATTTTTTTTCTCATGAGAAATCATGTACAGTTGTACCAAGGGCTCGGATTGTCTGACTCTCAAAAGATTTAGGGCAAAAAATATGTTTGATAGCTCACATTCTTAGTATTTTCTGAGGTCCTCCTTGTAGCCCTTTTCTGACTTGTTGAGCACACGGCCAGTTTTTCAACGATTTCAGATGAAGTGAAAAGTGTTACATCTAGCTAGGATGCCTGATCATGCCAGTGATGCTTACCTTCGTTTGTGTCAGCCAAAACCTCCATATCTTTGACACAGCTTTCCTGTCCTCTCTTGGTCCGATAAAAAGAGGGTTTTGTCAAATTAGCGCAATAACAAAAACATTTGTGGCTACCACCGTTGTCTCGACGATCGCTCTTTTGTAGAAAACCCCCAAACCTTTCACAACTCGTCGCACAAACCGACTCGTTTGCCAAGACCTCGAATACATCTCCTTTGTCGCTTGAGTGAGTTACGCTTAAAACATTTGTCATCGAGCCATCCAAAGTGTTGATAAATTGTACAATAGTCACGAAAACTAAATGATTCAAGGTGAAAGAAAAACATTTCTCAGTCATGTTTTCGATTCAAAACAGCTCCACTTCCTAGCAAGCGGGGCAATTTCTAAACATCCTTCGATGTAAAGTTATAAATAAACTTTTTTTCATGACTAATTCTTATTATATGCGAATGATGTGGACAGGAAATTGACCGATAACTCTAATTTTACGCCCAAACCACACTTATTGTCTGACCTTTCCGACCTCATAATCATTTTAAATCTGCTAATAAACATGATATCTTTATTCCGGGCTTTATTCAATCATTTTATTGAAAACCGTGACCATTGAATGACTTGATTGGAAGTTCACTAATGTGCAGTTAATGATTATCCATGACGTATTTCCGTCAAATTGAATTGGGCGTCAGAAGAGGAAGGCGAACAAAATTAGAGCTTTTAGATTAGAAGGCGCAGCAAGTTTAATTTTTTAGCCAACAAAACCAAAGCGTCTTTGGCAGAGGTCCTTTTTTAGTTTAAAGAACAAAAGTAAAAACATAGTTCATGAATACAATTTAGTAGTCGGAAAAAAGGCCAAGGCGTCAGCGCGTTGCCTTATTCCACCTTCCGTTTATCGTTTTACCGACATTCGATTATTTCACTGCGGATGTGGGTTCCATGGAGAGCTTGCCTAATTTCAGTTTCAGAGCCTTCTTTCCAAAGGAAAGAGATGATATGATCAGGATCGGAAGCAAGGAAGTTCCATTGCCCACGATTGAGAGGACTCAGTGTCAGAACTTGACATATAATTGAGACTACACTGAATGCGAGGGTGCCGAGAATGAGCTGGAATGCGTGGGATAATAAAATATTATAGGTAAAATATTTCCTTTGTCCTTTACAAATACAAATCATACGTCTCTGTTCTGTTTCAGTTTGCCATCTTGACTACGGCAAGGGAATTCTGGAGCAATTTACAATTCAACTAGGGTAAGCGGCCGGGGCCCCTCGATAGATGTATCTAGCAAAATCAAAGGCACCCTTGGCACCCTCCGGGCCTGGCCTCAGAGAAATAAATCTTACTTTTCGTGAGAAATCACTGATTCAAGTGTTTATTCGCATGTTTTTTTAAAAAGTGACAAACTGATATATTATATATAAAAATTTGAAATCTTTGGCAGGGCTTCAATTGATAACAGGTGCTTATTGGCATCTGAACGGGCTACGCTGATATGAATGAATAAACGATCTCTCTCTTATATACAAACAGTTCTGATTCGCGTCTAACCGCTGAGTTCATTACTAATTTATTATTGTTATATCGACACCGATGAAATACCAGGATTTCTCCAGTGACGCAAATTTGGTATCCAGTGAAGATACAATTTTTATCCTTCACATGTGAAGATACCACGGTTGTCATGGGTACTTCAGTCTCAGCCAATAGGAAACAGCATCACAGCATCTCGCCATCGGTGTGTATATAATAAACGGAATATCACATGCCCCCTTGTGGATAGGGCTCACTCGTGAGATATCGAGTGGAACACTCAAAGATAAAATTCGTATCCACAAGCGGGCATATAATATCCCCTATATTTAATTCTTATCAGGGCTCCAATTGATAGGAGGTGCTAAGGCGTCTGAATGGGCTACCTTGATATGAACAACTAAAGGTCTCTCTCTTATATACAAACATTTAATTCCTTCTAACTGAATTCATAGCTAATTTCGGAAGATGGACTCTATCTCTTCCAGTGATCTTTTTTTTGTCTCAGGGACGAAAATAATGACAAAGATATACGCAAAGAAGCATAGTCCTGCGTAAAACCACATAACGCCTTGATTACTCAGCGCTCCTGCGAGTGTAGAATACGTCTCTGTGACTAAGAACAGCGTTACCCAGCAGGCAACGGTGGAGATACCAGTTCCCAGTCCTCGTGCTCTGAGAGGGATTATCTCGGCCATAACTATCCAGGGGACTGGACCCCAAGACATGGAATAGAAAAAACAATATGAAACTGAAGATAATATAGAAAGCCAGGTAATGGAAGAAAAAGTTTGGTACAATTCAAAGTAAACTCCTAATCCAATAAGAGATGCCGCCATCCCTAATGCTCCGCTATACAATGGGATGCGTCTACCTATTTTGTCCAAGGTTAACAAAGTTATCATGTTCCCAATGAGCTGAACTCCAGTCAGAGGTAACGAAGCGAGTTTTGGCTCCTTTATTCCCGCTTTGGAGAAAATATCAGCGGCGTTAAACAGCACCGCATTTATTCCGTCAAGCTGCTGGAAGGAGAGCAGACCCACGCCAATCAACACAGGCTTTACCACCGGAGCGGTGATGAATTCTTTCCATGACATTCGTTGGTCTCGTTGTTGTTCTGAAATATAAACACGGAATCGATCAGGTCAAGTTGTAGTCAGGAGAAACCAATTACCATGATCGACAAAGTTACTTCAGTCCTGTTCATTCCTTCTATTATCAATGCTGCGTTCTGATTGGTTGAGCTACTACTAGGCTATATGTTATAGCCCACTAGTAGCGAAAAGCGCGGGCTTTTTGGCGGCAAAAAAGGATTAAAGTGTAGCTTTAACTAGCTAAAATTTTTTAATTCTCGATATTCAATAGCACATTCGGCCTTGGGCCTCGTGGGCTATTGACTCAGAGACCATTCAGGCTAGAGGAATAATTGTTAAAAATATTGAAAATATAAAGCCCCTTCTCCTCTGTGTAGGAAATGGTGGTCCCCACGACGAAAGTCACTTCCCACTCGATGACAAGTGGAGTAAGCTTAATCTGCTTCAGGAAGGTACGGACCGGCAGTCCTTGAACATTTTATTTCCAACACTCTAATTAATCTTCTAAGGATATATGTTTACCCATTGCGTTACCTAGAGTCTCCTCCGTCTCGCGACATTCCTCTTCGATTTCCAAATGACTACCGCGTAACCATAGTAACGACTTCAAAGCATCACTTTTTCGGTTTTTATCTAAAAACCATCGCGGGCTCTCTGGCATCCATAGCATGAGGAGTAACACTAGAGCTGGGGGGAAGGAACCAATTATGGAAAGCCAATCCCAATAAAACAGAAACCCTGCGATATAAGCCAGAAACTGGCCTGATGTGACTGCCAAAATGTTTATAGAGCCAAGCCTTCCGCGGAGATGCGGTGGGGCTATTTCAGTGATGTACACCTACAACAGAATGAACATTGGAAGTTAGGATCTTCATTTTGGGAGATCTGCGGAAAGTGATCCCCAGGGATTCAGTTCATGGATCTGTTACGATTCCTGAGTAGTACGCAGTTAACCAATCAATTCCTTGCCCGTGTTGCTTACTTTGTAGCCTCCCAAGCACACGTTCTAATTAGGGATTCGTCACACGTTCTTGCCCGTGACGAAGCAAAAGAACGCCTGCGTGGGAGGCTACTCAGTTTGGCCTTCGGTACAACCTATGGGTAATGGGAACGATATTGATAGGAACTATCATCCGAAACTTTCAGCTGATAAACTGCCGAGTATCGGTCTCCACTCGACAGACACTTTTGCCGGTCAGTTGTCGGTCGCATGTCGGTCGAGTACTGCTTGAGTACCCTAGGTGTCGGTTAACTCTGTCTATAGGATATCTCATAAGCGATCCAAACTCACCGCAACCGCCAATGTTTCAATGCCACACCCAAGGCCAGTGATGATTCTCCCGGAGTACAGCATGAGATGGTTCTTAGCGCAAATCAATAAAAACCACCCAATTTCAAAAGGTATAGCACCGACGATTATGGTGACTTTACGACCCAAACCGTCCACCATCGGTCCAGCAATTATGCATCCAAATAGGGCACCAACAGCAAGAGACGACTGAAAAGTATTATTTCAGGAATTAGCGGAAATAAAAGCGTACAGGACCTTCATGCAATTTCCCGCTTTTTGTAGCCTGCCTGGCAGGCGCCGGTTAGTTCTATGGTTAGTTTTAGGTTTTATAGAGCGCTCGTGCACGCGCACGCGCACGCGTCTCCTCGAACCTTAACGAAACCTACGCTTACTGCGCAGGCGATTTTTGCGGCATTTAGTGTTTGTAACTTATCGACAATCCAAACATAAATTCTGCGCCATTTAAAATTAATGATTGAGGGCCAAAGATTTAAAGACAATTTAGAGACTCGGCAGAAAATCATTGAGGTACTAAAATTTTACCTTTCCCCTCCCCACCGAGGGAAAGGGGGAAATTTGCTTTTGTTTAGGAGTTATTACAGCCGCCCCCTCCCTTACCTGTGCTCAGGCTAGTCTTCTTAGGCCCGGTTCAGACGTCGAACTTTACATGTGCGGAACCTAATCTGAGGCGGATCTAGGGGAGGGGCCCGGGGGACCCACCCCCCCCCTTATTTTTAGAACCAACAAAAATTTTTTTGAGGCCGACTTTCTTAATCCCCCCCCCCCCTGTAAAGGTCTGGATCCGGCACTGCTAATTATTAGGTTCGATACAAGTAAAGTTCGACGTATGTATCAATAAGGAACGACTGGTTTTGTATCGCTGGCTTTTCAGTGTCACGCCATTCAAATCAAAACGGTTCAGTAGATAAAGTCCAGAATCGGGGAAATGAAAGGAGGTAAATATGCAAATACCCTCGCCAAATTTCAGGTCAGAGAAATATTTCGTATACGAGATATCCGAAGAAATGTTTTACCCAGATTTATAGAGATTTGTATGGAGACGCCATGCTGGTGCCCATCCGGACGGGCACCAACATGGCGGACGGAAACCAACAGAAAAATTTTTTTACCAAGTTTTGCTACAAAAGCGTGAATTTATTCTTCGAGGAACTCTTAAACATTAAAGTAGTACTTTTTTCTAATACATGAACTGTTTTAGATAGCAAAATTCCCTGAAATAAGTCATTTTTTTAACGTACACACAGCTCTCTTACTCTTGGCCTTCATGTAAATGCCACGTCACGCAAAACCTTAGAAATTCAAGCGTACTCTATCACAAAACCAACAACCCTTTTGAAAAGAAAATTTGTCTAAACATTAGTTTTCACCTGCTCTGATACATCGTGAAAGTAAATCTCGGTAGGATCGATAGTTTTGTAGTTTGAGTTTTAGTGACGTCAAGTGAAAACCAACAATTTGGGTCTACTCTGGCGTTCTATTCGACTGAGCTTGTCGAATAGAACGGCAAAAGATCGACTTCGATTCATACGTCGAACTTCACATGTGCCGAACCTAATGCATAAATTACGTTAACGTAATTTTTAACATAACGGCGCTTCTGATTGGCTATTAAGTGGGTTTTCGCACCTATACGGACAGAACTCATAGAAGCGTTACGACGGTTACCAGCATTCACGTCGTAGATTTTTAGACTGAAACTGGACACGCTTAAAATGGTCTTCTAAAAAGTTGCTTTTCTTTATACCCATGAAGAAATCGAAATGTATTTTAAAATTTATGGCGTTACTTTATTTTGTCCAAATCTCATCTGCTGACTCCTTGCCATAACAACAAGAACTTTATTGACTTTATCTTAGACATGAAGATTTCAGTACCAAAACAGTCAATACAATGACAAATGAAACAAAGTAAAATAAACGTTAAGTAAGAAAGAAAGGAACAACAACTATATATTGAATATGATCATAAAGGAAAAATTGCTTGGCTATGTACGGCTTCTACGCTACTCGTATGGTAAGAAAGTTTAATTAGAGTTCGGATTTATAACAATTTAGAATATTTTCAATATAAGAGGCACTAAGATTTATGATGTTTTCATCGCACATGGACATGATATATAAAAATAGTGCCTTGCAAGACTTATTCGTAAACATAACAGAACACAAATCACATAAAAATAAAAAATTCCCAGGCTTAGCTTGGTGAATTTTACTTTTTTCTGTTTATTTCCCTATTTTAAGCAGTAAGGATGATATCCTGCGATATTTCTTTTCGCCACGAATTAGGTTCGGCACAAGTAAAGTTGGACCTTCTTATCAACAGTTAGTCGGCTACACAGCCGTTTTTAGTGTCGTCACGCAACGCTCCTCCGCTGACGACACTAAAAACGGCTGTGTAGTAGATTTTAAAATCAACAGTCGAACTTTTGAGTTCGACCCAAACTATTTTGATAGGTATTAGGTTCGACACGTGTCAATTTCGACGTTTGAACCGGGCCTTAAACGTACTTTAAACTTTTAAACGTAGTATTTCCAAGGGCTCTCCTGAGGCTAATCATAGCCTGTACAGAAAAGTTGTTTTCTTTTTCTGTTGATATTTAGCGTTCACAGACCTCAGTATTTTGGGACGCCTTCGATATAATCTATTACCTTTTTACAACCTGCGTGACCTTTCAAGTGAAAGCTCTTTTTGACTCGTACCTTTTTTCGTACTATCTGTCTGTTACAACAGAATCGGTTACTCATGAAATGAGAACTCACCGATTTCCGTATAAAATTAGACTTCGCTTACTCTTTTAAAGTAAAATGTCTATAAAGAAATTGGTAACTTACTGAAAACCACGATTCTTGCGAGCGGCTTAAACGAATGGACAAGTTAGATGCTGACTTTAAGTCGTACGACGCTGGAGATGAGTAACCAATACAATAACCAAAACTAAGAGTTCCCAGCACGGAAACACAAGTTGCCAACACTGCTCCTTTAGAGCTGCTTTTCGCTCTAGAAAGCAGCATGTTTCTTTCATCGCACAAGGGATTCTCGCCGACGCTTTCGGTATCCATGTAAAACGGTGCAATTAGCAGATACGACTGGCGATTTTGGGATCAATATTTCTCCGACCTCTTTTACAGAACGAGTGCCATTGTAAGATAAAAACACCATGAACGTCAACAATACGTATTCCTTTTCGAAACTGAACTTGTGAATCGCCGAATGAATAAAGTCTAATTAAATTGCAATATTATGCCTTCAATTAGAACAACCTGCTGCTTACGTCACGTCCTGTTGGTCACGCTTTGTTAATCCTGTGTGACATACTGCTTGAAAAGAAAGCAAACACTGCCATACCGTGTAACCAAATAGCAACAGGCTTAAGTAATGGAAACTGTGTAACCTATAGGTAACGCATCTATAGTGTTCCTTTTCTGACCTGATCATCAATTATTGAATGACTTTGTTACTCTGCGGTGCTTTCGGCGAAGCGGTGGCAACAAAACGCTCATTTCCGGTTCCGGTCATTCGTCAGTCACAGGGTTTTTAGGAGTCGTGCTACAAACCAAGTGACTCTTTTTTCGCTCATACTGGCTGTTATCCCGCTCAGACTTGTCGTAGTTTAGCCCAGGCGTAATTCATCGATCGTCACGAAGATTAAAATAATAATAGTAACAACTCTACAATAACAATAACAATAATAATGAGGTAGGGAAAAAATGAAATGAAATGAAATAAAATATAGTTTTAGGGTGAAGTTAGCGGTGTACAAACGAAGTCAGTGGGTACACTCTACAATTTGCATTATGTTTAGACATTTTAATTAATGTCTCAATCTGAACAGTGAAACGTTGTCATCCCATCAAGGGCTTCTGTTGGGCTTTTGGCAAGGGGTATTGTTGTCACGTAGCCTGTTCCAGGCTCCGAGATAGTTGGGCCCGCTGAATTGAGAGAGGTTCCTTTTCCTCTTTTTCGTCTCGCCAACTTTTCGCGTGCCTTTTACATTCGCGTCTTCCCCACTTTCTGAGAGACTGGAATAGGCTAGTCTTCACGTAGGTAACGTTCCTCCCGGAGTTAAAATTGCCATTTCAAAATATTTAAGTGTGTTTATTTTGATTAAAGCCTCATAAATAACTCGCTGATGTGGAGGTGGCTAATCGCGGTTCGGTAAATATATCCACCCGGCTAACCACCGACACGGAGCAGTGACTGAGCACGAACGGCCATCACGTTTCTTTCCGAAAAATAAACGTTTTGAAGGTATTTGTTAAGCACTTGAGAAGAAATTTCTTTAAAAGGATTTGCGAATTCTTTCTATAACTGAAATCATTCTGTAAAAAAGCACATTTAGTGACGTTTTAAGCTTATTTATGGAGTTAATTTGCATTTGTAAACGACAAACTCTTTCACGGCACAACACTCCATCACAGTCACACCACTTTTAGAGTAACAACACTCAGGGTCTAAACACTAGTCACGGTCACAACACTTGACACAGTGACAACACTAATCAGTGTCGGGGGGTGGGGGTTCATCGCTCAATTTTGGTTAAACAGACAAAGCTTTACCTGTAATGAAAAACTGCCAAACCGAATTTCGTTGCCTTCTTCCTGTTGTCGGGAACAGCTTCTTCGTTTTTTGTGAAATTTCTTCGCAGTTTATTTTATATACGGTAGCAAGCCGGGAAGCCATTTGTCCGTCGCGAGTTTGGGGTCGCTCGGACTGCCCAAAAGCACTGGATATCCCAAGTTTGAGTAGCCAATCAGAGCGCGCGAAAAACACTTTCCTGACGGTTTCCTGATATTTCGAACGACCTCAAAGGAGAACATCGTGGCGTGCAAATTTTTTATTACTAAAAGATACGACGAGGAAATAAGCTTTTGTTTCGAAAGTGTCAGACCACTTGGCAAATGCCGGACAAATACCAGTAAAGGGGTAAAATTGAACTCGAGTAACCAATAACGTTGTGAAAAATAAATAACATCGTCGCCTTTTTTATCTCTAAAAGTTCTTTGGGGAAGCAAGATACAATACGAAGGTGAATGCACCGCTGCATTTTTTTGGCGCACAATCATTAACTAGAACGGCAAACTAACTACAAACCTTTTGAAAGCAGATGGAATGATTTTTGCAACAACGAAATCAATGTAAAAGTGATGCCCGTCCCGTTAAAAAAGTTTAAGATGTTTACAATTAACGCATTGATATCTAAAATTGCATGGTTAACGCGAGAGTACCACCGTTTTTTTGTCATACCTTTCTTACCAAGGCCAACCTAGAATTACAGCATTCATTGTTTTTTTAGAAAAAAGAAATGATTAACTAAAAGTGGAAAGTAATAAAACAAAAAGAAACATTCAGGCCCAAATTTTGTCCTTAATTAGTTATGCAGCATTGATCATTCCGTGATATTAAAGACAGTAGAGTATACTTCTCCATATAGGGTCCAATCAGTCGCGAAGTATTCGTGTATATCTGTGTGTGTGGATATGATCTCCCAGGCTGTCTTGTATGTAGGTAAAATACAAAAATTATCATTTTCTATCTCTTAACATTAATGTGTATTGACGTTTAAACTGACGCTTCACTTTTACAAGTAGTCGGCTCAGCATACGTGCCTCGTTGCAAGTGGATGTATTGTATAAACAAGAATACGTTTTAAACTTCCGCTCACTTCAGGTTAAGAAGTTTCCTCTTCCAGCCGGGGATCCCTATTTTTTGTGGATTTCCGGCTGGTTGATATTTCTCATTAAGCATTAAGGGTGGATTTACTTGCAACATACAAGTATTTCTGTCGCATCTGCCCACTGGAATTTTTTGTTTTTATTTTTAGGCTTAAAAACAATAAAAAATTCCAGCAGGCAAAAGCGACAGCTATACGCGTTGCAAATGAATCCATGCTAAATGTTAGAGCTAGTCACCGTCTGGTAGTGCTGTTACAAATAGACCTCATTCCCGATGCCGGCCGCCATCTTTAGAAAGCGCTTAAGGACTGAGGGATAAAAGTGATGCCACGTAGGCAAACAAGTGAGAAATTTTTCCAATACAAGAAATCGCAGCCGAGTTTGTTATTCGTGACAACAAAAAAAGAAAAACTTTTTATAGATATTAAAGACAATAATGGAAAATTATGGGTGGAAGTGACCATTGTTACTTTTTTTAATCAGTAGCGACCGTACATGTGTAGATGTCCTCACGTACAGCAAGCAATAATGACGTTAATTTTGTCGAAACTCAGACCATGCATTTTGCACGACTATTAAATCGTCGTTTCGTTTTGTGGGAATAAACAAGGTGGACCGCGATTTCTTGCTTTGGCCAATTTTATCTTTTGTTTGCCACCAAGCTTAAATGACTGTCTGCATGTCGGACCTTCATTAAATCCTCTTCTACTGGACATTTTGCTGAGATTTAGAGTTCATGAAGTTGCTGTAACTGCTGATGTTGAGAAAGCATTTTTGAATATTGAGATTGATCCAGAAACAGAGACTTTTTTACGATTTCTATGGGTAGATGATGTCGATAAAGAATCACCTGAGATTAAGTTACTTCGCTTTACAAGAGTTGTATTTGGAGTGAATGCTAGCCCTTCATTCTCAATGCTACTATCAGACACCATGTTAATACATGTATGCTGAATGACAATGCACTTGCACTTGAGCTTTTGAAGTCTTTGTATGTAGATGACTTCATTTCTGGGGCCAAGGATGTGAACAATGCCTTTTCTTTGTCGAAGGAGATAAAACTCTGTCTCAAATCAGGAGGGTTCAAATGAGGAAGTGGAACAGGAACTCAACAAGTCTTTTGCAATCACTGAAACAAGATTCAGCCTTCAGTGACCACGTGACATTGCTTTTATCCCATCAACCCTAAAGCGCGTGCAAAGATGGCGGGCATCGTGAATAAGGTCTATTGGGCAAAATAACTGCGAATGTTTTCATGTACTATGATTATTTCGTTAATCTGTATCGCAATTCGCCACAAAGCGGAACTTGCGTTGGACCATGCCGTTTGACAAGACAGTGCCGGTTCTGTGAGTGTGAGGAAATTTTATCTAGATGAGCTGAAATGAATTCTTTTATAAAATTCTCACTCTTCTCGAAATAAAATGGCAGCTATCATTCCTTAAAAACAATTCACGGAAACGGTTTTGTCCTGGCAAAAGGTGGCAAAACATCAGGCTCTTGAGTGAACGTTTTGCTGTAATGTGGTTAAAGCCATTGTGTACGTCACCGATGTGACTATAAGTATTTTCAATCTATGGTTAGTGGAAAACAATACATCAATTCCTCCCACAAAAACGCACATATGTTCAGTAAAGCGAGACTAAACTTAACTATAAGTCTTTTAACTCAATATTCAGGACTTATTATGGTTTTTGTGGCACCAAAACTCTTTAGCAGTCACTTACAACTTCCTTAGTCTTTACTCTCACCGAAGCATTTTACACGTCTATTCTAGCGTAAGGAAGTCCAAACATTTTGTGCATAACGAGGAAGAATTTCATCTTGAATGAAATCTTCTTCTTGTCTTGGTTTAACTTACAAGTTTTACTTTTGATTAATCTTAACAGATTATTCTTCGCCGCTGCTTACGTTTGGCCGTGAGGGCGAAAATCTGTCCATGTGCACAAGTATGGCTACGTTCTACTCGTATTTGTTAGTGTTCCACTGCTTGAGTTTAGTTCAAGGTCAGTTACTGATGGAAATTAACAGGGGTCCGTCGTTAGGGTTCGCCGACTTCTTCAGGCTACCCAGAAATACCACCGCGTGCCTCGGAGACATTTCCTCGAATTCGTGCTTCAAATATCGTGCTTCTCCGGGGCGTATCCGCAGAATTCCTTGTTTGTGTTCATGTTCTACGTCTCCGTTCGAAGTATCCCGGTTAATGTTTTTCGAACCGAGCAATTCTTGCCTGGAGGTCAGCTTGGCTCGTCGCAGATCAGGTAATATAACTTGCTTAAGGTATCGGTCTCAAAGTGATACAACTACAACTATCCTTGGTGTTTTGTAATCATATAATGTCAAGAAAGAGATCATTTTCAACTTAACTGCGTTCTTTGTGAAATGGAGCAATAATGCTGTTGTTGTTGGTGCTGGTGGTAGTGGTGGTATGGTAGTACATGGTGATCAAGTCTCGGCCGAGGTTTTTATTAGAAATAAGGACGAACGTTTCCCCTGACATTTCAAGTAGATGAATGTTACCAGGTTCAAGGTACTTGCACATTACTGAATTTTGCCTTTTGATTTGACAATAGAATAGAGTATTACTCTAACGTGAGATCAGGCTCTATTTTCATTTCGCTTTGAAAATAACACTCCGGCGGGCAAGGCGAAACGAAAAGAGAGCCTGATATAAACCTTCTACGAAACGTCTTCGGCCCACTTTTTTGATTAATTGACATTTGCCGAATCAGCCAACAAAAATTACTTCCGTTGCTTGTTTTTTTAGTATACGTGGGAAAAATGCAGACTCGCTGACTTAAAAAATGGCTTTTGGTTTTTAATTTTTCAACTAAAAATAACTGACGGTCAGCACAATCACATTTAACTTCTTGCGAGATTAAAGGAGAACTCAAAGGTTATTTCTCTTGGCGGAGAAGGTAAAAAGGTTTCGAAAAGACGGCGACACGATGTTCTAGTTTTAATATTCTGGCTAGGTGCGCTCGAATTTAAAATACTGAAATATCTATGTACTAACAATTAATGAGGGCCGCACCAGTGCCTAAATTTGTCCGATCGCTTGCTTGTGATTACCGTAATGATTCGATTTAGCGCCCTCCTTCCAATGAGCCGCACCCCCTTCGAATAAGCGCCCTCTTCAAATGTGGTTTGTTAATAAGCGCCCCCATTCTAATATTACATAAAAATCATTTAATAGCACACAAATGAACGGTAATGCCACATAACAAAAACAGTGGTTCTATCTCCTTGTGAGTGCATAAATTCTTCAAACGAATGATTTCTTCTTCAAATTTTTTTGGCGATTGCTCGGATGGTCGTTTTGGCGAGGAAGGATCCAGGGACAACAAGTCCGTTTTCCAGTCCCCTTGATCCATTCACCTTGACTTGCACTTTGTTCTCACTGCGGGCTTTTTGAAGAAAGGTGAATGTAAGGAAGGAAAGTTTCATCGGCACATGCTCAACAAGTTTCAGGTCCCTTACGTTGAACATTTGGTTGTTTCTCAAAATAGAAATAAGCGCCCTGTCCCGAATAAGCGTCCTCCTTTGAGGCACCAAGAGTAAATAAGCGCCCTGGGCGCTAAATCGAATCATTACGGTAAGTCTATTTTTTTACTTGTCACGCGCTTAAAACATGGGTTCGAGTTATTGAGGGTAAAATTATATAGAAATGATCTGAAAAGAAACAAAAATTAGTATTACTTAGCATGAGGTTCGAGTCAGTAGCGCCGGTTCGAGTTATGGGAGTACGATCGACTGCGTATCCTTTTTAAACGATCTTTCTCTTATTGTGCGTTTTAGAATATTCCGTATATTCCGTGTTTTGTTTTAGAATATTCTGTAAATTCAGTCTTTTAGTATATTCTGTATTAAGAATATTGCATGTATTCCGCCATTCCCTTCGGCCAGTCCGCCATTCCACCATTCTGCCCAATAGGATAACCCGCGTACACTTGCAATTAGCGAATTTACTAGAGAAACAGACGTCTCACAAATATATTTTTTTATAAATCCAGGTAAGTATTATCTGCCACTTTGGAAAAACGATACGACACTTTTAAAACTGCATGCTCAACTGACCTATAAATAAAACGAACAACAATATTTCAAACACACTTTGTAGTTCTCCTTATTTGTGTTGTTGTTTTACTGCAGGTCTGAAAACTTGGCTCGCTAAATTTATTAATTAGCAATTAACAAACAGCAAACAGCCTACGAGCAAGGACCGCTCATATTCGAGGGCGGAGTTTATTTGAAAGTGGGACGAGACAAAGAACTGTTTTAACTACGGCATTATTTTTTTTCCCGTTTTTCTATTAATCAACATAATCAGGAGCCACGACATAACTAACGTACGTGTGTATATTGATTTTGATTATATCAGGGCCGCGGCGCTTATTCGGGGGCGGCGCTCATTCACTCTTTTTCTTCCAAAAGCGGTGCTTATTGGAGGAAGGCGTGTAATCGGGGACATTGCTTAATCGGGTAAATACAGTAGGCCTTCTACTGTATCTGTACTGTGTGTCATTGAATCTGTACTGTACTGTCATTGAGTTTGTCGATTCTTTCATACCTTCGCGTCGCATCAGCGATTCATTCGTTACTAAAATATGGAACTGGGAACGGGAAACGGGAAACGGGAAAAGGGAGATGTGAATCGGGGGACAGGAAATGTGAAACGAGCACAGGGAATGGGGTAATGAAAATAGGAGCCTAAAGATTTTTGAATTTTTGACAACATTGTCTCGCACCCACTGTTCTTTCAACGCAGGGTGTGATTTACTTTTCACCGACGAGACGGCACACTTCTCCATATCTTCTATTTCTCCAATCGGTGTTACTCAAAAGGCCATCAACGTCCCTGCTAACAACACATGTAGCTTTTACTTTGGGGAGAAACTCCATGCACAATACATTGGTTGCGACGGAGACTGGAGGGAGATCCCATCAAGCAGTGTAAATGAGAGTTTAGAGGTCACTCCTGGTTGGAACACGAGCCAGCTGATACTGCGGGTTGGTATATTTAAAACGTGGATGACAATTGAGTTCCTCGCATAGCCCTCGTGGAGAGAGGTGTAGAAATTTGTAGAAGTTTGCCTCGTGCGCGTCAATTGTGTTTGGATTACACCTTTTCACTATATTTCTATCGGTTTGGTTGGTATCCGCCGTTGCTTAGCAACAAAATTGCGACCAAACAAACCTAACCTGGTTGCTTTTGCGGCCGTTTTAGCGGTTAAAATTGCTTTCGACTGTGAATTTCGAAAGTACAAGTACTTTTAAGAAAAAAAAATTATAATAAATCGTTTTGAACCACTAGCTTCAAAACAGGGGCCAAAACCAAGGTATTGAGAGAACAGGGATCCCTGGTTCGAAACCTGGAGGGGTCGTTGATTGATTGCTTTTTCTACGATCAATTTTCAAACCCACTAAAAGGTGGTTGTATATAAGGAACAAGCAGCCTAACAGGTTTCCAGTACAAACTAGCAAGTCAAATGTCCCATTTCTTTTTCATTTTAGACGAAAGGCAACGTTTCATCTTTCCTTAACGATAACTTTGGTCGAATCTTTAGAGTCGCACTGCAATACGACAACCCTGTTACTAACCCTTTTTACTCTTATATCTTTTATTTTTTGGGTCCGCAGTAATTGGCTTTAGCTGTTGCGGTGTCCCTGTCCAAATATTTAAGTTATTATTAGTGTATTGTTACGTGTTTATTACTAGTGTTTGCATATCTTCAAATTTTTGTTGTTGTTGTTTATTTGTTTGTTTGTTTTTTTTGTTTTCTTGAGGGAAAAGCTAATAAAATAAAAATAAAAAAATTAATACGACTGAAGGGAGGCTACATTTTTATATCAAACGGTTTGATTGCTCAATTTAGAAAGACTAGAACACTTTAATAGGAGCAAATTTCAATGCTAAAAAAAGACGTAGTTGTTTAATAAAATGGAAAATCCACAGAAAACAACCCACTATTTTAATTTGCTGTACAATGATAGAAAATATTCTGTTGTTTTACCTTACTAGACGAGAGATAACGCTTCCTCTTTTCTTCGCAAGAACCAGGGTCGGATCTTTAGAGTCGCAGTGCAATGTCGCCATCAACGTAAAACCGCTGTCGCCAAAAGCACCTGTGTTATGTTCAAGGTTCCTGGAACAATATATTGTAAGACATTCAAACAAAATAATGCTGTTGTTGTTGTTGTTGTTGTTTTTTGACTGAGTTTCAATAAGCTGAAAAGACCGGAGAAGACATTTAAAATCGGAATGAAAATAAGGAATGAAGAAAAAAAAGACTTCCTCAAAAAGAAAAAGTTAAGAAAAAAATAATAATAATTAAAAAAAAGAAGACAAGAAAAGATAAAAGGAAAAAATAATGAAAATGATAATGATAATAATGATAATGGTAATGATTCCTTCCTATAAAAAAGAATGCTATTTCAAGATAGACGACGGGGGTTTTGTATTTGAGCTTCATTTTCATTTTAAACTTCACAACAAGTAATTGGACCACGATCTTTCCAATCATACTTAACTGAATCGTGAGCTTTCCTTCTACTCGACAACTAAACATTATATAAAGTAACAAGAATATAACTGCCAATTTCCTAAACAACTTGACTTGACTTTCTTAGCTTGCGATGGCTTTTCATTTTCACCACTAAGTTTCAGCAAAATGAAAGCAGTCGGTCTTTTAAACTTAACTATCTAATATCCTCATTTTTAGGCCCAATTCCCCAACAGAATTCGTCAAAGCAATCTGCAACGTTACCACCTCCAACTTTGGAAATAACCAGCACCACAGGATTCCCACCTCGTCCAACCACTCAGGCAGAAAAGGTAACAACATGCACACAAGCTGTAGTAACAACTGAGGTTTGGAATGAATTATTGGTGTCATTCTTCTCGTGTAAGCTATTCCGAATTCCGATAAAATATTGGAATTTTTTGCAATGAAATTCAGAATTCTGAGGTTTAGAATCTGGAATTCAGCTCACGGAATCCGGAATCCTGCTAAGCACAGAAATCCAGAATCGCAGTTTCAGTGACAAAGAATCCGGAATCCTGTACCTGGAATCCAATCCAAGACTATCTTGGAAAATCTTACATGAGGCAATAGGCCATTTCCGAGTTCACCCGGGCCTCTGTTTCAAAACGAGGGTAGCTGCTCAGCGTTTGTTATCGAAATCACTTTTCATTCTCATGCAAATAAAACTCTTTTTCACAAGAAAAGGTTGTGCACCTAGTCTCATTTTGAAAGTGAGGGTTTTTGGAACTCGGAAGTGGCCTATTCGATACTCCCTCAAATATTTCGGAAATGTTTTCCAAAAGTTCGTGATAAATTTCTTGTTCCTTTTTGCGGCGAAGTAAGAACTGTTTTCAACTGTGTCGTTTTGAGAGTTTTCACATCTCTAAGAGAAGACGAGAGTACACTGCATGGTTGGGTGCTAAGGAATTAATATACAAACGTAATCGACTGGTTAATTGAGTGATTAAGTTATAATTAAATAATTAATTTATTTGGACTTTTTCCTCTACAACTGGTTTAATTATTTTTTGTCTCTTATCAGGAACCCACATCTCGGATAAAAGGTAGTACACAGCAAGATCAGCTAGTAATCTTTTCATCTTATCGGCTTTCAGTCTTTTAGCTTTTTATATTAGTCTTTCAAAACGTTAGCTTGTTAGTCACTCAGTCTGTCAGCCTGTCGGACGATCAACCTGTCAGCCTGCCAGATTGTCTTTCTGTCTGCCTCTTAGTCTGTCAACCTGTAATAGCTTGTCAGTTTACCAAACTGTCAGGCAGTCAGCCTCCGTTTTATCCTGACAATCTGTCAGCTTTTCAGCCTGTCAGTTTGTCAACCAATCAGCTTTGTTAGTCTGTCAGCCTGTCGGCTTTCAAGCCTGTCAGCCTGTTAGATTGTTCGCAAGTCAGCCTGTCTTCCTGTCAGCCTCTTAGTCTGTCAGCCTGTAATAACTTGTCAGACTGTCAGGCAGTCAGCCTCCGTTTTATTCTGACAGTCTGTTACCTTGTTAGCCCGTCACAGTCTGTCAACCAGTCAGCTTTGTCGGGCTACCAACTTGTCGGTCTGTCAGCTCCTCAATCTGTTGAAGGGCCAGCACTTGAAACGTTAGTTGTTCACGGGCCTTATCAACTCAGTTGATATAATCAATTTTTATGTCAGCTTGTGATGCTGTCAACCTGTCACCTTGACAGCTTGTCAGTCTCTTGGCTTCTCACAAAGCAAAACAGTAGGCCAGTCTGCCTGTCTGCTTGTCAGTTGGTCAGCCAGTCGGCCTATCAGCTTGTCGAATTATGGTAGTCTGTGGATAACCTGTCAGTCTGTCAGCCAGTGGGCCAGATTGTCAGTCTATCAAACTGTTAGCCTGCTAGTTTGTTAACTTGTTAATCTTTCAAACTAGCAGTCTGTCAGTCTTTTAGTTTGACAGCTTGTCAACTCTTTCTAGCTTGACTGATCCCGAAGTCAGTTGTTCAAAAAGCTGCTAACTTCAAAGCAAAGCCAAAGCGCCAACCTATCAGACGAAGTTCACTACCAAATGAGAACTCGAAACAAACAATGAATCATGGCTTTAACCATTTGTCAGAACTGGCCGCGGCCAAAGCGACACAGCTGTAAAGAGATTTCCACTATTAATCAGTACTATTCAGCCAGATCAGCTTATTACAACGTGGTATAAACGGAAATGATTGGTGGCTCGGCCAGTTCTGAATTTTCTGATCCGCAGAAGTAAAAAAGTGCCCCCCCAGGCGGTCCTTAAGGCCTTCGCTGAAATTGCTAACCTGTACATTCATGGAGAGTTTCGAAGAACAGGCAAGAAGTACATCATACTACAAGCCATCATTCTGGATCCCATTAGCGTCCATATATAGCGTCTTACAGCATCTGGGCATGACAACCATCAGCCTTGAATCGCCCTCACCATGGAGACGAAGAATAGCAACAACCTCACCACACACAGTTTTTAAGGCAACAGGACGAACACCTCTTTACCAGCTTAAAAAGGAAGCTAACGTAATGCACTGATGGGTCATTGGCTTAGCCTGAGTTTTACACCACCAGCAATCAATAACACGCAGTATTGTTAAATGTATTTACGAGCCTCACCGACATCTTGTAGCAGACGATCTGTTATCTCCAAGGAGAAAACAAATGTCTTCCAATCTGTCCTTGTTTCTAATGCTACTCCTCTTTCTTTTTACTTACAGAAAATTTTATTGCCGAAACTATGAGGCCAAACAGTAGTGCTTAATCTGCGACTGAGTTCAAATCCACTGCGGATTTTACCGAATGTCAGAGGTCTGCCAAGCAACTTCGCCACTACCTACAACAGCAAGGCGTACGCATTGCCTTCAAGTCGAAGACAGCACTCAGCAAGACGTTTACCTATTAAGCAAGACGGCTTAGTTTACAAGTTTACATTTGGGTGAGGATGGAAGCCTTGGCAAGGTAGGGTCATTATGATTATGAGTTAGCAGAGCCTGGTTCCAGACTAAATATGATTGACACTCTACTCCACCTAGGCCTCTCCGGTTTCAGAACACGCCCAGCCATTCACTGGCTTATCACGACATGCGTGCTCGGTTGCATTCTCTATTATTTAGTTTTGGAATGTGCCGTGTTGCTCGCTCATTTATGACAAGAGATATCACTCCTCTCCGAGCTAGGAACTCATATTTTACATTTTAAGGAAGGTTGGAACATTTTATGTTGATAAAATGGAATGAATTAATTGTTTAATATGAACTTTCTCCCAGTACCTATGTCCCACGGCATTTCACACATTACAGGAATGGTTCTATCCCTACAAAAAAATGGTAATACAGCTAGCATCCAGGCGTACACTTTGCTCATGTTGTTTGAGCCATTGAGTCGTGTACGTCGCCTGATGCAATTATTTTTGTTCTACGGTTACTGGAAAACAATATCAAGACAATGCCATCCGTCTCTTCGCTCGTTTCGTCGGGGGTGGGGCGAAGAGACGGATGACATCTCAGACTACTCCAGTGCTGTGTTTTGCTTACGTTTCCGGTCGTACAAAATCAAAACGCGGTTGGTCATTACGAGTGTCAAAATGATCAGATTTCTTTCTATGTAATCCATTTGATCTTAGTGGAAGTCCAAACGAAGGCTGACTATATGCCTGCCGTACATGCGTAATAGCAACCTTGAGATTTAGCCTCCCACGCAGACGTTCTTAGGGGTTCGTCACGCGTTCTTGCCCCACAAACGTCTGCTGAACCGAAAGATAAATTCCTTTCCCATTGTTCCATCAGCCGGAGATCACATGCAGATTATCGGAGATCCAATCGGCGCTGTTTAAGTTAAAGTGTTGACAAGCCAAACACATACGTACAAGTTCTGTAGAGAGAGATACATGACCAAAGATTTTTGTTGCGGACGAGAATCTAGGATATAAGCTTTGGGTTTTTGTATATTTCTCTCTGTAAAGGCTGGATTAGATGTCGTTTGCTCGTAAAGTTGTTCTTTGGGTGATGCAACGGCGGGTACCCTTGTAAGACTGAATTAAAGGCAGAATTATTTTTCACACGTTATTGTTTTGTAGTAAAGCCGACTTCCGTTCAGCAAATTTAACCTCCGAGGTAATTTTTTCCAATGAGATATTGTGAGGGTAACCACTAGTACGAACGCTTGTGAGTTAACTGAGTAGTTTGTCCTAAAACTGTACGATCTTCACCTTTCATGAGACCTTTCTGATCTTTTCTGGATCTATAAAGTCAAGCGCGAAATTTCTCGAGGTCAAAAGTACACTTCCAGATCTGGAAGTCTGCTGTGATTGGTCTATGTTTTTTTCCGCTCAAGTCAGCAGACGTTCGTGGGGCAGGAACGCGTGACGAATCCCGAAGAACGTCTGCGTGGGAGACTACCTTGAGATTAGGATTGCGGGAAAAAAAAGTGAAACTGAATAAATAATATTTGAGTAAGAGATTAACGCATGCTATTTTTATCACGCTCGTCTCATTCTTGGGGAGAGTAGTGATGTGTGAAGGTCATTAGCAAAAGATCCACTTGACACACTATAGAACTCAGTAATGAACAAACTTGTCTGAAAGTAGAGGGTCTGATTTTTTATCTCTGTCGATTCCTTAAAAATATAATAACTTTTTTTTATAATAAATGTCTAATGTATGTGCTTCGTTTAATACTTAAAAGTGATGGTAAATCATGGGCCGCTTACAAAGTCTTTAAATATAATTTTTACATTGGTTCTGCGAAAAAAAAAATCATTGTTTTTAAACAAAAAAAAGAAAAGGGACATCTTATCCACCAATATGGCCTCGTTATTTTGTCACCTGTTTGCAAACGAGAAATCCAATCCAAGCTGTTTACATATGAAACGAGATCTTTTTATTGTGTGGATATAACAAGTCTCCAGTCTTGAAAGTAAACTACCAAAAAAACGTGACACACACTACGAATTCTGCCATTTTTTCTCTGTTTTGTACAAAGTAGCTCTTCAGTCTGGGTTACAGCGTGCGTGCTCAGTTTCATGTGTTTCAGTTCTATTGAGAATTAAGATAAAAAGAATGCACGTTATTTTCCCATACTAGAAGTAAGATACGATTCCATTCCGAACTGGGGACAAAAATTCGACTTTATGTTTTCGGATGCCTGAGGAACTTTTATTAACCTGGAAATTGTTCAAAATAAAGGACCTATCCGTTTTTCTATTTCACAGAACGGAGTTTGCTTTAGATCATGTCCTTTGACATTTTCTTCTATGAATGATGTTGATGTGAGTGAATTCATCTTCTTGTAATTTCTCTTGGTACCAAAATTGACAGCTCTCAAGTTCTCCTCACTGACCTACACCTCACTTTTAACAGTAATGTCTCTATCCCTACACAATGTAGTAAGACAGCACTGTATCAGATAAACTTTTTGTTGCTGCTGTTAAGGCCATTGAGTCATTTGCGTCAACTAGCTGACGCAAAGATTATTTGTGATCTACTCAGATACTGAAAAACAATATCAATATATGCCCTGGTTAAATTTTCCGGCAAAAGCGCCCATATATGTTTATTAAAGCGAGGAGGAAGTGAAATATAAACCCTTCGACTCAATATTCAGTTCCAATTACTAGCGAAACAGGTAGACTGTTTTTTCGCAGACGTACGAAACAGTTGCCTCTGCAGAGAAACGTATTTGAATTAAGCCCATGTGATCTATCCCTGACGCCTCAAATGAAAGCACACGTGATCGCATTCCTTCACATTCCTGAGAATTAAAGGATGGCGGGCTTTTCCACAAACAAACAAGGAAGGTCTTATATCCGTGGTAAACACTCTAATTTATGCCTTACGATTCGCATGAGATCATCGAAGGTATACACCTCATTTTCGTCCGTTGTGCTTAGTCCGCATCGATCTTCCGGAAAAGAAATATTATAGAACACTTTTAGCTGGATCATGTTGTATTAGTATAGGTAATAGCATGATTTGTAGTGATATTTAGCATAAATACAACGAGTGATATTTCAAAATTGTTATACGTAATTTCACGAGCCGTTAGGCGAGTGAAATTTGAGACAATTTTGAAATATCACGAGTGTTATTTATGCCAAATATCACGTACAAATCATGCTATTATTTGTTTATACTACTACCCGCAAGAGGTTTGTAATTTTCACATGTAGGTATTTCAAATTAAGCTGAAATACCACTGCTCTAAGCCAATCAAATTGCAGAAATTTTTCATGTAGTAGTATAACTAAACGAAAGCGGATAAGCGACGATAGACAGCCAAAGCGCGAGCAAAGAAATGCGAAGGAATGTTATCACGTGCGTTTGCAATTGGAGATAACATCTCTTTAGACACATGACCAAAAACGTTCACCTTTGTCGCTACCGACACAGTCTACCTGTTTCGGTAGTATGGTTTCTGCGGCTCCACGAATCTTCACCAGGAATTCGTAGCTCGCGTGGAAGCATTCATTCTAGCGAGAGGGAGTCTTAACATTTTGTGAAAATCACCACATTCGAAGAGTTTTTTTTATTGATCTGACTGTGTTATCTCTCCTGTCTGGATTTATCTGACGAATTGTACTTTCAGAAGCGCTATTGACAGATTTATCTTACAGGCTGTTGGCCTTTGGTAACAGTTAGAATTCTCTTAAACTATCATGGCTACGTTTGTCCCCTATTTGATTGCACTCTACTCCTTGAGTTCAGTCCATGCTCAGTTACAGATGGCAATCGACAGGGTTGATCAGGCGTCCGCGGTAGAGGACGACCTTCTACTGCCCAGAAATACTGCTGAATGCCCTGTTGACGGAAATAATAATCTATCTCCTTCATGCAGTAAATACAACGCTCAGTTGCTCGGAGGTTGTTTTTGTAAATGTGGCAGACCCGCAGGGGAAAAGTACACTTTCTTTGAACCGACCAATTCTTGCTTGAAGGTCAGCTTGGCTCGTCAGAGATCAGGTAACTTAGTTTCATTTGGTGCGCTTACTTACATTACCTTTTAATTAATGTCTTCTCATTAATTTAAGTTACAAAGTTTGCAAAATATTAACTATCAGATTGTCCCAGGTGACAATCAAATGTCAAAAGGAAGATCGATTTAGCTAGTATTCAATTTGGTGTTGTTAATTAGCCAGAACGTATGTTTCGCGGAGTCAATTTCTAGAATCGTGAAATCCGTTAATTAATACAAAGGCTACGATATATATTTCCTTTTGAGTTAACTTGCTATTGTAGAAAATGATTGCGTGGGAATGGATTTTATTGATGGTAGAGCTATTATGTCAAAATTTGGCCCTTGGTCTGTTGCTATTGGTCTGCCAAGCATGCAGCAGTCAAGTGAAATTTAAAATATGTAGATCAAATTTAGCTTTAATTTTTCTCTCAAACGCATGACAATCTTCAGTCACCGAGTAGTGTTATTGAAATTCTCTAGGAGCTTCCTTGCCATTTTCTCCGCTGATTTGCTTAAATTACACCATAACATTCTTTACAAAATCCATTGATTGTTGTCACCTGTAGAAATTTTACAAACGAAAAAGTAAATTAAAATCCTTCTTTGATTACTTATTTGAAAGGTAATTTTTCATCAGGAAAAACGTATTATAGCAATATCTCAATTTTTCTTGAAATGATCAAGGAATACAAAGAACGACAAATTTTGCTTCCTATGTCCCTGTTAAACTCGTGTCACTATCCAAGGACTTTGTTGTTATACAGCTGTACACCAAGGATCGAGAAAAGCTATATCATAACTCTTTTCTCTCTGATCTAAAATATTTCAATATTTGACACTTTTAATTAAAATATGCATACTTTAAAAAGTATAACATATTACCTCGATTACTTTGAAAATTATATATAGACATTTTTTCATTTCACTTTTTAAAAGCCATTATGACGAAGAAAGTTGCGTGGGCAAGTTTTAGTACTCTTATAGGCTTACTAGGTTCGCGATTTTTAGTTCAATCAATTTAATTATTTTATTCTAATTGAGATGAAATCATATTGAAGCATTGACGCTGTACAGAAGCTACTCTTTGTAAGCCCTGTGTGGTGTACGAGCTTTTTGCTTTTAAAAGCAAGTTTGCATCTTTGTGCGCAATCTTCCTTCCTCATGTTGGTCTTTTCTAATTATACGTCAAGAAAGAGATCGTTTTTGTGTGGAGCAATCCGACAATAATGTTGATGATGATGATGACGATGCTGATGATTATGATTAGCCCTCTTACGTGAACAATGGCATGGTACCCTGCATCAAATAGAACATGAAATAAATTGTTTTCAGAGTTTACAAGAACTAATGTTATATTTGTAGCTCTGTATTTGCGAACAACCTTTTACCACTTTTTTTATAGTAATGGTTGGCAATAATGGTTATGATGTACGTGTCTGCTTTTTACGGCGAATATTGTATGGTATTGATGGATGAAATACTTTGTTGCCATAAATCTTGTTGTCATGAATATCTTAATGAAGGGGGAAATTTGTACACACGGTGATACTTGTGCCAGAAAAGCTCTTATTCTAAACTTTTATTCCCAAAACAAGTAATACGACGAATTGAATTCACGAATTGTTTACCGTTCGCCAATATTCCTTTTAGCTTGGAATGTGAGTATAAGAGCCAATCTGGTCGGTCGAAACCGGAAGTTGTAGCACTCGATGATGATAGTAGCAGTAGTTGAAGTAAAGTAGCACTGCCTGTTTATACAGTGAAAATGTCCGTGCAGTGGGAAACAAGCTACCTAGATAAATGATAATTCAGGTACTGTTTCTGACTAAACTGCTGACGGGCAAAAAATGTAAAAACAAAAGAAAAGGTACAACAATCACAATCTTATAATTTATGCTAGACGATCAATATTAGAGCAGTTTTATTTATAATTATACTCTCTCTTTTCCATTGCGAAAGGAGGGTAGCTGCTCAGCGTTTGCTATGGAAATCATTTTTCATTCTCATGCAAATAAAACTTTTTTTCACAAGAAAGGTTGTGCACCTAGCCTCATTTTGAAAGTGAGGGTTTTTGGAACTCTGAAGTGGCCTATTCGATACTCCCTCAAATATTTCGGAAATGTTTTCCAAACGTTCGTGATAAATTTCTTGTTCCTTTTTGCGGCGAAGTAAGCAAAGCAGTAAGCAGTAAGCAGTGGGAAAAAAGCTCCCTAGATAAATGATAATTCAGGTACTGTTTTTGACTAAACTGCTGACGAGCAAAAAAGGAAAAAACAAAACAAAAGGTAAAACAATCACAATCTTATAATTTATGCTAGACGATCAATATTAGAGCAGTTTTATTTACAATTATACTCTCTCTTTTCCATTGCGGAACATTTTTCCAGTGTAAGAGCTCACAGGATTGGTTGGGGAAAACAAAAATAAATAAATACATACATAAATAAAGTCAACTTTGATACCTTAGGTTAGCCCTAAACCACTGGCCAGGAGCTGATACATAAAAGGGTCCAATAAAATTAACCAGGGGCACCCAACGACTGTTTTCTGTAAAACATCTGTTCGGAGAAGCAATATTGCCTAGGACGTTCCATTACTTGAGGACACCTGAAAATTTCTCTGTCCATGACTTTTCCATTCATGTACAATTTTCGAAGCATATCTAATATATAAATTCCCTACGATTTCCTGAAGTTTTCGGATTGAAAAATGCTATGGATTACGTCAAAGTCCATCTAAAATTTTCGGGAAAATAATATTCGAGCCCTTGTAATTTCGAAAAGACTAAAGTTCCCCTAGGATGACAGAACAGATACAAATTTTATAGCGCCTCTTAGAATGCACTAAAAAAATCTAAAAAACTAAAAGTATACTCTGCATAGCCTAAAAAGTGTTTTCAATGCATTTAGGAGGAAGCTGTCGTTGGGTGATCCTGATTAAAGGTCTTTTTTAAGAGCAGCGATAAGTGTCCAGACACTTTGCCAGGTATAAATGTCTTTGCAAATAATTTATTTCATGCATTCGTTGGACTGTCTCATATATTTTTTTTTTCGTCACAGAATGTAATTTGCTTTTCATTGGCGAGAAAGCGGAAAGTGCCTTAACTTTTATTCCCTCAACCGGTGTTACTCCAAAGACCATCAACCTACCTATTAACAACTCATGTAGCTTTCACTTTGGGGAGACACTCTATGCATATTACATTGGTTGCGACGGAGCCTGGAGGGAGATCCCACCAAACAGTGTAAATGAGAGTTTAGAGGTCACTCCTGGTTGGAACAAAAACCAGCTTCAATTCAAGGTATTAGTATTGGTAGTCGCATGACACTGCAGCTTTTAGTTGGGATTAATGATATAATGCATTGGGACATCTTACTGTAGATGTGGAGAGTTTTCACATGACGTCACACCGACGCCATATTGGTGTAGTAAAGTAATAAACCAATGGCCTTGTTCTTTTTCCAAACCAATATTATGGGATTGAAAATGTTATTTTTATGTTAGAACTTTCCTTTTTTTGTATGAATTGGCATAGCTGCTGCTGACCACGTCAATGAAATCGCTCTATACAGTTGCAACGCCATACAACCAACTCCTTATCAACACCTTTCATTTATTTCCTGTGCAAACAATCGACAAATCATTTCATTGTTCCAAAGTATCGTTCAAGAACACGATAACCCTGTTACCATGATTGAAGGGAAGTTACATCTTTTATATGCAGCGGTTTGATTGCTCATTTTAGAAAGGCTAGTAGCCGAACACCTTAAAAGGAGCAAATTCCAATGCCAAAAAGGAAGTACACCTGTAGTTGTTTAATAAAATGGAAAATCCACAGAAAACCTTGCACTTTTTTCATTTGCTGTACAATTATAGAAAATATTCTATCGTTTTATCTTACTAGACGAGAGATACCGCTTCATCTTTTCTTCGCAAGAACCCGGGTCGGATCTTCAGAGTAGCAGTGCAATGTCGCCAACAACGTGAAAACCGTGACGTTGTCGCCAACAGCACCTGTGTTATGTTCAAGGTTGAAGGCAGAATACAGTGTAAGACCTTTAATGAATATTCATGAATATACATGTTATAAATATGGAAAAACAATTGAAAATTCATAGTAAACTGAATGGAAAGAAAAATAATCCCTTAAAGGGCAACAAAATGTCTCAAAAATGTCAGGTTGTTTAAAGATAAACTCATCTGCGAATTAATTTGATTCGGATCTACTTATGCCGATTATTTATATATTAATTAAGTCTTTAAAAATGCTGGCAAGATTACCTTGTTCCTGATACTATTTCAAGACAGCCGAAGGTGTTTGATATTCATTTTCACTAAAGTGTGCCTATGGACAAGAATCTTTGCAACAATAATCACCGTGTTAAACTGAATAGCCAGCTTTTCTTCTACCCAGTAATGAACCATTACCAAAGCAAAAAGCTAGAGATAAAGTTCCGGCAACGAATTTTTTCTTCATCACAGTACAAGACCTAACAGGCCATTTGCACAATGACGTCAATTTACTACATAAACTAGAATGCTTCACTGTCTTGCTCTCTCGTGCAAACTAGAGCTTTCGTTGTCTTAATTCTTGTTGGGATTGCCGAACTTAAAGTGGAAGGAAAAGGGAAATGGATTCTGGCAGTAGGACAAAGACGCCATCGTGCAAATGGCCGGCTTATTGATACTGTAAGCTACAAAATGAATTCAGAGGGTGTTTTAAACTTAACTTCCTATAAATATAATTTTTAGGTCCAATTCCTCAAAAGACTCCGTTAAACCAATCCGCAACTTTACCACCTCCAACTGTGGAAATATTCAGCACCACCGACCTCCCACCTGGTCCAACAACCGCTCAGGCAGAAAATATAACGACAGGCACACCAGCTGTAGTCACAAATACGTCAAGTAATGTATAATGATTATATAAATGCCTTCTATAACGGTGGGAAGATTTTTTTGGGGGGGGGGAGGGGGGAATGATACTTAGCCCTTGATGCTGTTTAAAGCATAAATCAGTCTCTCTTCATTTTAAGATAACCGACGGGAGGTGGGAAATGGATTCTGGCAGTAGGAATAAGACGACCTCGTGCAAATGGCCGGCTTTTTGATACTGTAAGCTACAAAATGAATTCAGAGGGTGTTTTAAACTTAATTTTCTATAAATATACTTTTTAGGTCCAATTCCTCAAAAGACTCCGTTAAACAAATCAGCAACTTTACCACCTTTAACTGTGGAAATATCCAGCACCACAGACCTCGCACCTGGTCCAACAACCGCTCAGGCAGAGAATATAACGACAGGCACACCAGCTGTAGTCACAAATACGTCAAGTAATGTATAATGATTATATAAATGCCTTCTATAAGGGTGGCAAGGTTTTTTTTTGGGGGGGGGGGGGGAATTATACTTAGCCATTGATGCTGTTTAAAGCATAAATCAGTCTCTCTCTTCATTTTAAGATAACCGACGGGGGGTGTTTATTTTTGGTTGACCTAATTACAACAGCTCTGCTAAATTGTTTAGTGCTATTTACAAAATAAATCGAGTGGTGTTTTTAACTTAATTTTCTGTTAACTTATATACATATGCTTATATTTTAGGCCCAATTCCAAAACAGAATTCGTCAAACCAATCCGTAACTTCTGGACCTGAAACTGTGAAAATAACCAGCATCACAGGCCTTCCACCTCGTTTAGCATCCAATAAGGCAAACAGCATAAAGACAGACACACCAGCTAAAGTCACAGCTGAGGTTTGTCTTGTATCTTGTCTTACGAGCTTCAGAAAAGGTGCATGTTCTCAAAGTTCCCATGAAATTTCCCTACCTGTCTGCAGGATATACTTACCCCACCTAAAAAGGATGGTGTTGAAACGATTCAAGAAGAAGTACGGTTGAGTAAGTTAGTGGCCATGAGCAAAGGTTACTGTCAAAATACAGAAATAATCTGAGTTCCTAGCGTTATAGCCAATCTTCGAAGCAAAGCAATGAAAATTTGAGTTAATTGTATTGTGGGTATATTGGTTTAGAAAGATAACCCAGCATGGTGGGGTAAGTGCGTTGACTGCGATTCCGCCATATCACACCAACACCACAATAACGAAAACATTTTTTGTAGCCGACAAAAAGTCAATTTTTTTCTGTCGAAACAAAGTAATTAAATAACTATTTGACTGATAAATGAATTAATTGAATTATTTGTTTGTTTTTTTTCTTTTGGTTTTTAATGTGTTTTGTGTCTTTACAGGTTACCACTTCCAAAATGGAGACTCCGGGAGAAGACAGAACACAGCAAGGTCAGCTTTACAGCTCCTCAACTTATTAATCTATTTGCGCCTAGTTTGTAAGCTTGTCAGTATGTCAGCCTAACGAAAAATTCGGCCTTTAAACCAGTCTTGTCGTTAGCTTGTGCAACTGTTCGTCTGTTATTTTAACACCCAGTCAGCTCCGTCGGCAATCTGCCAATTTGTTGCCTCCGTCCTTCTGACAGCCTTTCAATCTGTCAGCCTGACCACTTGCCAGATTGTCAGCCTGTCAGACAGCCCGCCTTTCACTTTTATATTCTGTCAACTTGTCAGCATGTCATTTTGTCAAAGACAAACTGACATGCTTGTCAATTTGCTTGACATGCTTGTCGTTTTGTCAGCCTATTGAAATTTTAGCCGATCACTGAGCTAGCCTGTCTGATCGTTAGCTTGTGCGACTCTTGCCTGTCATTTTGTCAGCCAAACAACTCTGTCAATTTGTCAGCCTGTATTCCTGACAATCTTTCAATCTGTCAGCCTGACCGCTTGCCAGATTGTCAGACTGTCAGGCAGCCCGTCTTTCACTCTGACAGTCTGTCACCTTGTCAGCCCGTCAGTTTGTCCGCCAATCACCTTCTCAGCCTGCCAACTTGTCAGTCTGTCAGCTCCATAATCTGATGAAGGGCCAGCGCTCGAAACGTTTGCTTTTCATTCTTTTCACATTCCTATTAACTCAGTTGATAACGGTTTAATTAAGATTTAGTAGGCCAATGTGCCTGCTTTGTTATGGGTTAATACTTTTCCATACGATTAATACGCCATCTTTCCTAAAATGTTGTCTCCTATGATTAACAGGTTAAACTACTGGACCTTGCGTTGAGTAATTCAGCTTTTGTAGTATCCATCATCATCAGTAAGACGATCCTAGTAAACGAGCTTATAGTGTCTTTCGACTTAGAGTCGACGCTGCTCTGCTGGCCGCTCTGGAGAACGACCGCAGCCTTGCAGAGCGACGATGTATCTCTGCTCAGATTGCTGTTCTCCTGACTTTCTATCACGGTCAAATTACTTCCAGGCTAACGGAGCAATTGACGAAAAACTAAAAGGAACAGCCATGAGGAGTACGATTTCTGCTGTTACTGGTAATATCGAATAACAGGCAAAAACTACATCATACTAAAAGTAAAGAACCTTGGAAGTGCTACCTAGACTAGATCGACCTTGAAACCTTCACTATCCTGGATCCCGGAAGCGTAGATAGCTTCTTACAGCATCCGAATAACCAGCATCTTTCCATCCTCTTCAGCTTGGAGGCCAAGAGTGGCAACAAACTCGCTCTCCTTTTAGATCTTGACAAGTACTTTCAAGTAATGAACGCCTACATCGCCTTTGTATAAAGGAAGCCTTGTGCGTACACTGATGAAGTCAGGTTTAGCGTATGACCCACACCAACAGAAATCATCAAACTGGTCGGCCAGGGCATTGACAATAAAATAGGCCTTTCCAATAATTTTTGCTAAAACCCCCCATCTCTTTTTTTGTATGCTATTTGGGATTTCACTGATCTGGCTGGATAGTTTTGATTAAAATTGAAACTCTCATGAGGACGGGAATGGCCTCCAATGGCCGGTCAGTTCTGACAAATGGGAAGTACCCATGGTTTTGGTAAGTGTCTTAACCGGCAGCTTTCTGTTATCTCCAAGGAGAAACAGAGTAACATTTTATCTGTCCTTAATTAACTATTAATCCCTATTCTTTTTCTGCAGATGACCAGCACCAAGAAACCGAGCATCAGTATTGGGCCTGCACCTGGTTTAAATTCGCTTATTTTTTTGTGAATAACCTCTCTCCTGCCTACAACAATAAGGCGGCGCTGTTTTCAAGTCGAAGATAACAAAACTTAGTTCACATCTAGTTCGGCCCAAAGACGCTGCTGACTAGGCTAAACTTGATGTCGTGGTTTGCACAGGATTCCCTCTGAATGCGATATAAAGTTCACGGTTTGGTGAGAATGAAGGCAGAGACAGAATCAAGGGCCTTAATATTGATATACGAATCTCCACAACCCAGACCACTGCCGTTTCCAAGAACGCTCTCAGCATTGAACATCACACGCTATGTAATGAGGTAAAGTTTCTCGAACGCGTTCCTCATGGCTACGCACGCAGGAACAAAGAAGCGATTCCTAAAAGGCTTTACCTTGACAGCATCAGCATAGACAGTTGATAAGAAAATTACAGAAGCACGGATTACCATGATTAACAATCAAACCAAAAGGAGGGGGTTACTTGGTTTAACTTTTCATGGATATGTGCCGCTGGCCTCTCAGACCCATACCCCATTATAGTCCATTCTGTGGCAAAAACAAAAGAGGACACTGCACGACACTGGGCCTCCAGGGCCGCTGAAGGAAAAACCAGTTGCGTGTCCAGGGGGGAGAGTCTAGGGGGTCCGGAGCCCCCCATCAGACCTGACGCTTGTTTGAGACTGAAATTCTTACATCGAAACTGGCTGATTTTTTAATGAAACGCACGTTCCATTTTGCCACTAACTAAATTCCAGGGATATTCAAAAACGTAATTGTTTTTGGGTACCCGCCTGTGATCTGCTGGCCCCTGCTCACAAAGCAGTTTTTCCCGCGTGAACGGCGACCTTTGTTCACAGATTTAGAAACACGTGGTTGTAAGATGTAATTTGCCACAAAAAAATTCAAAGTCCTTTCTGAACCAAAGTTTGGACCACCCCCCCCCCCCCCCAATAAAAAATTCTAGGATGCGCCCTTTTAAACAGAAACGATCGAAATGCGCCTAGCCTGTGAATACAGCCTTCTCTTTAGCCCCTCGCTGCGGGAGATACGTCTGCGATTGCCGCCCCAGCAATATATTTTTATTATTTATTTATTTATTTCTGTCAGCTTATAGAAAACACTGTGGTTAGGCTGAACTCTGAACCCTTGTGTATTACAAAGCCTCCACCTGCTTTCGAGTTAAATACAAAAAAACATAGTCAGTGTAACTTTATGCAAAACGTTATGCATTTACACCTAATTATTATTCAGTATTGTTAAAATATTTCTAGCCTTCTGAACCCTGTTTGCATGGGTGGGGGACCCCGGTCTAGTTAAGTTTCTTTTGTTTTGTGTCCCCAGAGCGTGAAAACAAAAGAAACCTTAGTCGGGGGTCCCTCACTCCATGTAAACAGGCCCTTAGTTCAGTAAGCCTTATACCTCTCTTATTCGCCATTTCGGAGTTGTGTAGGGAACTGGGGCGAGTTCAAATTTAAACTAATCGATAAACTGACACCACCATTATAAAAGTTCATGTTGAGATCAGTTATTTGACCGAGTGTGGTCAAATTAATTAATTTTTTTCATGATTTCTGGGACATTCCTGATAATGGGCAAACATAGTAATTTTCGAATTAGCGCCTTCCAAGTAGTAGACGAATGACGAATTTTACAGTTTAACAGAAAAACTGAAAAATATTTTAAAGAGTTTACATGGTTTGGGGGAACGCTGTCACAACATTACAAGCGTTTGTATGGATCTTTAACCGTGTTTTAAGTCATAACTTGATTCCTGTTCAACTTAAGAGCACCATGCCAAACTTAGTCAAATAACCAATCTCAACATGACCGTCAGTTTATCGATTAGCTTAAACTCGCCCCAGTCCCCTACGCAACTCCGAAATGGCCAATTACCAGAAACAAACTTTGTTACATCTGGCTGTATGGAGCCTCTCCTGTTTTAATTTCGTGCCTATTCTGGGATAGGTTGATCACGTATGATCAGACACACTAACAGCTTTTTCTCAGTAATAATTCGAAACTAGGGACGCTTCTTTTGTTGTATAATATTAAGTATGATATGTTTAGTGGTTATCAGTATTTTCATGATGGAACTTTAGAATGTTAATTCCATAATTTGTAGGAAAATGGACAAGAACACATACAGGTAAAAATAATCATGCAAGGGAGTTTCTTTATGTTTTCTTGCCTCTGTATTATCTAAACTTTAACAAAGCTCATTCAGACTCAAATATCCTTGAGGGATTATGTAGCTGATTCACCAAAAGTCCAATTTTGTTTAAGAGGGAATTCGAAATGGTGGATTTATGGGATCTGTTAGCGTCACCTGGTCGCATTGCTCTAAAAAATCTTGGAAGCATGAAATAATAAAAACTATAAATTCCTGCGGTTACAGTACATCTTATAACACTGACCACTTTTCTTGCTCATGCGAACGGTAACCCTGAAGCTGAGGGGGGGAAATGACGTAACTTGAGGCACTAAAAAATCAGAGAATAAAAAATCCGGAACGTTAGGGAGTGCGGGTGGGATCGATGAAAACCCTTTTACTCCAATGCAATGCCATCCGTCTCTTCGCTCGTTTCGTCGGGGGTGGGGCGAAGAGAAGGACGACATTTCAGACTACTCCGGTGCTGTGTTTTGCTTACGTTTCACGTCGTACAAAATCAGAACGCAGGTGATCATATTACGAGTGGAAAAATGATCAGATTTCTTTCTATGTAATCCATTTAATCTTAGTGGAAGTCCAAACGAATGCTGGCTACATGCCTGCCGCACATAGCAACCTTGATATTAATTAGAATTGCGGGGAAAAAAAGGGAAACTAAATAGATAATATTTGAGTAAGAGATTAACGTATGCTATTTTTATCACGGCGCTCGCCTCATTCTTGGGGAGAGTGGTGATGTGTGAAGGTCATTAGCAAAAGATCCACTTGACACACTATGGAACTCAGTAATGCACAAACTTGTCTGAAAGTAGAGGGTCTGATTTTTGCAATTAAAAAAAAAAAAGAAAGAGGTGCACGTGATCTCTGTCGATTCCTCAAAAATATATTAACTTTTTTATAAATGTCTAAAGTATGTGCTTACTTAAACGTGATGGTAAATCATGCACCGCTTACAAAGTCTTTAAATATATTTTTTACATTGGTTCTGCGAAAAAGAAAAGGGTCATCTTCTCCACCAACATGGCCTCGTTATTTTGTCACCTGTTTGCAAAAGAGAAATCCAATTCAAGCAGTCAACATGTAAAACGAGATCATTTTGTTGTGTGTGGATATAACAAGTCTCCAGTCTTGAAAGTAAACTACCAAAAAAACGTGACACACACTAGGAATTCTGCCATTTTTTCATTGTTTTGTACAAAGTAGCTCTTCAGTCTGAGTTACAGCGTGCGTGCTCAGTTTCATGTGTTTCAGTTCTATTGAGAATTAAGTTGAAACGAATGCACGTGATTTTGCTACTTGCAATAAGATACGATTCCTTTCCGAACTTGGGACAAAAGTTTTGCTTTTTGTTTTCGGATGCTTCAAGAACTTTTATTAAGCAGGAAATCGTTCCAAATATAGGACTCATCCTTTTTTCTATTTCACAGAACGGAGTTTGCTTTAGACATTTTCTACTAAGGGCGAGAATGAGGAAATTTTCCAACCCTCTTGATGTGACTGAATTCATCTTCTTTTAATTTCTCTTAGTACAAAAATTCACAGCTCTCAAGTACTCCTCAACCTACACCTAACTTTTAATAGTAATGTCTCTAGCCCTACACAATGTAGTAAGACAGCACTGTCTCAGATAAACGTTTTGTTGTTACTGTTAAAGCCATTGAGTCATTTGCATCGACTAGCTGACTGGAAAACAATATCAATATATGCCCTGGTTAAATTTTCCCGCAAAAGCGCCCATATCATGTTTATTAAAGCGAGGAGGAACTGAAATATAAACCCTTCGACTCAATATTCAGTTCCAATTATGGTTTCTGCGGCTCCACGAATCTTCAACAGGAATTCATAGCTTGCGTGGAAGCATTCATTCTAGCAAGAGGAAGACTTAACATTTTGTGAAAATCACCACATTCAAAGAGTTTTTTTATTGATCCTGTCAGGATTTATCTGACAAATTGTACTTTTAGAAGCGCTGTTGACAGATTTTTGTTACAGGCTGTTTGCCTTTAGTAACAGTTAAAATTCTCTTAAACTATCATGGCTACGTTTGTCCCCTCTTTGATTGCACTCTACTGCTTGAGTTCAGTCCATGCTCAGTTACAGATGGCAATCGACAGGGTTGATCAGCC